ATACTTTGTACCTTTCTTTGTAAAATGTCGACTTGATAACGACGGAACGAATTTAATTACATTCGAGAGGAACATTTAAATCTTACAGAACGCAATTAAAGTTTAGTTTGCAATTATATTTTTTACTTTTCCAAAATATTCATTCTATTTAAAATGAATCATCGAATCGACATTATATTATTATTTTTGTGCGTTCCCGGTGTCTTTCGATCCTTTTAAAATATACGTTTTATGGAAGGAAGCGTTAAAGAACAAAGAGATATTTTTAATCGGAGAAGAGATATATGTTGGCTCGGTTTGTAAAATGATATCGTTTCTTTCTATCGTATACCGTTTGAATACGAATCTCCGTTTATCGTACGAGGCATAGCTACACAAAAGTACACCGAATTCATTATTGTGCGAATGACACGAGATTGTGAAGTCGTTAAGCACGTGCGCAGAATAAGTTTCCAGCTACGACGCGCATACCTTTCTTCCTTATTCGTATTTAGCTACAAGGTGGTTTAAATATTTCCATATACAGCTGCCTCAGTTTACATTCATTAATGTGCGTAAATTTAACGAGGTTTCGTGACTCACCAAGTGCCCCTTTGTTAACTTTCTTTTAAAAAAATTTGACACGTAACATATTTCCCAATAGTTTCAACATCATACTTTACGGTACTCGATTTTATTTTATTTATAAGACTAGTAAGACCAATATGAAATTTTAAATATTAAATATTGAATTTTCCTCGTCCCTGGTTGTGCACCCTTGATAAATGTCTGGGTACGTCACTGCATCTTGGCAATGGAAAACTTTGGAATGTAGACTTTTACTCGACAACTCATCGCGTTAGCGTGTATTGTGACATTCGTTGCATTCTTTTATCGAGACTTGGTATGCACGCTCGAGTCGAACGAGAATCTGTCAAGTTGCTAAAAATTCGAACGGCGAGCAGACTCGGTTTATTGAACCGATAGTTTGGATGTTTGAAACGTTCTGTTGTTTCACCGTGTATTTCAAGTTTCAATGATCCGCTAACACGCTTAAGCAGGCCGTTCCAGTTTGCTTCATAAATAAATATACCGTATAGAACTCGTTGAATTGACTCTTCCGGTGGTGTGTATGATCCGTGGGCTCCGTAACTGGACGGTAAACCTTTGGTGCGCGTGCGTCGAACGCGCATGGGCGTTCCATAAACGTGACGGGTATATAAGCGTTGCAAGTATCCCGCACAACGCAGTCGAACGGTAATCGACTACAGATCTTGACGTCTTCTGCATAATTAGAGCGTTAAATGATTAAAATTAGAGCGGACAAATTGTAAAACAGTTGAATCGTAAATATGTAGAGTTACTTCAATATATATTTCTTTCTCTTTCTTTTTATCATATTCCGAAGCAAAACGATGAGTCGACACCATGCTACGCTAATACACACCTCTACAGATTATCGAGATAATGCATATCTTTACAGATTATTGAGATAATGCGTATCTTTTTGAACACGAAGGGTGTGTGTTCTAGCGATATCGTTTCCGTTCAGTCGACAGGATGAAAGCAGTAATACGTGACCTTCTTTTTCCCTTTTAGGAGCCTGCATTCCTCGTTCCTGGAGTACGAACGTAACACCGTTAGTTGTTCTACGCGTTAATTCGTGCGTGTGCTAACCGTGCGTGTATCGTGACTCGTCTGGTTTTTTACAGAATTCGCGCCATTATAAGGGTTCTGGCAACCTGTTCCGCGCAAGGTAAACGTGCCAATAATTGGCCAGCTAAAAATAGTACGTTATAATTATTACGTATACTATTTAGGGCGTTACAAGTTTTTAAAGTGTTATACATATATTTCCAATATGATTGTTTGGAAATTTATGCATCATCAAATTTATGTATCATTGTATATTCGGTTCTTAAGTTATTTAACAAACACAATGCTGCTTTGAATGCAACAGATGGAATGGAATACCACCATGTGTTGTTGCATTCAATAATTGCAGGTGGAAGGTTACAAAAAAGAGATTAAGATGCAACGAGTAGGAATTGAAATTGGACTTAAAATCCGCGAAAATTCAGGTACAAATATTTAATCAGTAGCATGTTTAATTTAGAAAATTGATAAAAGGCGAGAACAAATTTAGTTTATCGAACGAGCAAATAGTTCTTGAGGATTGTGTAAATACTTCATGCGTGTATACTGTTCGATAAAGAATGATAAGCTTTTTACAAAACTGCTCACGGCAAACGCAACAGTGTAAGTTTAGCGGTATGTTATGAAAAACATTGAAATCGCGAGTAGAATTGTTGATAACTTTTAGTGTGGAAAGTCTACAATTAATATCGAATAATTTATCAACAATGTGCATTTATTGCTGCGTATAAGCGTGCATGTTGGCAATTGGCTGCCAGGAGTATCGTAGCCGAGGCACGTGGGTAGTTAGCGTCGACAACTGTTCCACCCACGCAGGATCGAGAGCTAAACTCGCGAAAGGTCACGTAGGATCAGAGCCTTTTTTTCGGGCGATTTAAGCCTGAAAAATGGCACCGGAAGATGGCAGCAAGCGTGGAGCGAATCTCAAGCACTACTCGACATTCTTTATCCAGAGACAAGTGGCCTCGAATGAATACGCGGAGACAACACTGTTACGCGCCATTTATAATTTGTGCGTGGCGGTCAAACTTCGCGTGGCTGTCGAGTAATTACAAAGGAATTAATATTTCATAAACCGTGGTCAGTGTATTTAATCAGTGTACAAATTTTAGATATCATATTACCGGAGCTCGGTTGGTAGACACAGATGCTATCTATCTTGATATGCCCTTCGAACGTTGAGCTAGGATTAAATAAATTTTTTTTCAATTTTGTCGAAAAATTTCTCCACCTTCTCGAATTCTTTTCTAGAAAGTGGGTAGGATTTCGGGGGTATGTCTATTCACCAAAAATGTTTCTAATTGACCCCTGAAATCAAAAATAATTTTTCCAGAACGATTTGAATTTTTTCAATTTTGTCGAAAAATTTCACACCTCGAATTTTTTTCTAGAAAGTGGGTAGGATTTCGGGGGTATGTCTACTCACCAAAAATGTTTCTAATTGACCCCCAGACCCGAAAATAATTTTTTTAGAACAATTGAAAATTTTTCAATTTTGTCGAAAAATTTCACACCTTCTCGAATTTTTTTCTAGAAAGTGGGTAGGATTTCGGGGGTATGTCTATTCACCAAAAATGTTTCTAATTGACCCCTGCAATCAAAAATAATTTTTCCAGAACGATTTGAAATTTTTCAATTTTGTCGAAAAATTTCTCCACCTTCTCGAATTTTTTTCTAGAAAGTGGGTAGGATTTCGGGGGTATGTCTATTCACCAAAAATGATTGTAATTGACCCCCGCAACCGAAAATAATTTTTCCAGAACGATTTGAAATTTTGGAATTTAATTGTTTTGAACATCAATTTCGTTGGTTAGGAACCCTACTTCGTCTTCGATTAGAATTGTTTAGAAGTGCTGACTGAAACAGTATTCGTCTACACGCCAGCTTTCTATATTCATTTAGACTTCACAATTGTCCGATTCCTGCAACTACTGCAGCTAAGAAACTCATTGTGATCGTAATTATATTATAATTGCTGTACATGTTACGATACATTATTCATCGCGTTCCTTACGTAGACTTAAACGTACATATTGTATATGTATAATCGGTACCACCTATTATTATAAAACCTGAAAAATAATGGTTACATAACCTACAATATGTTAGCCGTTCGAGTAATAAAAGGTCTTCGTAACTGTTTCTATCTTATATTCGTACATGCATTACGCTATCTTTTAGTCGCAGAGTGTGCGATGTTAGTATCCATAAAAGCGTGTAAATATTAATTTATCTAGTGGACTTGGTTGACTTAGCGAGATGACCTCTTTGGTCTTACAATTAGAAGATAAGCGGTATCTATTTACGCTTTTGTATGTCGATTACAAATCTGTCTCATTCTTGTCGACCAACCGGCGCGCCCGTAACTGCATCGATAAAGAAAATATCTCATCAGATTTGTTTTGCGAACTTCATATCGGGCTGACAACTGCCACTTCCGGTCGCAACAGTCACGCGATATACAATTCGGTTTACGCAAATGCCCGCGCGTGATTCATAAGGTCTAGAGATACTCTATGGCAAAAACGTGACTCCGGGATCGCGGTTTGTGATTCAGACGTTTTGTTGACCGATCCGTTCACGGGCTTTTCTGCACCGATGTATCTCGGACAGTTAATTAATCATCCACCGTAACGCGCGTTATCGAATTAACGCTCGTTCAATTCACTGACAGATTCGAGGTAATCGCGTACTCGCGATTAGCCGTACCACTGTCGGTAATTCAGATAATCTGCAAACATTAATAACGACAGTTAATCGACCGAGTAATTTCTGTTTCAGCAATTAACGAAGTTTATCTTAACAATTGCAACGAATTATTATGTATACACGATGTTTCTAGAGACTGGTACATAAATTGTATATTTTATTCGGTGATAGTGTCTCCATTTCTCCAAAGTAGGGGGCGTCTTATCTGTTAGATCTTTAATTGTAATTTCGTAATTAGACCGTTCCGTGTTGTATAATATACAGTCTTCCGGCATATTGACGTGGGACACGCGTTATTGTTCGAAACGCTTGACGTTAAAACTTTCTACTCGTCGAATTGAAGACGACAATCCGGAAGTTGTAATCAGCCTTCGGCGTATACAATTTTTTGCCGGAGCTCCATGTGATGTACGACGATTGGAACGCGTAATCCGACTATGTGCCTCATAGATTACTTGGCAATGTTCGTTTCGAGCTGAATGAAAATTGTGTAACGACTTTTAAAACGTTGCTCCATTCACGGATAGAAATCTTCGCTAGTTATCGCGCATAAAAAAAGAAAACATTGAATGCGAATCGAATCGTGTTATCTGCTATAAAAATAGCTCTGATAGGTCTCGTGGAGAACAAAAATAACACATGTTTTCTTTTTTCAGGTTCGGAGACATGCTGGTCATTCGGAACGTACGCAGTCCGTAAAGTCGAGATACACGAATATTCAATAGGATATCAGGAGTGTAAAGAAATGTTATTTAAATATATGTATATATGTGTATTTGTTGATTGTTGTTAGAGTGATAACTTATCACTGAGATAAGTCACGATGGCTTTATCGATTTGGTTAGTGGTGTCGATCACCGTTCTGGGAACGGCTCGAGCGCTAGAGGGGCCGAATATATGCACCAGACAAGAAGCGTAAGTAAAACTGTCGAACATGCTCAACACTTGTCCATCGGACATTTTTGAATCGCAGTTTTGGTTTTCACTAAATAAATTTTTTATTGGGAAAAATTATCAAATTAATACAAAATGCATCAAAATTATAGTATATTCTAAAAGGGAAAAGGCTGCTTCGTATTGAGATTCGTAAGGCTGTCGATACGTCGCGTCGGTAAAGTAGAGTTTTCCACGCCGAGTGAGAACCACTGTCGTGCGCGCGCAGCTCTAAGCAAATAGCCGTTCTACAAGTGTAACTTCAAACGTTAATAACTTTTTAACGAAGCCTCGAGTAACAAATTGGTATTCTTGATTTTCGTTTTATTTTGCTCTCCAGAATCTCTCATTACAATTTTTATTGATGTTTTGAGCATACGCATTATTTTTTTCGTGTAAAATTACCAGACTATCCTTTTCTTAATGCTGTTTCCTTCACTGAGCTCTAACGCGTGATTTTAGGTATACGATAACAGTGACGGTATCGGAGCAGAAACCTTACACGATACGGGAGAATACCTGGTGCTTCAGCTTTCCGCCAAGATGCTCCAAGTACAAAGTCGTGTACAAGACGATGTACAGGACAGAGGTGAGCGGATTGAATAATCATTGTTGGATTTAAAATAAAGATTTTCCGATCAATATCGTGTCGACGTCTTTTGATCAGGAAATAAAGAAGACCAGACCCGTGGAAGAGTGTTGCTCGGGCTACACACAGACCACGTCCGGCGATCGCTGCATACCTATCTGTTCCAAGGACTGCGTTTATGGCACTTGCATGGCACCAGACTTTTGCAAGTGTGAGTCAGGGTATGGAGGCCCGTTATGCGATTTCAGTAAGCACGTTACTCCTTACCTGTCTATAGTATTTGTTATAAAAATCTGTAAAATCTGGAAGGAATTCTATATGGGGCTGAGATCGATGAGTATGATCTTGCAGACTTTAAATGCGTTTCTCTCGAAACGTTACTTTCTTAACTGGCGTAGATAAAATCTAAAAAAACTATAACGTCAGATGTAACATTTCCTTAAAAGAAATTAAGAAAAATGGTTCAATTTTCTATCGTTCACACGAGACTCCCCCCTTAAGCGTTCCGCGTTTTACCAAGGTTCTGGGGCAAGTGCCGTGGTGTTCATCACAGTCCTCTTACCAAAAGGCAAAGCCTTCCCCCACTCCGTGGTCAGATCCATCTAGAAAATCCTTATCTTACCACACGTGTCGTGCAGCGCCATAACTTCGGGTCATCGCCACACTTACGGTAACTTCGAAGATCGGCGATGGGGTTCCTTATCGCCGATCCATAAACAAAACATCCACGACTCGAGTATCAATTACGTCGGTCCAAGTCTGATAGATACACTTAATTACTTACTTATCGTACGATACTCTTGAGAATCTGGTCAAAGCCTCAAATGCATTAACCCTGACACGTGTCACCCCTTGAAAAAGGAATTGACGCTAATATATTAAAGTTAAAATAACTAGATAGTTGATTGTTAAAAAGGTAAGACCTATACGGTAAAATAATTGAAATCGGTACATTGGCTTGGCTGCCTGTAACGATCAAAGGGACTTTAATTAATGCTTGAAAATATTTGCTCCTCCACAGAGTGCCCGCCTGGGAAATGGGGCAAATCTTGCGAGAGCGATTGCATGTGCCAGAATGGGGCTACCTGCGATCCCTTCGATGGCAAGTGTATGTGCACCAGAGGTTGGGCTGGTCGCTATTGCGATGAAAAATGTCCTTCGAACCGATACGGACAGGACTGTGGCGAAGAATGTCGTTGTAGAAACGGTGGAAGTTGCCATCACATCTCTGGCGAGTGCCATTGCGCTCCTGGCTATACGGGACCCCTGTGAGCTCTTTATTCCATTGGAAATACGTGTGTTAATTACACTGGCCAACGAACAGTCATATAGATTTTGATATCTCTGATGTTTCACCACAGATTATCGAATACTAAAAATAAAAATTATTAAAATGTCCAATTTTAGTTTGTGGTTATTGCTTGGACAAAGAATACATATTTGTCGTTGACCAGTGTTATCGTAAGAGTAAAATTCAATCTTGAATGGATTCTAACAATTATTTCGACAGCTGTGACGATTTATGCCCGCCTGGGAAACACGGCGATGAGTGCAAATCAGAGTGCAGATGTCAAAATGGCGGTTCTTGTAGCCCCACCACCGGCGAATGCTACTGTACCCCCGGATGGATTGTAAGTACTCGTTTAAAATTAAAACGACGATATACAAAAGTCTTGTTGCACGATTCACACATGATACTTGATGAAACAGGGCTCGGTCTGTGCGAATCGTTGCCCCGAAGGTTTCTGGGGCAAAAATTGCTCTCAAACCTGTGATTGCTACAACGAAGCGGGCTGTAATCACATCGCAGGGGAATGTGAATGCAAACCTGGCTACTACGGCGACAAGGTGAATTTCCTACGAACGTTTCAAACAGAATACAACGGTCTTCGATAACGTTTCTGATTTTAATAATTTTTTCGCAGTGCTTGCACATATGCCCCAAGGGAAAGTTCGGTTTGAACTGTACCGATAATTGTACCTGTGAAAATGACGCAGCGTGTTCTCCGGTTAATGGCAGTTGTGCGTGCAGTTCCGGTTGGATGGGTGAAAAGTGCAATAAACGTGTCTGCGAGGACAAATATTGGGGGCCCGGTTGCTCGAAGGTAAATATAATAAAAGTTTTATTTATTAACCAATTTATTTTTTGTAAATTATTATTCAGGTCTGCGACTGCGACAACGACAATACAGAACTCTGTCATCCTTGGACGGGGAAGTGCATTTGTAAAACTGGCTGGGACGGTGACTCTTGTGCCAGGCCATGTCCGTTTTACACGTACGGCAAAGGCTGTCAGCATCGTTGTAACTGCAAGAACAACGCGCAATGTTCGCCAGTAAACGGAACCTGTATCTGCGCGGCGGGATACAGAGGTGAGGATTGTAGCGAAATATGTCCCGTCAACACATACGGCGAGAACTGTGCGCAGAAATGCGTCTGCAAGAACGGCGCCACTTGCTCGCCCGAGAACGGATGGTGCAACTGTACGGCAGGTAATCAATTATATTTTCACGCTGCAAAGACAAACGATGAGCGAGAATTAGACGATTCGTAATTAAAGATAAAAGATGTAACCGTTAATGCGCTCCTGATAAGAGAAGTACCCTTGACCCAATAAGCATCTTGTGATTGTGTTATCTATACATTCCTATAGTTGACGTTGATTTGCTTTCTCCGTTTGTTTCATCGAATGTCCATTAACATAGTTTATCGTAGTGTAATCGTAAATTGCATTGGAAAGGAAAGACAATGACTGATAGTAGTTCTCGGTAGCGTGTTACATACAAATTAGAAACAATTGCACATTGCTCCTAATTCTAAATTATAATTGAAGAGATGCGATCAATTGTATATAACGTTAAGGTAAGTAGCTGTTACAGATCGTAGAACATCGATTAATATTCTTACGTTAAGATATCGGTATAGAAAATGAAGAAACTTTTGTTTCTGCATGTATACTTATTACATTTTGTTAGGATGGGTTGGTGTTTCGTGTAATCGTCCCTGCGACGACAAATCATACGGCAAGGACTGCGAGAACCAATGCGAATGCTTTAACAATGCCGCCTGTAATCCCCAAAATGGTAAGGTGGCTGGTTGCAACGATTTCTGTTATTAAACCATCAAAAATTCAATGTTTCGACCCTCTAACCGAGAAGCATTGATTTTTGTTGATCCTTGATTGCGTTGATCACCTCTGTCCGTTTTTTCATCCCCCCTAAAATTGTTTTCCTATCTTCACTGCAAGCCTTATACCTTTTTTTTATATTTGTATATTTTATTTTTTACATTTTAGTGCACGTTTTCAAGACTCACATTTTTGTCTATTATTCTATCCTCCTGTTTCATCCTCGTTGCATCTGCACCCAAAACACTTTAGTTTTCTTAAACGCGCAGGCACATGCACGTGTGCAGCTGGTTTCACCGGCCAATTTTGCCAGGATCGTTGCAATAATGGAACATTCGGACAAGGATGCACTCAGGTCTGTGATTGCCACGAGGAGAACAGTTTGGAGTGCGATTCTGCCACCGGTCGTTGCATCTGTAAGCCAGAGTGGCGAGGTTTGTTTCATCTTTAATTCGTCGATCAATCGCCATACATGAAAGTTTCTTAACCTGTCCTCTCCTCGTTAACAATTTTAATTGTACTCGTTTCATTATTCGCATCTTTTTTTTAAATTTATAATCGAACGTTCCACCTTGGCTACGCCCTTAGATGCATTTAAATTATAAAATTATTCGAGGGTGCTATAGCGTACAATGCACGAGGAATATAACGAATGACAATGAAGTAAAGCAATATAGACTGAATAGCGCGGTTCGATGGCGATTTGATCTTCGATAAAGTTTCTTAATTTATTGATACGAAACAGGGGTCCGCTGTGAGACAAAGTGCCCAGAAGGCCTTTATGGCGACGACTGCCATTCACAGTGCAATTGCATGAACAATAGTTCGTGCGATCCGCAAACGGGCACATGTATTTGTGCCAGAGGCTGGGACGGAGTTGACTGTTCTCAACCTTGCAAAGAAGGCTGGTACGGTGTGCATTGTAAAGAAAGATGTCCAGAGAAAATGCAGGGTAAGAATGACAGATAATTTTAGCCGATCGTGAGGAAAATCGAGCCTCCACGGCTCTTTTAAAGGATAATAATTACAGTACTATACATGTAACACAGGAAACAGGAAACTTTAACACACCAAACACGTTTGAGTCTTAACGTAGAGCATGAAGCTTAACCTCGTACCTTAGATTGTGTTACACACTTTGCACCGTAGTTAGAACATTATTAATTGAAATGATTCATGGTGTTCACATATGCATGTTATACAGATAATTTGAACACACTTTTTTAACGCCTTACAATAATAAATAATAAGTACAGCAAAACAATGCTTTTACCATGAATGTAATTGAAAGAGTCATGACTTTGTCATCCTGTGCTCTTACTATTGCAAACATCAGTGTGGGTGGTAAGTCTTTTAATACTATTATAATACACTTGTAACGGTCGAAGCGTAACGGAGTATCATAGACAACGATTAGAGTAGTAAAAGTAAAAGTAAAAGTACATTTCTAACTAATCCATAGGTCTTCCAAAAAATGCAGCCCCTGGGGCTTGAAATTTATACATTTGATCTTTCAGGTAACATGACCTGCGATCATGTCACTGGTGAATACGTATGCCGGCCAGGATACTTGGGTCTAACTTGCGAACATCCTTGTCCGCCTACTCGTTATGGACTGAATTGTGCCCATCATTGTCGGTGCAAGAATGGTGGAGAATGTCATCATGTGACAGGTACAGTTTCCCATTTATTTCTTTATATTTTCTTCTTCTAATATACTGTATTACTGTTTCAGGTGTGTGCCAGTGTCGACCAGGTTGGCAAGGTGACCACTGTCAAACACCCTGTGCAGAGGGGATGTATGGCATAAATTGCACTCAACACTGTACATGCCAACATGGGGGTAAATGCAGGTCTAACGATGGTCATTGTCGTTGTGCACCCGGTTGGACCGGCACCAAATGTACAGACAGTAAGTGAAGAAGAATTTTTGTACGAAATTGTTAGAACAATATTCTTCAACCCTTTGCATTACTCTGAAATTTGGAAGAAGTCGTACCTAACCTATACGCCCGAATGATCGGTACGTTGTCCTAATATCGGAACTCGAAACTCGATATGTCGATATTTCCTAGTTCGACTCGTGTTATTCACGTTTGACGTGAAATTGAACAACGAGTCAGACTCGTGAAAATAGTGCAAGGGGTTAAATGGACGAAAATTTTCTAACGACGGCCATGTTTGTTTCGTCAAAAGTTGAAAAGAAGTTACCAAATAATTAAACAAATTTCTTCGTTCTTTTGCTTATTCTTTCACAAAGAATGTATTAAATGTTTGGTGTATTTGCGAATAGCCTGTCCAGAAGGATATTATGGGGATCACTGTATGGAACCATGCGATTGCAAGAGCGACTTCTTCACCTGCCACGCTGCCGAGGGTTGCATTTGCAGACAAGGATACGGAGGTACAATTCGCTATTCGAGATCGAACGATATAACATTGAACACTTTGATATACAGTAAACGTTGTTTAGGTCCAAATTGCGACGAAGAATTATTTGCGCATAACATTCAACAAAAAGATGAAGGCGGATACGGAAGCATGGTTGCAGGATTTTTATTCGCTGCTGTCGTTGTCGCTGCTATGACTTTGGCGGGTTGGATATATCACCGACGCAGAGTAGCAGATCTGAAAAATGAAATTGCACAAGTGCAATATATCGCCGAGCCTCCATCCCCGCCGGGTATGTCATTTTCAAAGCGACTATTTTTATTACGTCTGAAGAACAGTTGTTGTAACCGTTGATTATATATTTAACACAGAACAAACGCAGTTCGACAATCCCGTGTATGCGTATCAGGGTTCCTCCAAGTTCGACGACGGAACCACTACTTTATTAAACAACTTCCAGTTCAGAAATAACCTTGGAACAAGTAAGAAAATAAATAACGAGAAGGCCATACTTGGGTTAAGCAATTGCATGGACGATGATGACGATTGTAAAGGTAGTTATTACATATTAATAATGTAATATTTCTTGAAAATGTGAAAGTACTTACGATAAATCGATTTTAGGGTCGTATAGTCGATACGATATCAAGAATAGAGACGCAGACATGGGGAACCCGAATCTTAACGTGTACCACAGTATTGATGAAATGGACGGGAAGAAGGTTGAACACGTTTACGATGAGATAAAGCAGAACAACGACGAATCGGAGTATGATCAGTTGGACAACCCAAGGCCAGTCAGTAGTTATAATCAGTATAATCGAATGCCCAATGGTTTCTGTTCGAACTCTTCCGATAGTGCAGGACCCAGCAAGGTCAAGGATAAGGATATAGAGCGTGGCGAAACTTAAAATTTTCCAGGTTAAATTAAACAATAATTTCCCCCTTTCAAATACGTGTGTTTCCAATGTGAGTTTAAAAAGAAGGATATTAAAAGCATAACGCTTCTGGTACTTAGCGTATCGATGCTTTACATTTCTCGTTTCAAAGACAGTTTTCATGTATCGTTAACCGTGAGCTCCGAGAAAATGTGTTGAAAATTGAAATATTCCCGTTTAGAAGGATAGAAATGTATTTTAGTTGCTCAGTGTATCAAACATGTACATAGTTTGGGCGATACGACGCGAATGGTTAAATGAATATTTTATTTATAAAATCATATACTCATAGTAATCGTTCACTTTTAGCGGTTTTTTCTCTGTCTGTCGCGTAACGCGACGTTCAGCGACGACGGATGCAATATTATTAAATCGTTGATGTAAAGTAAGGCGGTGTAATCGGCCTTTTAACAACTTACTCGGAAGAGGATTGAATGTTTATTCGTTACCATAATTATATATAGTTGAGAGCGAAGCTTAAGAGATTGTTAGGTACAATGATGTGATAGAATTGTGCAAGAAAAGTTTGTGATGTTTATAGAAACGATACAAAAAAATTATTACTTAAAATGGCAGGTTTTAAACTTTAGGGTAGCAATTTCCAAACTTTTTGAGAAAATATACTTCGAGAGTTGTTGAATATTGATAGGAAGAAATATTTAACTGATACAAATCTTCCTATATTATAAATTTTAAAAACGTTCCCCTTTGGAGTCGCGTTCTCCACTTTGGGAGACACTGTGTCGCAGTGAAAATGTGATCGCAAATATTTGCATACGAGAATGCCTTACAAATTTGGAAGTGATACGTACGACAAAATTCTATATAATAATCATTTCATAATCAGTAGGTGTAGCGATCGAGTTTCGAATACTCATTGATAAATCTATAAGCGAGTCCTTTAATGCATCTCAACTAGTAAGTCTCTTAATACGTGTCTCTTGTAAGTGAATTGGTAAACGTACAAAATCGCCATGTAAGTCTGTTTAAGCTTAATAAGAGACCGATCTAACGATCTCATACAAGCGTACGATTCGAGCAATATCTTACCATTGATGTTTCATATCTCTTTTTCGCATTTTATTCGGTCTACATTTCAATAATTAAGGTAATACCATATCAATATGCATTAGAAAGCACGTGTCTTATTTGTGTACGTATACACAGATAAAAGCAATCGATGGAAATCATTAGAGATATTTCTATAAATCATATTTATTCCTTTTTATATTAGACAATATTCGAAGCCTATTTTTTAATTTCTAAGAAATGTCTATTTTTACGATTTTATATATACTATTTTTATTTTTAGACGTATCCATAAAAAAAAAAAAAAAACAAGATTATTGTGATCGATATAAATATTTGTAAATACCGTTAAATTAAGATATATATATATATATACATGTGTCGTGAAATCGATTATGTTCGAGGTAACATGCCCGTAGAGCTATTTTTAATTATATCTCGTCTTCGCTCGTTCTGTGTATTGTGTCAGAGGATCTTTCTCGCGAGTTCTTAATTATATTTAGAACAGGCGACGCGATCCAATAGAATCCGCCGAAAAATAGCAAGGAGGCCGTGAAGTTCAGGCAGAAATTTACATCTGTAATCAGAAATTCGTTCTTGTAAACTAGATCTATCGATTCGTTCTTTCGCAGAAATAAAGATTTGTTAAGACGACATACTGTGAATGAAACAAAAGATTAGTATGCACAGACCCACGATACTGTAAAATCCTTTGTGAACGCAACGCACCGTCTCAGCGCCCAGAACATCGTACAGAGCTAAATCTTTGCAACTCGATATGCTCCCGATACCGATACCACCCAAAAGGGTACAAATTATAAGCCATAGATAGCTCGTTGCATAACTTAGACCTGTAAAGAAACAACCCTTTATACAATCGATATATAAAAAGTACCGTTCTCGTAAATACAATAGAAGAAATTACATGCCTGCTAGAGTAACGCCGCATAGCCAACATGCTAGCCCAAAATATAGTCTTCTATTCCGACTTGACATTCCTAACACTTTTATACTGGCAATACTTGGCAAAAAAGTGATAAGGCCGGCCATGGTGGACAGCGAGATCCACATGTAAGGATTCTTTACGATTCTGTACGACAAAACGGGCAACAAAACCCAAAAAAACAGGGCAGATACTTCTATTCCAACCCAGCCGAGCACTACCGCCCAAAATCGAAAGGTTTTAAGTGGTCGAAGTTGGTGTTTCCATTTGCATTGCGAGTGAATTACTGGATTCACAAACAGGTCTACCTCCTCCTCGTTGAACTCTTGATAAGCATAGATGTCGTTCCCTTCGCTGAACAACCCTCCGCCGTGTGTCCTTTCCTCGGCCTCGTCGAATTCCATATTTTCTAAGTTATTCCGACCGATCGGGCCCTCTGTGCCCTGGGGAACGTCTGAAGAGATTCTTACAGGTAGTTCGTTGTCCTCTTCGGTCGATAGGAGAAGACTGCGAGTTATAGTTTTAATATTAAGTTCTCCTAAACAGTCGGTTAAATAGTTTGTCTCAAAGACTATCGGCTTAAAATTTAGTTGGATTAATTTCTACCTGATCAGGATTTATTCTTGAACTATTACTTTTAAGCGTAAGATCTACGATGATTGCTTGTTTTATTAAATTGAAATAAATCGCAAGTCAGGATGGTTATAATAAACAGCACGCTTTCGATTCATGGTTTAGGCCATCATTGCATTGAAATTTGATAAAGAAGTAAATAGTAGTTATAAGAATTAGAATAAAATGTATTATTATTGAAAATATATTGCTGGTTGCAACTATTATGATTCACGATTCATTGTTGTATAAATTATAGATTGTGAGAAGAACCTGTAAAGGGAAGAGTGTTGCAGAGAAGGCAACCGAAACGTTAACGTTCCAAGGGCGGTAGGCAGCAGCACGATCGTCATGAGCAGCAGGCCACTTTTCAAGTTAGTTTCGTGCAAGATGAAATTTGTGAAACTGGGAATGAGAACGAGACCGAACGAGGCTCCAATGTTTTTTATTGTCAAAGCTAAGAGCAGCTTTTTCCTAAAGTTTTTCCGCAAAATGTACTCGCTCAGTAGGGTGACAAAACTGGCGCCAATGCCCATCACTGCGCCGGCGCTGGAACTTGCCAAATACGCGCCAACTCCACCAGTTGCGAGATAACCTGTCGCTATAATCCCAACTGCCAATAGAATCACTCCTATTATTCCTACCAAGCGAGGAATCGACGCCATACTCACGATCATTCTCACCCAAGGATCTAAAAGAACGATGCATATTCGATTATAAGATAATTGTATTCTTCATTGCGAGCATCGAGTACAATTATCTCCTTTAACACTAGATTGCCCGAGGAAGTCATTTTGACTGCTTTTTTATTTCAATTGGAAAAACAATTTATAATGACACAATTTCTTAGAATTCTGTGACTTTTTGTTGTAGTTACCCCTTCATTTCCGGTATATATATATTGCCCAGAAGCAGTCATTATGACTGCTTGGGAAATTTCAAGTAATCAAATGACTCTTATTATCGAATCGAGTAAATTTCTTATATGACCAGTTCGACTCTGTATCGAAATAACAGTTTTCTTTTTTCTTCGATTACCGACACATGATAACACACAAGTACATGATAAATTGTCGATTTTGGCGCGTACTTGATAAGTTGCAGTTTCTCAATAAGCTAAAGTAGTACTTATACGAATCTTTATGCAGTGATACTTGTTCCAACAAGTTGTTTATTTCATTTCTTTTGCGCCCTAAATTCATAATGTTAAAAATTAATTTTAAATGAATTTCTTTACACAGTTATTCTTTCGCAATACAGTAATTTTGACTGCTTTTGGGCAATATAGGTATATACTAAGTTTCAGTCTTTCTAATGTTAACTATAAATGTTTCGCTTTACCTGCCAAATAGCCAAAAGCAGTGAACAATATGGGGGCGAGAATAATTTTCTCCCTCCATATATCAAACTCAGAGTTCTCATTCTCGCTTATGTAGCCTAATATTATTCCATAGGTGGATAACAGACTCGGTATGGTCATCTATAAAAATAACGTTTCGAAATAATTCTTTTGAACAAAATGGTTTGTATTAATTGACGATGGTATATTATACAGGGTGTTTAGAAGGACATGGTTAAATAATATCAATAATTCTATACTCACCTGAAGGAATAAGAATCGTATCTATTCGCAAATACAGAATAATAGGACTACATGCTAATTTGATGAAAAATATTGGCCAATACTGCGGCACGTAAAACGACCATCTACCTGTAAAAAAATTATTTTGTATTTCCACAATAAACTTGACTCTTGGTAGCTATCGTAATCGATCAGAAGTGTTTTAAAATGTTGTTACGTTAAATGGAGAATTCCTAAGTGCCAGTATTCTAAATACCCTGTATAAATAATTTCCAATATCGAAATACACCAAATCAACCCGTTGGGAGCATGTTTGTTTGCGAGACAAGTTCAGAAGATAATTTTTTAGTACGCAACAATTGTAATATGGATTTTATTTGAATTAATAAGCAAAGAGTTGATACGGCTATTTGTGCTGACCTGTTTCGTGTAAATTTTCAGTCATACCTGGACCAGAAATACTCCAAATAGGATAATCCATGCGTAACCGCCATCAGGAACCGTAGGTCCCAGCTCTGGAAACGACGTGACGATTTTATCGAGATGAAGACGTTTGGACATTGGCATCCTTTGTGCTTTTTAATTGCCTTCCGCGGAATAGAGCAGCTCAGCGTCAATTTATTAATACACTTAGGCCTACAATAACACTTTGATACACATTGTGGACATTAAATCAACCTGAAAGCGTTATCTTATCTCTGAGAGAAGATGGCAAAGGTTTGATAGCTAATGATAACGAATGTAGAATATCTGAAGATACTCGATGTACATGTATGCCTTTCGGCTATTTAATTGCCGTCGATACGTGAAAAACATTGTATTGGTCCCAATATTTAAACGGTGGCAATTGAAAAGAGTAGGGGGATTCGATAACGGCAAGATTATGTTTGAGTGACAGGTATTATAAGGTATGCAATGTAACTGACAAAACTGGTAACGAAATTTCTTCTAATCTATCAAGTACTATGCAGTAACTCTGTTGGCTACTATTTTCAAAGAGAATGAAATTATGGAAAGTGTTCCAGCCTATCCACGACGAATGAACAGAAACATAAATAAAAATATATATGTAACATTTATTGATCAGTGGACATGTTCGAGTGTATAACAATATTAACGTTATACGCGTTTTCTTTTTAAAATCGCACTTTTACTCTTCTTTTAAACGCTATATTAAGTACTAGGTCGTGCTATAAATATTGTCTTATTATATTCTTCCTATCTAAAATATTATATAATATGTATTTTACAATAGAAAAAGTAGAACTTCGCAACGGTTAAAAAAAAACAGTCTAGATTGTTAAGTACACGCTGATGAACGTTAGCGTTGATTGTTATTAAATCTACTGTCTATCGAGATCGATAGACGCCTATATTTTATTTAGAAAAGTTAATCGTTTGCTAGACATCCTCGCGAGTGTCGCCCGTTGCTATCGAGGTGTACCGCACCCTTTTGTTGACCGAATCTAATATTGGCTCGATTTTCTTTTGCAGTTTCGTGCGTTGCACGTAAATTAACGCGCACACCAGTCCTATCAACACCAACGACAGGAAAAACAACAGAATGGTAGCACCGCGCGGCGCCGATGAGAACAACTTTGGCGCGCAGTTCTTCGTCTCGTGGATCTCGTGCATCGTTTTATCTGCAACAAACGAACGCTTGGAAATGCTACGTATCAACAAAACAATACAACGATTCCAAAGTACCTTCGTTGCACTTCAAGCTGCTCTTATTGCGAACAAATACTTTAGTCTTCTTCATCCATTTAACAAAGGGATTGAGCTTGCAGGAACATTCGAGGGGATTTCCAGTGAAGTCCACCGCTATGCTCTGATTGCGCTTGGCTATCGCGTCCATGGCGTGGAGGTCGCGATCGAGCAGTTTGGTGAAGTTGTTGCGTTGCAGGTCCAGGAAACGTAGCTTGTGCAAACACGATATATTAAAATGAAGAGCGTTCAGCGTATTGTCGCCCAGATATAGATCCAAGATGTTAGGTAGGTCGCAGAACACGTTGGGGTCCCGGAATTCTGATATTTCATTTTGTTCCAGATGCAGCTTCATCAGTTGCGTCAAATTGCTGGAAGAAGAGACGAAATATACGTTCAAGGGTATGTCTGATTTGAGGCCTCTTTTTTTATATTAACATAATTTACATCAACGATTATTTTTACAGTTATCTGAACGAGATACCTGTTCACAAAAATATCGTGTAGCGTGGCTGCTAGATCCCTCGGTGGACCATCTTCGAAAGCGTCGGTCAGATGGAGTTCCAGTAACGATACAAAATTGGAGAACACTCTGGGATGGCTCCTCCCGGGGTCCAACGAGAGCTTGTTGAAATCGAGAATAAGACGCTCGACGCGTTGGACGTGGTGGTACGCCTTCCCTCGAATCTCTCTGATTTTATTCTTCGACATGTCGATCACGCGTAATTCGGGTAGACTGTCCAGGGTGCCAAACACATTCCAGGGCAGTTCCTCTAGATAGTTCCCCGTGAAAATTAGAACCTGTAAACGATAGCTCGAACATTATAATTTCACTTTTAAAATTTACCAGAGTAGTATTTTAAAACATGTTAATATCGTCTTACTTGCGTTTCGTTCGGTAAGCGTGTTAAAGGCGCGGTATTATAGAATCCCGAGTCGGTGCAGTTGACAACATATTGATGACGGTTCTCGTAACAGGTCCTCATGCAGGAACAACGATACTCGAAGATCGATCCGCACTCCGATTTCGAGGACTCTGACGTCTCCAACGAGTGCCAATTCGGATCGTTGCAATTGGGCGGTTCAGCGGTGGACACGCATATCAGAAAGAATATCACGTAAAATTTCTTCATCATGCACCTGAAAGGTAAAGGAATTTGTAATTTTTATCAAACATCGTCAAGTAACTTCACTTTGCGATAAACCGTTGTGTAACTTACGTGCAGACTCATCTGTCAAAGCAAGGCGAATCCAGCGAAAGTTTTTAGTTTAGAATCATCGCCACCACTTTGTTGCTCGTCAGGCAGTCAAATTTTCAAACTTTTTGATTCGCAATTTCAATTTTCTTTTATCTGTGTCCGAACAAGTAAGCGGTATTATTAACAGTTTCGAATATTTTCGCGCAAACTGCATTAAAAATCTCAGCTTTCGATTGGCTGAAAAACGATTCGAGCGCCACCAATGAGATTGTAGTTTGAAAGTGTCTCTAGTAGCGTTTTTTAAGCGATGTGCTCGATTGTCCGTTCCCTTCCCGATTTCGATGATCTTCAAGTGTATTATAAAGAGTGAAATTTTGAGCAGTTTTTTCACATCGTATTCAGCTTATAAGTACGCGTCCGTGGCAGTGTGTGCCTCAGTAGGCCACTGACTGTTATATCGAATGCATTGTCGGTACTCCGCAATGGCGGCAACTTTTATGTTTACACGTTGCCACGGACGCGTACGTATAGATAGAATTCAATGTATTAGCGCGAAGTAATTTTGCTAATATCTTGATCGATAATTTTATCGAAAGAAAACGTTGTTCAAAATTTTATCCTTTATAACATATTTAAAAATCATCGATATCGGCGATCAGGTAATCGAGTACTCCGATCAATTTTTATTCGATGAAGTATAATCATTAACGCACGATAAAAGGCGCGAATATGGTTTTCTGCCAAGAAAACTTGGAAACGATTATGCGATCGACGTTTGGCTTTGAAAACTTCAAGAATGCCATTCAGAAAGAAGCTGCTATCGCGATCGGTAAAGGTTAGTTCATTTTGCTCCAAAACTTTTCCTACTTTTTTTCTGCATTTTGAATGTTGATAAACTGATTAGCTTTGATGTCGTGTAAACTTTAGTTGATTTTTCAATACAAAATTGTAGGCTCGGAATATGTATGTATATCCATGCCACCGAAATTTGGTAGGAATCTTTGTTTTCAATTACCAATCGTATTGCAACAGGGCAAAGTCAGTTTGGTGTTTTCACCAAACATATCTTACAATCAGGTAAGGATTCTAATAGCTTTATATCGTATATAAATAATGCATTGTATGTTCCTTAAATGTCACAATACAAATAACTCTAATTAATCTTGTTGTTGTTTATTACATGCTTGAATGTTTTCAGAAACATGTAGATTTTTTAAGGAGCAAACAGATTAATGCACACGTATTAACTTCGCGTATGTATGCTAACAAACGAAATGCCATTGTAAAAGATTTAACATCTATATGTCCTACGATAGCATTACTATATTGCACACCTGACTTGATTAAATATGGGTACTTTCAGGTAAACAATATATTTCAGTGGCTCTTAACCTTTTGTATACCATAGATCCCCTTTAAATAATTTTAATAGCCTAAGCGTTAATGCATATCCGTTCAAACAAATATTACTTGCATATAAGCACTTAGCAATTATCTGGGGGTCCATGAACCGTAGCTTAAGAATCGCTGGTATATATTACAAGCTTTTTCTTGTATCATAACACTACTAAATTAACTTGAACATACATTAACAGTACTTGATGTTTTCTCTAACATCTCGTGGAATATTGTCTTACATTGTATTCAACGAGGCTCATCGTTTAAGCGAGTGGGGATACGATTATACAGTTAGTTACCAAGGATTGTGTTTATTTCATATATCCATTCCTAAAGTTGTAGTTACTACAACCGTTACAGATAAGGTAATTACTTAGAACTAGCTGCGAACAAGTTATATTTATATTTATAATGCTTCTACTAAATGTTCAATGTGTGCTTATCGAACATTCTGATAGGTACTGGAAGATATTTGCAAATTGTTAAAACTACATGCACCAAAAATATTTAAAATACCGGTAGAAAGAATCAATGTACATCACGATGTATGGTTTTTAGACATGATTTCTTGTCCGTTCGAGCATCTTAGAGATTTTATCATAAAAGCGCTTGGTACATTGAATGTATCCGATCAAAAGGTAATTCAAATTGTCTTTTCGCTGTGTTACAAGATACATACTCGTGTGGTTTATCTGTATTCAGATGGGTCTTGTTTACTGTAGAGAAGAAACCATGGCGGAGTTGATAAAGTGTAAATTAAACACTTTTGGTATAAGTACGCTTGCGTATCACCACAGTAAGCATGTTAATTGATACATTACTACTCCTTTCTGCGTATACGTGTCCTTGACTGTAGTTTAACTTTTCAAAGGACGCTTTAAGCGAATGTTATGTTCGAGTCAGAAAGGGTTAAAATACTTTGTATACTTATCCCTTATTGAAAATATAATGTGACTTATTCTAGAGCTAAATAATACCGCTCGACGTAACGTAGAAAATAAGTGGATATCTGGAGATGCTAAGATTATTATCACCACGTACAATTATGGATTCATTCATAAAAAACCAATTAGGTCAGCTGATATTGTTCCATAATAAAAGAAACAACGTGCACTGCTAAAGAGCTAGCTATAACTGATCTGTAAAATATTTATTCAATCAGATGTCTAGTGTATTGGACAGTGCCTGGAAACATTGCCAAATACTATAGAGAATCCGCAGAAATGTGTATGGACAATGACGTCGCATATTGTAGAATATATTTTAGTACAAAGGAATATTCTTCTGTGAAATTTGTTATCGAAAATCACAGAACCATTAAAAATCCAGAGCATATCGAGAAACGATTAAACGAGTACAACAAATTTGTGTCCTACTGTTTGTTGACTAAGTAAGAAATTTGAATAAAGTTTAATCGGGTGATTTTAACAAAATTACATATATAAAATTATATGTAACTGTATGTAGATGTCGCCATACGATCATTAGCGAATATTTCGGATATATTACACAGCCTTGCATAACGGACTGCGATGTTTGTAAAAACAAGGGGGAAGTAAAAAGAAGATTGCTCCAGTTTATCGAGCATTCCGAAAATGTGAAAAAAATTAAATACAACATGTAAGTAAATAAATTTTACAGCTTGATTACGGTCCTCATCGTGTGACAGAAAGAGAATAATTCTATTTCTAATTCTTAGTTACGATGTAAACGAGGATTTGATAAAAAAAGAAAATATAGAAGATGATAAAGATCGATTGGAGGAAAGTTCAGAAAATAAATGCAAAGTCGAAATTACGTTTAAAGATATTGTTACGGTCGAAAACGATGAAAAAGTAATTGTACAATGTGATAATGAGCAAAAACCAACGGCCCAATCGTTGGCAGGCAAATGCAACATTAATTTGAAGATGTTATCGTTGGAACCTTGTGGTTTCAAGAATAACGTTGGAAAGAACTCTGCCAGAAGAAGTAATTTGAGAAGGCAGTCGAGAATCGAGAGCTTAAATAGCGACGGTGGCGCGCAGAAGATTAAAAAAGAGGATCGAAGTTCAGACAACGATCTTTGCGAGGCTACCGGTGCCTTTGATACAAGAGAACAAACCAAAAGAAAAATGAAACGTTCGATTTCCATGGACACGTGTCCCGACGAGTTGAAGCCAAAAAGAAGAAAATTGAAAACCGAAAATAAATCAACCAGCGTGACACTGATACAGAAAGATAGAGAAACTTCTGACTGGGACAAACGCATCAAGGATGACGCAAATGAAAGCGTGGAACATTTGATGGACAAATACAAGTTGAACAAGGATTTGATAACGCTGACGCTGCGTTAATTGATGTATTCATCAAAGAACTAATGATAAAGTGGAAACTTAAATAATAATTGTATTGATTTTGTAAAGATACGCTTTGATTATCTTGTCGAATATGTGGTAATTATTTAGAAAAGGGGGGCCCCACCGATTTCGATGATTTTTTAATATGTGTAGAAATCATTTTGAACAACTTTTTTCTGTACATATAAACGCCTTAGTTTTCGAGATTTTTCTTCGAAAAGATTGCTGCTACTACAATCCTAACCCAGACCTAATCCAGACCTAACCCAGATGTACATGTCTGTGACTTTGTATGCGTCAGATTTTTTCTCTTGTTTGTATTATAATTTGTAATAATTTATAACGTGTCAAGCTAAATCTAGTTCTGCATTGATATCGTTATTAAACGCATTGCTGTCAAAGGTTTTCGAATACTTCGAAGTGTAGAAATATGGAAACTAATGGTGTATATATGGTGAATAGGAAAAAGTTGTTCAAAAATCATCGAAATCGGTGAGACCCCCCTTTATCTAAATAATTACCGAAAAATGCAATCTTTCCATAAAGAAGGAAGTTATAATTTCAATTGATCATGAATGCAAGCCAGACGATGGCTTTAGGATTAGAGAAATATTGTTAGCATAAATTTTTAAAATTTGTATATACATTTGTATAATGAAATAAACGAAATTTGATCTAAAACATTTTTTTAACCCCAAACTAGGATACATTAAAACGAAGGACACCCTGTATATCTGAATCCTACGTCATCCTGTTCGCATCTCGTGTGTGTACATATGTATATTGCGTCGTTCGTGTCCTATGGACTGTGACGTCATTTTAATTATTATGGTTTTTCACCTTTGCTTTAAGTTTGGAAAGAAATTAAATTTTTCTGCCATAAGTAGCAGACTTAAAACGTGTGTCACATTTTACTTTGTATAATTTTCAACGATGTCAGCAGATAGTGCACAACAATGTCACTGTCAGCAAAACGGGGGCTTCCCAGGGGAAGGAACTATGACTCGATATGATATTGCAGATCAGATTAATTTAATTCTATCAGTGTCAGTGTCAGTCGAATACGGGTGCAGTTCTGTAATAATTCCGTCGATGGATGACCATCCTATCGTTAGTCCTGTCACTACAGATCCACGCTGATAATCGTAGATAGCGTTACAAAGTAAGTCGATCAACTTATTTTCACTTTTCGCGCAAAGTTCAGGAAAATTTTGATATCTCAGTCACCCTGTAACTGAGGACTATGGTCGTCTTCACCCCCCCCACCAAATATCGAAAATATAAAACCCTTAGAAATCCGTTCGAATATCGAAATATATTTGTTAAGTTATTATCGATGCAACAAAAATTTGGTGAAGATACTCGACGCTCTACGAATCTCGGTTGTTAATAGGAATCATTGGTTATGTCTATTTGGACCAGAGTCTGCGGAAGCCCCCAACAACAGCGTAGAAGAATAGAATAAATTGCACATTGTGAGTACCAACATTCAAACAGTCGAATTTTTGACAAGGAATTTATTTCCTAAAAACCTCAAAAAAATTCCAAAGGCGAACGATTAAAAGTGTCGGCAAGTAATCCTTCCTACGTGTCGATTTTTCTAAGATCGTCGTCTTATATTTGCACGAAGGCCAATATTCATCAGTATGTTAAACTGTGTTCGCAATAAAGGACGATGAGTAATAATTACTACAACTATTCATTCGCTCGTCGCATCGTTATCTAGAATAAATTTTTTACACTGTTCTTTTCGAGATAGGTTTTTAGCTTGCACGCGAGTTCTAGATATTTTATTTGTTTGTTTTCTAGATTGAATATTATCGTCTCGACACTAGAGCCGAAGTAGGTCGACGCGTCATACTTCTCGTAAACCATCGAACTTGTTCACCCACGCAACAGGTGATATCAAGCACAAAATAATCGTCGTACAGGAGACCGTCACCCGTTATATATCCAGCCATGCTACACATTATAATATTTAATATGTTATATATACCGTGCTATTCTATACGTCCTAATAGACGCAAAGCTATAGATTCTACCATGGATACGTTATCGAATGTGGCGTGTAGTATATTACCTTTATTATACTATGCACTGTACTTTATATTATATAGTATATACTATCCTCTGTACTATATAATACATCTTGCACTGATTATAATATACCATATAATACGTGGTGCTATTGCACTGTTGGGAACTGCCAAATCACGATATAGGCGGATTTAAGCTCTTGCCGCTTAATTTGGAAAATTCGAAATGCACTACGCTACTAACCACATCTTTTTATTATACATTGTACACATTTAAGAACAATCTACTTCGAGTCACGATAAATGTCTGGTACGAAATCATAAAATTCCTCATTAAAATATAAGAATTTTTAAACAATTTTTAGACATTGGTTCTTTTACTTTGTTGCATCGCCGAACACGCTGCGTGTCCTCCCTAACTTTTCGTCGTTGTGCAAACAATGGAATTAACGACGCGTCTCGACACCGCCAAAAATAAATGAATTATTCGTGCACGTTCTTCACTCACCGTTACGAAACAAGAGACGAGATCGTGATTCATCCGAGTGGCCGGGTTCACCGGCGAAAATGTTTCTCTGTTATCGTCGAGGGAATCGTCGGGGCTGTTGTCGCCTCGCTGGACCCCGGGACGACTGGCGCAGCGGCGGCGATACGCGCTGGATGTTCCAGTAACACTGAAAATATATCGGCGGTTTACGAACGGGAACCGCTTAGCAACCCGATCTCCTCTTGAGTTTCACCGAAAACAGCCACGCCGCTCTGTTGACACGTTCACGGCGGGGACAACCTGTTGGAGGTGGCCGGCGACCGAAACGAGTCGCGAGAGACGCTCGAAATAATCGAGACGGGCTGGATCGAGGCGGAAAAACGGACTTCCCTCCAGCGCGCGACGAAATCACCGTGGTATTTGCTCGTTGGCGCTTCGGACGTAGCTGCCGCACCTGTGCTCCCTCCTTCCTTTCCAAACCTAACCCACACCCTTCTTCGCTTTCTCCTTCTTGCTCCTTCGTCTTCGAAACGGCCCCGCGACGCGTGCTTTTCTTTCTTCTCCGCGACATATTTTTTCATTGTTCACGCGTCCAACGCTGAACCAAATTCGTGACATTATCTATTAGATATTTTCTTTGCGGACAATCGGATACTGCATGATTTAAAGTTTCAGATTCGTCTCGTCGTAAGAATTAATTACCATGTACCATGTTCCTTATTTCTGTATCTCCGAGTATCTTTCTCTTAGAACCCTTCCATGCCACTGTTCCCTTTTGTCTTAATGCCTGTGCATATTTTTTAAAATAGTTTCCTCTTTTCATTTACAAAATGGTATCCTTTGATATCTTTGTATTTTGATGGTTCGTTGTCGGTATGAACGATCACATTTAATCGGTATTAAGAACCAACTACGGAAGTTGCAATGCGCACAAGGTCTTGTAATAACTTCAGTTACGTTTAAGCTTCTTTTCCTGATGCTTCATCAAGGATACAGTTAACATCGATCCAACGAATGTTGCGTTTTAATAAAGATCTAATTTTTTGCTTTTGTATCTTTAAGTCTCTCCAGATAATGACCGAGTATTAAATGAAACCTCAGAAGCTTTATTACGAAAAAATTATAGAAACGAATACAAGAGATAAAGACAAGTTAATCGTGGAAATATTGAGCGACGACACAATAATCGAAGGTGCTAAAAATCCGCGGTTAGAAGAAATGATCTATGACAGATAAGAAGATAACACGATTTACATTACTCGGGCGTGAATAAACTTGTACCATTTTCGCGATGTAACAAACGTTATAACATTACGGAAATAATGAACCTGTATATACTTCGAAGTGAATTATCTGGTAAAAGATCGAAACTTATGAAGCAGGCTGACATACGGACATTGTTTAAAAAGCCATCGTGTGGTACTGTCACAGACGAGGTGTACGAGTACACCTTTCACCTTATGGACCTTCGCGGCCCAATCTGACTGCCATACAGTGATGCCAGATTGAACACCGGATGCACTACACACACTATGTCAGCTCGTGGAGTTTCGGAAGGTCGACAAAGGCAAACTGACGCATGCCCTCTCTCTCTCTCGATTTTCCGAAAATGCCCGAAGTAATTTCGGATCGCCTCGTGGGAGTCGAGAGAGAAGGCTCACAATTGCCTTCTCGCTCTCCAACAACTGAAATTCGACCTCACGTCAACGGCATACGATTCCAAGTCTCGACTGCCCAGGTAATTTCTACTTTTTGACCTATTAAGAATTCTTTTTTATTATTCCTATGTATAAGCGTACATATGTATATCATTTCAGATGTCACTTCTGATATATCTGGCAACGTATAATCATTACTACTCGCTACTGCCAGTCTCTCGCAACCTCTGCTGACCACTCCTAATACTTCTGACAAGGTATAACAATTACTACGTGTTACTGCTTGCTCCTGCTGGTCTCTACATGCCTCTACATACTTCTACATGTATTTACATGCCCCTGCTGGTGTCTGCTGGCCTCTGCCTACCTCCGCTCGCCTTTGATGACCGCTACTGACCACTCCTGATACTTCCGACAACGTATAACGATTACTATGTGTTACTGTTTGCTCCTGCTGGCCTCTACATGCCTCTGCTGGTCTCTACATGCCTCTACATGCCTCTGCTGGCCTCTGCTGGCCTCTGCCTGCCACCAGTCGCCTCTGCTGACCGCTACTGATCACTCCTAATACTTCTGACAAGGTATAACAATTACTACGTGTTACTGCTTGCTTCTGCTGGTCTCTACATGCCTCTACATACTTCTACATGTCTTTACATGCTCCTGCTGGATGTCTGCTGGCCTCTGCCTGCCTCCGCTCGCCTTTGATGACCGCTGCTGATCACTCCTCAAACTTCTGACAACGTATAACGATTGCTATGTGTTACTGTTTGCTCCTGCTGGTCTCTACATGCCTCTAAATGACTCTACATGCCTCTACATGCCTCTGCTGGCCTCTGCCTGCCACCAGTCGCCTCTGCTGACCGCTGCTGACCACTCCTAATACTTCTGACAAGGTATAACAATTACTACGTGTTACTGCTTGCTCCTGCTGGTCTCTACATGCCTCTACATACTTCTACATGTCTTTACATGCTCCTGCTGGTGTCTGCTGGCCTCTGCCTGCCTCCGCTCGCCTTTGATGACCGCTGCTGACCACTCCTCATACTTTTGACAACGTATAACGATTGCTATGTGTTACTGTTTGCTCCTGCTGGTCTCTACATGCCTATACATGCCTCTACATGCCTCTACATGCCTCTGTAGGCCTCTGCTGGCCTCTACCTGCCACCAGTCGCCTCTGCTGACCGCTGCTGACCACTCCTAATACTTCTGGCAACGTAGAACGATTACAACTTGGTACTGCTCGCCCCTGCTGGTCTCTGCTTGCCTCTGCATGCCACTGCTGACTCTTCTGCTGCCTCCACTGGCCTCTGCTGACCACTGCTGACCACCACCGATGCTTCCGACAACGTGTGTCGATTACAACTTGCCACTGCTTGCCCCTGCTGGTCTCTGCTTGCCACTTCTTGCCTCCGCTGGCCTCTGCTGACCACTGCTGACCACCACCGATGCTTCCGACAACGTGTGACGATTACTACATGTTACCGCTTGCCCCTGCTGGCCCCTACTGACCCCTACTGACACTCCCCTGACGCCTGCTGACACCTACTGACCCCCCCTGACCCCTGCTGTCCCCCTCTGACCCCTGCTGTCCCCTGCTGACCACTGCTGACCACTGCTGACCTTTGTTATTAATTTCTAACATGATATATGTATTAAAACATTGTATAATGTAAATCTATGGCAATAAATGATATAATTACAAAGAATTCTATGTGTTCTCATCATCTTTTACCTTCCTTTCCTTTCCTCTTAGTTATAAGACTCCCTGAAACTCCTTCGTTTCCCTGAACCCACTAGGTAGTCCTAAAACACCTCGGAACCTAAAAATTCAGAGTTTCCAAGAATTTTCGGCGTTTCCAAGAAATTTTCAAAAAATTCCAAGACTTCCCGGCCGATTCAGGACTTTCCAGCTGTTTCAGGAGCGATACGATTATTGATTAAACGATAAATAATATTACCCAGGTCTCACCACGTGGAGGTTGCTGCGAGTGGAGACCCGAAGGGAGATAGATGGAATCAAAGTTCCATCGATCTCCCTTTTACATTCTTACAAGCTAGATTACCAAACTAGAGAGATAGAAGGATGCAATGTTCCTTCGATCTTCTAGTTTGGTTGTACCAAGTAATTGTTTCGTTTGAAAAGGGATGAAGCTATATCGTGGGATACGTGACGCGACGCGACGCGATACGACGCGATGTCGATCAGCAGTGATCGACGCAAGGGACGAGATACGCGACACGCGAACCGAGTACCTGGTCAAAAGATTCAGCTCCGTTGCCTCTTGGCAAGTCCAATCGAAGGGGAAGAGCATCGACGCACCCGACACAGAGGTTCCCCATTTCTCCCACGCATCCTGTTGGGAGCCAGATGGACCCAACTCGAGATGACTGACTGAGAGAGGGAGCGTGTGTCGGGGCTACCGTAGACAGGAACAGTCCCTGATCCCCTCTACGGCCGAAGTACGCTTTCCCTTGGATCGTCTCGCCAGAGGACGGCAACTGACCCTTCGGATCAGCTAAACGGCCGATCACTTGCTTTCTACATTAAAGCAGTGGTGACCGGAACGAGACACGAGAGAACGGGTGAACGGGAAGCTAGTTGGTAAATAATTACTTGGCACATACGCAGACGCATACATGGGAGTCGTCGATACTTATATCTAATTTTACCAAGCAATTATTTTGTTTAAAAAGGGGTGAAGCTAAATTATTGGATACGCGACGCGACGCGATGGTGATCGAAGTAAGAAACGAGAGAACGAGTGAACCGGGAAGCTAAGTTAATAATTGCTTGGTATCGCGGCCTTAAAAATAAATTTAACCTGGAGATAAAAGTCCCACGATGTCCCACGATGATAGAGGCCTGTAAGTAATCTGAAACAAACTAAAGAGGGTGGCATTTACGATTAGTTAAACAATTAAATATAATGAATTGATAAACACGAAGCTGTGAAATAAAATAAATCGGCCCAGAGAAACCAGTGACGTGAAATAGACATGGACAAGAGCACGATATATACAATAAGCAACATTTAAGACAAGAATCCGAACAAATGAGAACGAGGAGAAACGATAGATCGAAGCCCAGCAGACATTCGAATGTCGAAAAAGAAGTGAGAAATTGGAGATTGAGATATCACTCACCACTGTGTCGATAGTGGTTAATGAAACAGATTTGTACATGCAATATAGAATGTGCATCGAACAAACCAAACAGGGAAGGAACAAGTATTGAAATATGGAAGGAGACCAAAGAAGTAAAAGCAAGATGAAACCCCATATTCAAGCCCAACAGACCCTCGAAGGTCGAAAAATAAATTAGAAAGAGGAGAGGCGGAACTCGCTCACTACTGGTCACTAATGGTCAATATTGGTCAGCAAAGATGACCAGTGCTCGACCAGTGGTCAGTAGTGGCGAGCAAAGGTGGAGCGCAGAACCACGGAGGTTCCGTCACGTCCGCCAGCCCAGAGAGAGAATGAGAGAGAGTGAGTCACCGGCAGCTAGCCGCAGGCAGAAGAACTAACGGGGTGGGGATGACCGTCCTTGGCGAGTTCACCAATCAATTAACGGTTAACCGTGCCTTTGACCGAAAAATAAATATTCTATGCAAAATGGTATTAAAACAATTATTTATGCAACCCACGTTATCGAGCATTATTTCAACTATTGCCTGATGTTAATTAATAATTATCGCAAACAATAGGTATGAAAATATGGACAAATTCGAGGAGACTGAAAGTTTCTTTGAATTTCTGTCGAGAACCAAGGTCGTACATCATGTATTCATTTCTCCGACCTTCTGTCCTCTGTACGATACTTTCTTTTGTATAACTTTCCATCTTCTATTTCTTATCAGTGAATTATACAGGATTCTAACGAAGATACGTAAACTACGTCACTGAAATCGTAAAACAATATGAGAGGTTTAATCTCGAAACGTGCGAAAACGTTCAGAAATGAATTTTAATCCTTTGCATAGTCAACTCACATGTATTTATGCACACACAATATAACTATATTATGTCTGCCCATCAATACTAATTCAGTGAATAGTTTCTCAACTGACCGCCATCCATGAGAGGAGGCGAACTTTATAACCTAAGTTTTATCGTACTATTTACTATTGTAATCCATACATCGATAAATTGAGATTTGATTTTCTTAGCTTCTTAATGAAAACGACGAGTCTATGAAACTATGTGTCCTAAAATTGGAACAATGGTGAATAATGAATCAAAGAGTGTATGTAATATTCAAGCTGTGAATGCCTCGGCAGGTACTGTGAATTTAAATGAATTCTAAGGATATATAAATTATAGTCATGATATGAAATATTAAATAATATATTTGTATGCGTCAATGCGTTTGCAAGATCGTGATTGTTGTTCTAATTTTTTGTGACTCCTCCGTGGACTTCCAGCACGTCGAAAGCAATTTCTTGTACGTAACGTACTATGTTCCGCTAAATGAACTTTACGTACGTTTGCAGTTGCTAATTGCTTTAAGATTTTACAAATATTGTATTTATTGAACAAATAGAGATCTTAGGCTCATAGTCCGAGCCCATAGATCTGTAATATAGGCACTTTAATTGTATGTTATAAGTAAATAAAAGTTCCCGCCAAATTCTTGGGAGTGACGTCATTTCTTGTAAACCGCCAAAACTTGTTCCACCTCTTCCAACATCATATTCACCTGATACCAAAGCTCGAAACTCGACCAAAGTCCCACAGAAACCAACAAATTTTAATTAACTCGATATCTTGAAAGTGACGTGTCACAATTTTGAATAACTATATAAATTTGTTAAAAAATGTTTCAAGAATATTGCATTTAATTATTATTTATTGCATTTGAGGGGAGAAATATTAAAACTCACGATAGTTACGTTAAATGTATATTGAACTCTTTGAACATCTTTTGTAACATTTACTTGCGTATCATACATAAGTTGCAAATAAACGTACACTTGGAAATTGTGTATATGGGGGTGTTAGATGTGTAGTATTTCGTTTCGCGTTTAAATTCGTAAAATATGGCAAATGTGACACCATTCGTTATTGCATAAATATTAAAAAGTGCTCGGAGCAAAGTAGACCACTTACAGATAATCCGAAAGAATTAATTTTTTTAGCACATAGTATATTAACGTATTACAGAATCATGTTCTAGTCGTGCGGACGTCTTCGTTCGGTGAAAAATATATTATACAATGTGTAAAGCATGTTCAAAAAGAATGGATAATGAAATTAGCGACAATGAAAATATCTCGCTTAAAAATCAGTAAGAAAATATGTATATACATATATGTATATATATGATATATATATTTCTTGATATATATATATATATATATATAAAAATGAAGAACATTATACGAGTGACGACGCCTCATGTAATTTATGGGCTATATTTGCTTTTTATAACATCGATACGATTAGACGCCATATTGGTATTTTCAAACAGATGTTTCTTATACATTTTTGTCGCAAAATTTGTCACGTAAAATTCTACCCATCGCTCGTATTGTTTCATTATTTCCTATTAGAAAAATTCTGTAAGCAAAAAACCGACAAAGTTCACGAGAGAATTAACATACATGTACAAAGACGATACGTTAGTCGTTGAAGATTCCTTGAAATCATTTTTATAAAACAAAAGTGCAATTACATTGAACATCACAGCGTGTCGAATACAGTAAGGAAATTCTTTGAAGATATTTTAAGATCCGGTAACTAGACGACATAATCTTTTTCACCATTTGGGAACATTTTGCGTGTTAACGTAGCTTTGGACTTTGTTCAAACAATAGAATACCTTTTAACATCGTAATCTTTCATATAATATAAAATATTTTTAACTTTAAATTTGATTTTCTTTTGTCGTTAGAAAATTCCGTAACTTCTACGGAAACGAAGTAAACTAAAATTTCTTTTTCTCGCATTCGCAACATCGTTAACTTATGATCTAATAATATTTAAGTGGAAATCATTCACGCATCAAACAAATTCTACGTAAGAATCGAGTACATTAAATAAAATTTTTGGAACTTCTCTTACGAAAACTTAACTTACGTTACGAACGTATGATAATTGACGAAATAACTTTACCACTTGCAAAGTTCTGTTCAACGATTGGAAACTAGAAAACCCGTAATTACGGCGACCAAATCATCACCTTTTAAGGTGCTTGGGTGAACCCTTTATCTTTTTTTTACTCGATAAACGCTTCTGTATACTTAAATCGTATTATTTTCCATACATAACATCAGATATACACGTATATATACTTATAGATGATTATCTATATACTTGATCAGAATTTCTCGAACATTACTAACTTCATTTTTGTGTTCAAGAATTTCTGATTGATAAAAACAACAGTATACACTGCTATCGCGTGCAACGAGCAGTGTACAATGTTATCTTTTTTACGAAATAAGAAAAAAGAGAAGAAACGCATAAAATAATATTATACCAAAGTGGTTGGTTAACACGTTGCTTGCCAAATTTAATTTACGTTCTTCTGTTATTTTATCGATCCATTGGCAAGCAGCATGTTAAACGTTACAACGAAATAAATCTGATAACTTAGGAATTCAACCTTTACAGACTAGAAGCTATGATCTTTACTTCGTACATTTTGATTTGGAACACTCACGAAGAAGAAGAATTTAAATATTTCAGCAATGTTTTTTTTGTACCATAATCGTCGCCAAGATACAATATGCGCAAAGATCCGTTTCTCTTTAGTCTACGCTTTAATCATTTGACGATGAACGTTAGAAGAACAATTAATAAACATCTGCTCTATTCGCTACAGTTATAGGTAATCTATAAAACATTCATCGTCAAATATATCGATCACTTCTGTAAGACACAACTATTCCAAAAGCAGCTCTTGTTTGTTACACCGAAATACATTTTTACCAGAATGTTTTAACACTCGAAACACCGTTCAATTTTATCCTCGTAACATTGGCGAGTACGCTAATAAAAAATTTCCGAAACGATGTCGCCATCGGAGACATTTTGTTAAAAAAAATATTGCGTCCTCATAAGTGTCACCGTACGCCAATAAAATGGATGACGAGTTCAATTTTATAAAATTAGATGCTTCTGTTTAGCTATGTCCTCGCATTTAAACGTTTGCCACTCTCTTTTACTTTAAAGATAACATGAATAGACTATAATGCCGCGAGAGACGAAACCTCTTAGCGGCGTTCTTACAATAATATAATCTCATTTGGACATCAATATTATTAATTATCAGATCGATCTTCTAGGAGCATCTTTTTTTTTATACATATATATTTATTTTACCTCTCTAGATGCGCGCGCGCGCGCGTTGAAACTGGTGTATTTGCAACAACAGAACAGTTGCGAGTCACGTTCGAATTATTTTGTAAAAAGAGTACCTTTGTTTTTGTTAAAAAAACATCGAAGATAGCGTTAAAAATGCTTTCAAAAAGTGGTGTTGTGACTGACGATACAAATTGCCGCGTTGAACGGAACGTATAGTAAATATCACATGGCAGTATAGAGAGCAGAATAAACCACGGGCCGGACGAAATTCAAAAACCGTTATAAAGTTCCTTTATAAATATACCAGTTGCAACAACAAGAATCGTCGATCCCTTATTTACGCATACAAATTCAAAACTCATGCTCTCCCACACTCTCTCGCTCTCTTTAACACATTAACGTTAGTTTGGTCTACTACTTTGGCCTAACAAAAAAATGTAAATCATATAGGTACTCTGTAAAACATTGAAATGTTCGTTCGCGGTAAGTCTTTAGCATGGAAGGAGACGTGGACGAAAAAGTGCATCTGGCAGTAAGAAACAAACGAGAGTTCCCGGTGCGCACCTTTTTCGTTATCGAAACTCTGACCGAGTTCCTTCTTTATCTTTTTTGTCCTTTTTATATTTCTTAAATGCCAATACGGTGCAAACAAATCTCGAGATACGTATAAATATAAAAGAAAATTACAAACGTGTATAATATGTTGGTAAAAAAAAAAAAGAAGAAAAATTGTCATTTCTTGTCCTTGTGCAGGAATAACGATACAATATCCAAAACGCGGACACCGATATACATTAATGAATACTGAAACTGTACCGGAACATTGTCGATAAGAGAAATTCGATTTGGACGCTTAAAGACAATTCGTACTGCCTGAGATCCCTGCGATCAGGCTTTAGAAAGCTTCTCTCTGGTTTCCGGTTGGACCCTAGAGACAGACACGAGGAGAAACTTATTCGGATTGGCACGGAGATCGAATCGCGGTTACTGGTTAAGAAGACTGTGTCACGACGATATGTGGCGTAAGAAAGGATTATACATAGACGGTCTAGGATACGTGTACGATTCAAGCTTTGTATCTGTCGGACGATCCGATCGCGCAGCATAACACCAAAGAGAATATCAATCCAAGGAGCTCCAAGATGCCGATCCCCGCGGCCACGCCGATCACGACGTTCTTTTGGCTGTTCAGCACGTCCATCAGCTTGTCTATGCAACCCTGCGGAAAAAGAAAATTCGTGAGATTCGATCGAGGCCACGCTTTCACGACGATCGGTGCATTAGCACGTTCAACCAGCCGTGATTCCACCGATGAGTCACGACATTGAGCTACACCACACTAGTCTACTTTGTGCAATTGCAATCGCTCGTCGGGATAAAAGCATTCCACTGTGATTTGTTTTCTCTTCAAAATGTAACCCCTAAGTGGAGGGGGGAATTAATGATCGTTTATAAATATTAAGCAAGATCACCTCGTTGTAAATAGCCGGGTTAACCTCGCTGGCAACTTTAATGTGCTGATATTCCTTGCAAACGGTGCTATCTTTGCAGCAGGACTCCGGCACTTTGTACATGCTCGCGTCTCCGGAGACTGTTAGGCTCACAGGGGCCAAGGGATCTTTGGTGGCGTATTTACTGCCTGCCCAATCTGCCGGGCCAGTGGCTCCGCAACATCCGAGGCCGGATTGAAACGCATCCACGGCTTGTATCTGAGCATTGTCCACGCCATATTTATTCTGAAACAACCGATATTTTTGTCAATTTACATTTTATTGTCTTCATCTCTGCGGGGAAATTTTAACGAGAGATTCTAGAGAGCAAAATAAGACGAGAATCAGGAATACTGTGGCGCTGCTTTACTGCTGGGCCCAAGAAGGCGCTAGTGGACTCGTCAGTAAGGCTTTCTAGCAGGCCCTGCCTTAGACGACTGGAATATTGGGAAGTCGTTCGAGGAGTGTATATATAGCAATCGAGGGGTCGTGAGAGCGCTTGTGAGAGCACGACCCCTCTGGTGGCGACGCCACAATACCAACTTGTTGATGGGGGCTTCGTTAAAAAGTTATTAACGTTCAAAATTGCGCCTGTAGAACGGCAATCCGCGTACAGCTGTTGGCGATTCTCGCTCAGAAAACTGTAAGGCTGTCTATACGTCGCGTCGGTAAGTAGAGTTTCTCATACCGACTGAGAACCACTAACAGCTGTTTGCAGGTTGACGTTCTACAGGCGTAACTTTGAACGTTAATAACTTTTCAACGAAACCTCCATCAACAAATTGCTATTCTTGATTTTCGTCTTATTTTGCCCTCTAGAATCTCCCATTACAATTTTTTAAATAATATTTGATCGTCGTTCCCTGAGCCGTTAATCCAATTGAAAAGGTCGTATAATCGTTTCGACCTTCGAATGAAACAATTCCAATAAAATTGTGCCGGGTAGCAGGAAGGTAAAAGAAACTAAGTGGACGGGGGGCTTGAACGGGTGTCTAATTTGGGAAGATGAATGAAGTAATTATAGGCGTCCGACCAGGTAGCCGGTTTAGAAAGACGAATGGAGTAATTATAGACAGCCAAGATGGAGCGAGGGACGCGGATAATTAGAAATCTCCTTAAACGACACTAAACGCGTGTTTAGCCGGCAATAAAATCGCGTAATCGTTCGATACCTTAACGGTATTTATCACGGAAGACTTGACCAGTTCCTCTAGGCGATCGCTGTTGGTGTAGAGCCATGCCCCGGCCGCGATCTGCGCGACGATAACCACGAGGAGACAGCTGAAGAAAGCGACCAGCATGCATTGGGATTCACGGAAGGCGCCGCAGCAGCCCAGAAAGGCGACTATCAGCATGAGGATCCCGGCGGACAGCAGGATGTAGAGGCCAGCGTTGAAGTTGTGCTGCTCCTGAGCGAGGGAAATCAGGAACATTTGGTCCGTCAATAGCCACGCGGCCAACACCACTCCTGCCAAACCCACTGCCTGAAAAAATTTTAAAAACACGTATCCTCAGTTTAACGCAATCTTTCACGAAGTAGAAATGCAAATAAATTAACTATTATTCAACGCTTAGTTTGCAGGGCCACTGATTACAAATCCAAAGTTGAAATTACCAAATTCAATATGGCGGAGATCCAACACTTTTAAAGATTTTTCTTTACACCGATCAATTATTCGATTGACCCCGTTTACTGATGGGTCGTAGACCTCGTTTGATACAGCTTGAACGTGTATTTTGGAAAAGTTTATTTTTGAAACTATACAATAACTATAGCGCGCTGTATATCTTAGAACTATGTATAGAAAGAAAATCAGGGTACGGTCAAAAAAATCTGCGATCCGAGCGATTGAAAATCTGTCGATTAACCAAGATATTATTTTTAAATGCTAAAAATTGTATTTGTTGGTACGTGAAAAAGGCACTGCTATTACTATCGTTTGGCATTGTTAAAAATGACGTAAGAGATAGGCAATATCGTACCGACGTTTTAATGCCGGACAACCTAACCTCTCTTATAAGGCTAACAATCAAGATGAATTTCACGAGGTGAACTTTCTAAACAATCTATCCAGATCAAGTTGCAATTTGAAGAATTAGAACTGGTCTTACAAGATTTACCCACGCGTGTAAACCAAATAAACGTGCAAAACTTTGTTCGAACAATGAATAATCTATAAAACCATTGGAAACAAGCTTTAAATGAAGTAGCATCCGACTGTCTAGAAATAAAATGTTCGTCTCGGTGAAAATTTCAACGAATTTGTCTAGCAGCGAGCGTGTTAACGTGCCTTTGCATTTTTCTTTTGCGCGAAACGATGCTACCAATGCAAACGACGCATTGTATGCACGAAACGGTCTCCGTACTTTGTCGTAAAAATATACCTGACCTTTTTAGCCCTATTGAAACAGAGAGCAGGGAACGAGTATTCTGGTTTATGGCTTAAGCGCCGCTCACAATGCGCTATATGGATAAATAATGAAGTATTCTTGCGAAACGAGCTGTCCAAGACAGGACGTGCCCTTTTCAATGGCCTGTCCACCAGATGCGAACATTTCCATATAAAACGACCGGGCTTTCCCCATTCTCCCCTCTGACCCTTTTTTTTTCCACTGGTCGTCGAGTATTCGTTCCTAGAATCGTAACTCGAACGTGTCCGAAACTCTGGACGTTTCCATGGCCAAATAATCAAGAAAACAGTCGCCATGGAAGATGTGTACTATACGTTCAATTTCAATTTTTCCCTGCCATTAATTATTTAACGATTTCATTCCCCGCAATAGTTACTTTGTTACGAAAAAGTTTACGTATTCGAAAGTAGCGAAATAAAAATAGACAGAATGCCGCGGGAGTGCCCCGTAGGACAGTTCATTAAAATTAAACGACTCCAACGAAGTTGGAAAAGAAATAATAGTAGGGTCCCTGGGACTGTACAACTGTAGTCACAAAGGGTCGAATGGAACCATTTTTTTTTCACATAAATCGATACTTCCCACTATTCTGCATATTCAAGTAGTAACACGTTGGCTATTACGCTAATTTTTATGTTTATGTTTCAATTTTGCTGTTTTATAGTATTCATAACCTCACTAACGTTATTTGCAATGTTACAAGTACGGTAGAACGTTGATTATCGAAACAAATTTTTCTTCTTATTAATCGAAGTTTGACTCTATTAGGATTCTTTCATTGTAAATAATTTTGCAATACATTGTTAGTTTGATATGTCGGCCACCATGGCAGACAACGTGTTATTACCGACTAAACGTCCGTATCAGTAATCGACTGGAAAAATGATACTTGTGAAAACAAGTACCGTTATATAACTCCTCTGCTCTTGTATAAACATTTTTTACATTCTAGCACGCTGATAAAACATGCGTATTCATGGCGATCAAAGGTGGCGAACAAAGCTTTAAATTTATGCAACTTTATGTTCATTGCAATAATGTTGACCGTGCGGTTGACGCAGAAATATCGTTCCACCGCATGCAGTGCATAAAACGTAGCCACGAACCTCGACCTTCCAAAGCACACGGATGTGCAAGAGGTGAGCATCGCGCCACACCGTAGCACAGACGACAAATTACATAGGCGTGAGAGAGATATTATCCCGCTCGGAGGATAAGTGCAGATTTATCTGCGAAACGCAAGCGCGCGCATCTATCACCGTGGCAAAACTAATTGGATTACATTATCCCCAGCGTGCGAGTAAAATATTTTTTCACGGAAGTACGACCCGCCTTGGGAAGCTACCGGCAGAGAAGGGCAAAATTTTATTCGAATCACGAGTACCGAATTAAATTAATAGAATTAAACGTAAAGCACAAAGCCTGATTACGAGGTTTAGAAAGACAACGTTAATATTTCGTACGATGCACGATTACTTTTTTATCGCAGCGACATCTGTTCGAACGGTTGTCTCGATCGTCGCTGGTGCGAATTTGACCTTTGCTCGGATTCTATCGCCGGTGTGTTTACACGCGAAGGAAAAGGGCTCGGAAATCGAGGAAGGTTCAGTAGGTTAAGCTGGCATAGAACGATCGTGACTTCCACTCGATGTGTAATCTCGACGGAGGCGTGCCTCTCGAACAGAGGACTTCCTGTATTCACGACGCGTCCCGAGTCGTTCGGGCCGCGAATGCTGATGTAAGAACAGATGCAACAGCCGCGGTAGGATCGTTCGAGTCAAACGAATTCTTCGCGGATACGATCAGACATCAAACATAGCGCGGTAAATGGGAGCTAGAGGTGGGCCGTGTTTAACGCGAACTACATACGCTATAGCTACGCCCCAGTGGCGTGCAAAAGTTTCCCGCCAAATGTGCTTTTCCCCCCGTTTTTCGTCCAGCAGCGAACCTAACCTAACAAATGTTTTACCGCTGTCGGGTTCAAGGGTATATCATTGTATAACAAACGACTCGTACGACCACGTTCATAATTTAAATAAAATATTTTACTTGTCGACTGCATTTCTATATAAGAATGTGTGCAATCCTTAAACGAGATTTAGATCGCATACATAATGCATTAAAAGCAAAGATCGTGTTTGCCTTCTGTCGCAACATACGAATCGCTTCATGAATTTCAATAACGATTGCATAATTACATTTACATCTTGCACGAGTCTATACATATTATTTCTACGATTTTATTCATAATTCTGTTAAATTCGCGCAACTTTAGATTTCTTCCTTATTTGCTGGTTTCTTTAGACGATGAAATTAGAACGGCAATTGACGAATTTAGTACACCGTAAACCCAGTGACATTTACGTTCATAAAGTAATGCCCACGCTTACTAAAGAGTAACAGTTTAAATGACTATAGCTGACTGTGCTTATAGAAGGGTAACTAAATGCTGGTTAACTGTACGAAACGTCTGTATATTTCTTGGTAATATGACATACGACTGTGCCGACAACCTACTCTGTCACAGGTAATAGAGACAAGACAATACGAATACGCGTGCGGTTCGTTTGATGCCAGCACATTCCTTCCTGCGCCATGCTTTTACTTTTCGACGATCAAAATAAACGATCGAATATTGTTTCGCGCCCATCATTGATTTTTTTATGCGACGTGAGCTTTATTTTCTTTCGAATTCGCGCGCGTTACTTGCGTCGATAGAAAAATCTTTTAAAATAAAACTGTTTTTCAAATTTATTATTAACCTGTCGCAAATTATAACGATCCTTCTGCAAAGAAGACGAAACTAAAGCCGATGCTTAACATTAATTTTCGTAATTGAGGTTATGACAGAGGCTGGAATTAATTGTTCGAAAGAGGAATACGTATTTGCTGTTATTAGCAACGGCAACTGCATTATTACAGCTGGAATTTATCGAATGAGGTCGTGTTCTCGAAAATCTATGAATCAGGCTACAAAATAGAAGATAGAACGGTACGTATTATCGCTTTTCTGTGAAAGTATTTGGCAATCTTTATTCGGTGCCAAGTATGCCAAGTTCAACGTCGTGGGTGCATATTCGTTTTCACAAAGTAACGAAATAACGATCGTAGTTTAAACAAATGTAATTGTACTAATTGTCTGGTCCAGCGGTTCTCAAACCGTGCCCCATGGGGCCCTATAAAACCTTTAGCTGAACTTCGTGGCTAAAAAAGTTTGAGAACCGCTGGACCATCCGTTCGAGCAGCTGTGCTTTATTCGATAAGTCGAGTTTCATTCGCGTATCGATAGTAAAAACTAGGGACTTAATATTGGCAGATGCTTTCGATCTCTGTCTTGAAATATTTGAAAAATTGAAATGAAATAAGGAAACTGGAAAAATGATCGTTACATGTAGATAAAATACCGGTATTTCGCGCAAGTTCCCCGGGTAAAAAACCATAACGGGTGACAGAAGTAACTGGGCCGTGGTGTAGGACGCAGGCTCGTAGGACGAACATATTCGTACTCTGACTGGAAATCTATATTTAAACGCACTTATTCCCGCTGAACATTTTCAAAACAAGACGCGATGGTTGTCTCGGACGCTGACATAAGCGCTATTGTTAATCTCTTAGGAAATAGTTGATGCACGACTAGCCCCCGGCTGGTGTTCGATCGACGCCCCGTACCCGCGATTTTTTACAACGTAAATCAATCTGAGTCATTTCTCTGATTCCCAGTTTCCACGATCGCTGTTAAAAATGATGCGTGCTTTTAAAATAGTCTATCGAATAAACATGACTCACTGACATCCTATTCACGAACTGACGTCTAGTAAACGATCGCGAAAAATTTAATTACAAAACTGTCCGCGCTGAGTCCGTTGAGTCGTTCGCGATGTCCATGAATCACGAAAATTTAGGGCAGATAGCGATTAATGCCGAGATGTACGCGCCACCCAGATGCAATCGATTCAGCTGCGCTCTCGAATTACGTTGCTTCACGTCGGAAAACTGCGATGCTAATTAAAGGAGGTTCGACGACTCGCGCGAACTTATCACGCTAATTACGCGGATACTTTCTTTTTTTCTCCCACGGGAAGGCGTCCGAGACGATTACGCTGGCAAAACTTGTCGAAAGAAACATTAATTCGTAATTATTAAGCGCAATTAACGTTGAAATGTTTGGACTGCTCGATTCAATTCGTCGTCGATCAAATATAACCTGTTGACTCGCTTCGTGATATTTGTAAAAGAAGCATAATGGAAAAAAAAGTAGCTAGAAATTACGAATTGGGGGAAAAATGTCTAAATTCACGCGTGCCCTAAGGAAACGACCTACTTTCTTTCCTAATTTTTTTGACAAGATTTTTAATCCCTAGAAAAATCTTCCAAATGCATCGAAATATAAATGGCGGTAAAATTGCGATTACAGAACGCGAGGCACAAGAAATCCTTTATGCTCGTTCAAACCATGAAAAAAGGGATGCCATATATACGACGCTTGACTTTATTGCAGCCAAGTGGTGAAATTTTTCCTTGATACTTGATTACGTTAATTTACCCAATTATATTACGACTGCAGACGGTACGCAGTACATATCTTTAAAACAAGTTTGCGTTTTGAGATAAATTGGAGGTCACGGGGGTAACGCGGCTAAACAGTATAAAATTACCACGGTTCTTAATGACGTCGAAATTTTATTTGACCTTCTTTTCATCCTGCTTCTTCTTTGCCTTCCAAGAAATTTGTTGATAATAGGTCGGATTAAATATAAAATAAAAATAAATGTGTAAGATTCGAATTTAAAAAATAACTTAATATGAACGAACTAAACGTAATTGTTATTGAAACAATAATTGAGATTACTCAACAACTCGTTCAGCAATTATACCGTAAATGTTAATTTTCGCGAACGTATGCGTATTAATATTACTTAAAGTTTATTGAACCAAGTCGCACACATATACTTATAACGGTCACAACAGTCTTACTATATTATGTCCCCTTATGAATAAAGCTACCCTTTTATCAGTACGCGAACAGCAATAATTGTATTGATCAATGAAAACAGTATAAACGTAACGTTCAAAAACGATTAAACCTTTTTCTGTAAATTTTACGTTTGTTTTGCAAAATTGATCAGAATTTTTATAAATAATTTCAGGCAAACTGTAGTCAAGCCATCAGATACAAGTAAAAAAAACAAAATAGAAAAGATGCAGCAACAGTTAAACAAGATTTATTTCATAAAACGAGAATGTTTTCGAATAGATTTTTCTGAACTTACCCAAAATATTAGATTGACGCAGACCAGTGCATACTTGACGAACCCATAACATTCCGAAAGCACCATTTTCGTTCGAATGGTATATGACACACAACACTTGGTTAGGTTACTTAGTTGCTTTATAGAAAACGCACGACTTCGCCAACCGACGGAAATCGTTTACATTCGTGTGTGTTTGGACGCTGATGCACGGGCGAGAGAAATTTTCTTTGGCGTTGCAGTTGCTCAATTTCGTGCATGCACATTCGCGTAGGAAAAACACCGACCCATTCCACGCGACGGTTTACAAGCTACTGTCATGGGACACGGACTACCGGCGTTCGTTTTTATCGCGAGTGCAAGGTATGAAGAACAGACTGATACTCTCGTTTAAACCTCCTTGAAGCTGCAGTTTGTGACGTCATTCGAACATCCCCTATCTCTGTCACTAGCCCAGTGTGTCCCTCTCCCTTTTCCCCACTCGATCCCAGAATCTATCTTTCTTCCTTCTCCCACCCAGTTAGTATATTTTTCCTTTTCTCACCCATTCATCTAATGCATTATACACGCACACAAATATGCACGAACCTACTACACCGACAGGATCTTCTGTTACATCCATTGTACTTTTTCCAATGTTCCTTTTCTTATTTTTTAGTCAGCTTTTCACTCAACCGTTTTCTAGAGTTATGTGTTTTCAAAAACACATGCGTCTAATCTTTTCACATCTTTTCATGAATGTCTAGTTATTAGTTAATTCAATTTCACCAACAGTAATAATATTTTTGATATACATTATAAACGAATCAGTTTTGACTATCATTTCATTCTAAAGAATAACTGTGGAATTACTGTTGAGATTACAAATTAAATATTACAAATTAATATTAAAAATTGAGTATCTTTAGATTAACAGTAACGGTAAGTTTATTATCGCGGGCATTTTTAACACTAGATTTACGGAAACCGTCGATTTAACGGGTGTCTAGATTCCATATTTAAAATTTCAGAACGTTTAAATATTATTTTTCAACAACTTATGTCGAATTTGGTTGATGCACTGGCATGAATACATATTCTAATTAAAAGAAAAATCGTATTGTAAGGTAATCAACATGAAAGGTATCAATAAATATACGTGCGATCAATGCCCGTAAATCTAGTGTTAAGAATGTATTTCAGTAGTACATTGCATTATATTTATTATCGTTCAATATATTCTATCCAAGCCCTCCACTTCTTTCTTTTTGTCGATATCTCCGTTTATAGTTATAGAATTTATTCTTAGCATTGTCCGGTGTATTCTGTAAACTGTAACACAAATAAATATTAAACAAAGAATTTATCAAATGCTGTGGATCATATTCGTCGCAAATTAATACGCGTAACATCTTACAATTCATTCTACGAAATTGTTTTCTCTTTTTCATTCTGAAACGAGTTATCGTGTGAGATAAAGTTTTCTGAATTATGGTAGCATCGACCGATACTAATTCCCTGTTCAGAATTGGTCTTCCGATGAGCGTGAAGTCCAAACCACCGACAAGTAATACTTTCTCCAGCTTTAATTTATCTCCTATGGTGGGTGGCCAGTGACCACTGACAATTATAATATCGTTTTCTGTAATCTTATATTGCGTTCCGCACAAATGTATAACCGCGAATAAGCGGCCAGTCGATTGTGTATTTATTTGTTTGTTAATCTCATTTATTACGACTGAAAGCAAAAGGGAACAAATATTAGAGCTGCAAAGAGATGGAAAATATACTAAAATAATTCAAAGTATATATGAAAATAACAACCAGCAGCTTCTTTTTCTTTTTTCTCGTCATACTCTGGCACTATTTCTTGACAGCTTGGTGGTTCGCGAAACCAAGGTAGCTTGTATGTAGTTCTGTAACTAGCTGATGGTATATCCCATAATTTTAGAGCTGTAACAAAGAATACTATTTTACTTCTATGTTTTCTATTGGGAATAAATAAACTGTACTAATTCATCTTTGTATAAAGATTTTTTTATTGTTAAATTATTGTATAATTTCAATATTATATCGTTAAGTTATTTCACGAAAAAAAAGTGTGAAAAAAATGATTACGATGAAGCAAGTTTCTACAAACTGTTATTATTATCGATAACGTTTGTATTTGTTCCACGAGTCTGAAAGCGAGGTTATGTAATCGAAATATTTAGACAACCGAATAAACATGTTGTTTATGATTTTGAAGCAAAGGGTCAACAACCTGGATAGTACTGTTTGTAAACCGAAGTCGGTGAAATCCTTCTGAGGCATGTACTCGTAGCAAAATTAAAGAGTCTCGTGAAACCGGTCAAAGTCGCCATGATTCGTATACCGATCGCTTTAAAACCAGCACGACGAGAAGTCGAGGAATAAAAATATTTGTAACACGACAAATGAAACGACACGTAAATATTATAAAATGGCTAAAACGATTTAACGTACAAGAACGATGTTCTCTTCGTCGTAAAAGTCGTTGAAAAAATAATTCGAACCGTTTAGCGGTAAATTTTCAAACGATAGTTTCCGAAATGATCGCGCACGAAAATAAAATATGTGTACGAAATAAACGATGATTCGAACGCATTGTACTCTTTCAAATATTGTCGTAGTTTTTGGCGGCTTTTGCACTCGACGCGACGGATCGTCCTTGCGGATGTTCGAATGCAATTTGAAAATTGTTGCCCGTACACGCGGAAGACTTCGTTTGTAGTTCCGGTTTGAACCAGTATGCGAAGAGATGTCGTACGTGTTCACGAACAGTTACTTGTTATGTTTAGTCGCTGCGTTGTGAGGAATCGATGACCGTCAAATTATCGTGAATCGTTCCTGGTGTTCTCAGTAATCCGGTAGCTTGAAATTATGCAGTTCTATAAGGAAAAGCTACTGTCACCCGGACAACTGAAACGCCTTAGCGAGCACAAATACAACTGCACGACGAACAGCCTTTTGGACGGGCTTCTTCAACCCTGGTGGGACTGGCTAGTTAGCAAAGTTCCACTTTGGCTTGCACCCAATTTAATCACAGTCTTGGGGCTTATCGTCAACATCCTTACCACATTAATTCTTGTTTATTATAGTCCCGATGCTAGAACCGAGGTATCATTTACATAACCTATTTCTATGTCTCGTTTCGTTTCCTATGACAGACTAAAATTCACAGCATTACTTAAAGACTTAATGCATATTCATTATTGAAATCGTTAGGTAGAAAAATAAGCGTTGGAGTTCTATTGACGATAAAAAATGCGCGATATAAATAAGTAATGCTTAAATTAGACTTGTATATTTGCAATGCGCATACGGACGATTAGCTTGAGGAAAATTCTATCTTCGTTTCAGGCACCAAGATGGGCATGCTTTTTGTGCGCGGTTGGTTTGTTCATTTACCAGAGTTTGGATGCAATAGATGGCAAACAGGCCAGAAGAACTGGAACTTCAACACCACTGGGGGAACTGTTTGATCATGGATGTGATTCCTTGTCAACGGGTGTGTTACAGAAACTGTTGAACTTATTTTATCCAGATCGTGTGGAACAATTCCAAAACTAGCAAATATTAAGTAAAAACAAGTATTGTAACAAGTTTTACCAAACACATGCTATGCTGTTATATGTGTATACATATCCAAAGTTTTAACCATTAATTTTAGCATATTTGAATTCCTGTTAACAGGAATGGAATACATTGCAACTTTATGTTTTTAGTGTTTGTTGCACTGTCGGCATGCATAGCAGTACAATTAGGATATTACCCAACATGGATGTTTTTCCAATGCTTCTGTGCTATGACACTATTTTATTGTGCTCATTGGCAGACTTATGTTTCAGGTGAGAAATTATCTTTGTTCATAGACATTTTTATTGATAATTCCAATGTACTATTTCTATATTAAATTGTAAATCTGTTGAAACAGGTACCCTAAGGTTCGGTAAGATAGATGTCACAGAAGCACAGTTTACCATTATAACCATTCACCTCATTTCTGCGATCTTTGGACCTAAAGCATGGATGATGGAGGTTGTATTCCCCTTTAACAGTCGCTTATTATTTTTATTTTTAATTTTCCACACATTGGCAAGTGCTGAGTTTCTGATATCAAAGTAATATGCATACAATTACATGTTTTGCATACATGTAGCGTCGACGCGAATGATACGCGGCTGAGCTCGGTACTTGCACAATGTCTATTTATTTGTTACTATAAAATAGCTCCTTTCTTTTCAGTTCTTAAAGCATATCCAAATTTTCTAACATAACAAATTCATTTAAAAGTGAACAATGTTTTTAAATGCACAGTAATAAAATTTACGATATATTTTGCAAGATTGCTTAGTAGTATACTTGAATTTTTGAAGCACAAAATATTAAAAACTTTCATACAACATTAGAATCAAAAGGCTGGTAATTTTATTTACAGGCGCATAAAATTGTTAATTTGTTATAATCTTTCATTTTATCTTCATCAGATTCTTCATATGCCTATTTTCTATCGTTATTGTTGTCACCTTGTAATTTTTTGACATTCGAGTGGATCAATTGCACACATATATTTATCAACATATACATATATTTCATGCATTTAATATATTTATTAATTTTTTTAAAATCAATGGAAAGAATAAGTATGATAGTAATTTATAATAGTAAAAAAGTTAACACGTTAGTATACGAGCAATGTAACTTTTGGTTCTGTTAAAAAAAAAAAGTTTGATACATTGGGGAAAAATGAATAATTTTTTATACTAAATTTCTGATTTTGTATCTCAAGGCTCATGAAGTTTAAGAAAAAGTGTAAGACTATATTTGCATGAGTCTAATGAGATTATTTCTTACAGATACCATACGTAGATGGTTTTATTTTTAAATATTTAATAGGAGTTATGACAATCATTTGTGCACTGGCAAAATTAAATTCCATCTTTTCGGTGATTTTCACCGGAGGAGTGGGCAAGAATGGTTCAACTGTGGCTGTAAGTTAGTCAATTAGACTTATGTTTTTTGGAGATATGGAAATGAGAGCAGCATGGCATGAGGAGCGACGCTGAAATTACTTTTTTGCTATGAAACTTATTATCTTAACATGCATTTCATTTCCAAACTTCTTACTCGTTTATTCCCCTTTGTCTATTTCTTTTCTTATTTTCCTACATCTTATCATCTCCATGACAAATGCATCAGTTGCATTTGCGTAGACAATTTTTCCGTTATTAAATTCGTTACGTTGTAAGAAGCAAAAAGATATTTAGAGAAAAGTATAAAATGCCACGGTGATATTTAGAATGCTTCTATGATAAAAAATTTGGTTTATAACATTTTCACTTTTGGATACCTTCCATAAAATATGCTTTTGAAACAATTTCTATAGAGAAGACGTTACTTTGTTAGCGATAATGAATATGCAATGTGATTTAAGATAAATTTGATACATCTTTTGTTAAGAATCAATACGAACACCAATAAAATTTACTATTCTTCAGAATTTTATTGATAATTAGTTCGAAAACTATAAACCGGTAGACGGACGATTCGATGTGAAATTTATACCTTGCATCACGATCATGATTCATTTTATTTCAGAACTGATTATTTTTATTTCGATCATAGATTTAATCACTGTAACGTAAATTCCATTTATAATTAAACAACAAAGGCAGAAAAATAATTAAAGAAAATTTTTTGTCTTGGTTGATTATTATACTATGCAGCGTCCCTCGTGCCTAATGTTTTATTTTTATATTATTTCTATATAGAAATATGGGCCACAAATGGAACTAGTCGAATCAAAATTACTTTAACGAACGATGAAAGAGTAAAAGACTTATGTAAGATAAACATAGAAAATAGGATTAACGTAGGATAACTAATTTATCGACTTAAGCAACGAAACAATTTTTCTATAATTTTCATAACGAGCGAGATTTTGTATATTTGTTTAGATACCAGTGCTCGGTGTAGGCACAGTCAGTAACTGCGTAGCAGTGATATTTTATGCAGGCTACGTTCATGTATTCCTTGAATTCTGTAAAGTGTTTGAATCCGGTGGGATTGGAAAGAATGGTTCCACGATTGCAGTAAGTTGCACAAATAAAAAAAACTGACTGATCGCATACACACAAATTCTCATATATTTTTTTTTTTTTTTCTACTATAGCATTAGTCACGATAAAAATTTTTCTTCTTTCATTCTGCTTGCCTATCTAGTCTGTTGGATTACTATTATTCGTGTTAAAAAAATAGTTTTTTGCATTACTAAATTTCTCTCTCATTTATAGGTATATTAATTTATTATAATAAATATTGTTGTATGGTGTGCAGTCTGTAAAAGAAATATGGCTTACACTCTAATGTGAAATTGAAAGTGCTACTTCTTCTGTGCACAACTTATCTTCCTTCTACTTACGCTTAAAACTGTTTCTTCCTAGTCTTTGACATCAGTTGCGCGAATTATTTTTACTCGAATTGTTGCACAATAATTTTCAAGCAATTTCGTAGCTACTGCGACGATGTCAAACTAAAACTTTTCTCTAAATAATATTACGGTCACGTGCTTGTTAATCAAACAAAACTTGTCATCTATTTATCGGTCTTTATGAGCAACCGACTTTAGATTTTCAAATCTGGAAGCGGAGAAAGTTGATTTGGTTGCTTGTGAAATCCGAGAAATAGACTAAAATCTTTCTCTGAACTTTTAAATTCTGAAGCAGACAGAGAACATTTGTATGATATTACGATTCACACGAAAGGATATAGGAGTTTCGATTATTTTTAAGGTATGATGAAATGTAAATACATGATTTATTGGGTCATCGGTGGGCATACTCAAAGGTCTCTAAATTCTTTAAATAATGTTACATTAATTTGTGTCATTCTTTCTTAATACTTGAATATATATATATATATTTGATTTAATATAGTAAAGGTCCCGATGGATATTTCCTGATTCGTTGTAAATTAACAGATTGTGTGAGAAATTTAATACGTATTTCGAAAATTTGAAATTGTTTCAAGAGCGAAAGGTTTTCATTAGTGTACGATGATATATTATACCAGGAATCAATGATAGAAAATATATTATTACGTTAACTAATAGAAAGGTTTTTCATGTCGCTTATACAGTTGCCATACACTGGCACAGAGGTCAAGGTGTTTCCATTATGGGCTGCTGTGGGCATCGCTATTTTACTTGCACAGAGCAGCATATCCGTCATTCTTGCCGGTGGTGTCGGAAAAAATGGCTCCACCGTTGCAGTAAGTCAGTTCAGAAGTCATAAAATCGTTGTGTAGTGCACTTTGCATCATACCTTGATTTAGGCCCACTTTTACGAACAAATATATTTTAGTATTTCGTTTTTTCTCTTACTAGTTATACGATTGGTATTATATTTTGTTTAAAAATATATATACCAATCAACCACTTTCTTCTAAATTGACTACTTAATGCATCACGTTATTTTTAACAGTATTGTTTTAATAATATATACTTTCTATAGTTATTAAAACATTGAATTGGTCGTCTTATTAATTTAATTTCTACAAAAGTAAAGTGGGTCTAAATACTGCAAGAGCAACACACAAAAATGTTTACCATTTCTTAATCTCCATTTTGGTCAACACCTTTTCCTGTGTATCTATCAATTTATACTGATACGTCATACATGTTTCCCTACATTTTATAATCCCGCTCCATTTTTCTTTGAATCAAGTATGTAACAGCTTCGAGAAGTAGCATGTAATGTTACAATAACATTATGCGTGCATGAGTGTACATGATCAATGGTGGTAGAATACTATTTACTATATGCTTTGTTCTCACTAACTCTGTACTAATTTTAATTTATTCTTGTATGCAGAGTGGTGGTATCCTAACACGATCATCTTGAACAGCTTGTAAATGATGTTTTTTATGATTTAAAGGTCTGGTTTATTCTAAAATTAATATTTTCCTATCGAAGTTGATCCTCAGATCTCCAAAGGCATTTCTATTTGCAATAAAAATTAATACATCACCTAATGACCTTCTTTGATATTATGTAATTTTTGCGTACGACTACTCCTCGTACAATTTGCAAATTATTCGAGGTGAGCGTGTTCTATGCGTGAATCTAAGCGTGTCAGATTGAATACATTTATTTTTTACTGTAGTATTACACACTATTTTCGCATAGAAAAGTATTTGCATTTTGCTTGGGAATGCATAATGTGTAGTTTCTTTGATGGTAATAAAAATTGTAATGTTTAATTATTAACCGAAATTTATTCTATTCGTAGTTTAATTTGTTTCAATTTTTTCTTCGTGTTTCGCAACTTTATACGTTATGTACAGAAATTATTAAAACTTTTGCAAGCAACAGTTCCTATTATTTAATATTGCAATGCTATTAAAGTGTAAAATATTATAAATAAAACTTTTGTATTTGAAATTTATTTCTTGAAAATTTAAGTGATCTTTTCATTATTCGATGTTAAATTATTGAGCGTTATTTTGTAAATGCTTTTCTTCCGAGTTTCCCCGATATCGATTTCATCATAATATTTATTCCATTTCAGGGAACGTCAGTTTTATCTCCAATTATTCCATTTAGTTTTGTGATAGTACCAGCTTTTATAATTTATAGAAAAAGTGCTGAGCACGTATATGAAAATCATCCTGTACTGTACATACTTGCATTTGGAATGGTTGCGGCTAAAGTTACCAATCGGTTAGTGGTAGGTATATCGATGTCCCTTTATCGTTGTAATTGAATTACACGTTTAGTATTTAATGATATCATTATTCGTTATTGCAGGTTGCGCACATGACAAAAAATGAAATGCAGTATTTAGACAGTTCGCTGATTGGACCAGCAATGCTGTTCCTGAATCAGTATTTTAATTTCTTTATCAAAGAATATTACGTTCTTTGGTTGTGCTTTGTAAGTTTCATGCTCCCTATAACGAACTTTACCCTTTTTAGTGCTGTATTTTCATATGCTTGTATTTTGTGGACATTTCTAGATTTGGGTCACCCTGGATTTACTCCGGTATTGTACTCAAATATGTTTCGAGATCTGCGATCACATGAAGATCAAACTATTTAGGATACCATTAGGAGATTATCGAGCGACCCAGGTTTCTAACACAGCTGAAAAAAATGGTACTAACAGGTCTCAACGTAACAGATTGCAAAAGAAACACCACTAGAATTTATTCGTGATAATGAATGTACTGTATAATTCATTCGATGTATAAAAGAGTTACATTATAAGAAGACATAGAGCTTTGATAAATTCTGTTACTACAAACTGTATATAAAAATATGAATAGTATAGTTCATTTATTATCACATTAATTTATCATCACTCCGTATCTGATTAGTATTGAGTATAAATAAAGAATCTCGCCAATATGTTGGTCGAAAAAACAATTCACTGCTTGTCGTCGATTATAAATATTCTGTTGTCGGAAATGAGAAAATATTGGGAACCTAGCAGTCAACTATACTTAAACGAATAGAACGATAGAGTACGCGAAACAATAGATACTAAAATGAAAAAAAAAATGATACACGAGTATTATTGAGAATTTAAACAAAAAGACATGGCATAAATCTTAAGTAACTTTATATTTCATAATAATTTAATTAAATCATTGGATCTGAACGAATTACTTGACTCTTGTTTGTTAACGATTGATGTAACAAATTTTATTTATATTTTTTTGTGACTTTTGAATTACAAAGATTAAGTTTCACATATCGTCTCGAGAGAAATCAGAAGTAATATACTGCAGTTATTTATCAGTTATTACATTACATCCGTGATCTCATAAAATACTTTATAAGGATCTATTAACAATAATGAAACTAGGGAAAAAAAAAAAGTTATCATTTTTTCAGATCTGTAGTTTTTAACTGACGTGTAAATAGATTTATAATACAGGTATTCCAATATTTACATAGTCAATTATAACAAAAATTACTTATAGTATAGTGAAAAGCTACCAAAGATAGTTGCTTCGAGTTAAAGTGATCCTAAGATCGAATGTCTGTTATCTCCTAATTTTCTCAAAAAGGTTCGGTTCAATGAAGATTTGTAAGGAATTGAAAGAATGTTTAGCGATTAATGGATCATCGTAATTGTGTGTTTCAGAAAAGTATACTTTTTTTTTTTATCGAGTTTTTACTCATAACAAATGAGGAATTGTAAACAAAAAGTATGTAGTATAGAAAATGATATGTATTTGCATATATTTAGACAAGGGAACCGTACTGTTTTTTAATTATTAATGATTTTGGTTCAGCTCGGGTGTGGCCTTAACATGCGCTTGTAATTGCAATTATGAGAAATGCGTTCTCAAGCCAGAAACCGAACAGTTTTATGGGAAAAGAAATGTCATTTTTATTCATTGCAATTTATGGTATTCACGCCAAATCTTTTACAAAACGCATACCATTGCAAAGTTCGTTTGCAATTTAAAAATATTATGGGTTTATCGATGCAACGGAACTTGATCAATTTTATGCGCTTCATAGAAGAAAATATCTATTATCATTTTGGGAACATAATAACGCATCCAAAGAAACAAAAGAATCAAAAGTTTCTGCGATACAAATTTAGAGCGCGTATTGTAAAAATGTACATTTACCTCGATCAAAGTTCTTTCTGGATAAATTTTGTTCGAGGTGTACGTATCGATTGTAAACAAAACGGATCGTGCATGAGAAATTTAAAAATTTGAGTAAGAAAACCAAAAAAAAACCAAAAAGCAAAGAGTAATGTTCATGTTCAGTGCTATATAAATTCGGATTATCATATAAAAATATATTATTTCATTGTAGAAGATTCTATTAGACATACGATATTGTATGTTTTACGACTTTTCTTAAAAAAGCCTTGAATTTTTACGAAACAGTTAAGAGTATCAGGATGACAATATTTCTAAGAGACTTTTCTGCAATATTGTCAGGAAACAAAATATGTATCTAATACACTAATGTATCGTACCTTGGTTTCTGTTCGTATTCTGTAATATACTTTTTCGATAAACAATTTTCTTATCACGTGCTATCTTTCATTTACACGTTTTCATTAGAGAAGCTTACAAGTATGAGAATCTTCGGAATTACTCTCCCCCGTTCTCCCTTCTTCAGATTTAATCCGTACCAACCCCTCCAAATTTTCTAAAAAACAAATTTTCAACCTTGTTTCCTAACGTACTTCTATAGGTTTTCAAAACTTTAATCCGCATGTTGCATTATCGCTTGTTATTTTATGTGCCTGTAAGTTTCCTTTATAAATCAAATTACTGATATTGTCTAAGTAATCAGGGATCGTTATAAAAACATGCAAAGTATTTATAATTTCATAAAAATATCCAAATATTTTGAATGTTTAACTTTGCGATAGCGTTGCTACGGTATATCGTATGGATGTTTTAGATGAAATTGTTTGGATTGGTTAATTGGATGGACATTACTTGTTACTACCATAGAAACAATATATATTTTCATAATAAACTAAATATGCTCATTTGTACATATTGTCCTGCATATTGGCTTAACTTTAAAAACCTAGTTTTATGTGTAACGTTAGAATTACTACTCTTTAAAATTGTAAATGAATAATGTTATAAAATGATGAATCTAAACAAATAGAAACCAACGTATCTTAAAAGTTACAGCTGTATAGAGTACGCAGGGTGTGCGGTAAGCAGCTGAATTAAATGGTGATAGAATACGTACATTGTTAATTTGTATGTAACATTTTTCTGCTTGATCGTGCGCCCATTAACTTATCGTGCGTTAATCGTTTGATCGATGATAATGGAAAGTGCCTTCTCTTATTCCTGTTCACAGAAATTATGAGGTATGTAATCCTGTTAGTAGAGGATTTACAATGGCACGTGAAGATTATGTTTGCATGTCTTCTGCCTGTTGCTTGGCTCTAACGCTTTATCGAACGCGTTCAGGATGTTATCACGATCGTCACGATTGATAGTTTTATTGAATCGATCGAACGTAGCCAGCAAAGAACTTCTGAACACGGTCGTGTACTAATATATATAATAAGTCGAATACGAGATAGAAAGGGTTCGGCGCCTGATTGTACTTTGTTATTGGTATATTTAGATTGTATAGAATGTCATTTAAATTTCGGTTCTAGCGTAGGAATAATATTTCAGTGTACAAAAATATGCAGTTAAATTATAGAGGGGTAACATGAAATTATACTGATAGAGTCTATAAATGATATTGAGAAAATTGTGCTTTACTAGAGTTAAATGGTGGCCGATCCTTAATCGATATTATTGTTGTAATGAGTGGTCTGTTACACAAATGGGCGTAGTTACCTAATGTTACATAGTGTTATAATGTGGTACAATATAGTATAACATGTTACTTACGCATGTGCGAATAACACTTTAATGTTTGATAAGCATAACAATATGTACACGTCAAAACATTTAAGTTTAACTTTTTAAGTTTTATGTGAGTTTAAGTAATTCGTATAGCTTGTTTTATGCAAAGTTCTGTAACAGTTTGTAATGTTATACCTTCTATATAAAGAAGGTGAAAATTAATTGTTATTTTATTGATAGTGCTGACTTTGTAACAAGGTATTCGCACATGCCCAATGCTGATATGTTCTTATTCGTTGGTATGCATGAATAGTTTTGTTCACAGTTCGCATGATGGTGGAACAAGAGCCTCTGTTAGACGAGGACTATCATCACGGATCTGATACTACCCTCGACCTATGATGGATACAAAAGTATACATCAGCGTAAAGATGATTATTTGAAATTACAGGGTTGCGCAAAGGTCTCTGCATTTTCCAATTTCTACTCTTATGTTTTTGTTCCTCTATGTATGAGAAATAGAAAGAGGCATGTACGATGTGAAACTGTAACTAGGAAGTTTCAAATGATCTTTGATCCTTGGAGGAACGTATTTTTATCGAGAATTGTTTGTATAAAAAGAGTAGATAATGAAATGTATTTAAAAGATTTCGCGCGTTACCCGTAGATCATAGAAAAGAATTTTTTAGTTCTATCGATAACAGTAATGAGCACGAGATTGCCTAATTAAATGGTTTTCGAGTGAGCGAGATAACAGCGTATTTCTTCATAGAATATTAGAGTGAGAAACTGTGAAGTACAATTTCGTTACCGATGATTGTAAGATAGAGAGATAATTGTTCCGATACAGTCATAATAAATATCGCGAATAAGATTTCGTTATTGGTACTATCCGAATTTGTAAAACTTTTACAAGGTAATGGAAGGAAGAATATTTTTTAAATAGTTTATGCACCTTTGATACTTACGCAAGGCGAACAAAAACGATCAATTATTTTTCCTCGTGCGATTTTTAATGAGAATTTTTCGTTACGAGTATAAGTTTTAGCACAATAAAACACGTACTAATTTCTGTTATTATTGCACAATAATTAACAATTTTTCTCAGTAGTATGCAATATCGAATTCTTACCGCAGAACGAATGAAAATTGTAGCATTCTAAATTACAATTAGAAAAAAGAAAAAAAAAGAAAAATAATTTTGTATCGATATTTATTATAAAACTTATAACAATAAAATGATAATAATATTTTATTCGACGGGCTCGCACGAGCCTCGTGTATTTGTCTACGAACAATTTGTATTTTGATAACGGAGTTAGAATCGAATCTTTAATTCGATTAATAATTTTCAAAGTTGAAATTATAATGTCTTATATGGAAATACAATCGATTGGAAACAATATCTTCTGTAAAAACGTTATTTATATTTCACCGAACATTGTTATACTTGAACGAAAATGAAAAATGGAGACGTAAACATCGATGATTTTTTAATAATCGAGAATTTAGAAAATTCATTCTTCAGTGCAGCGTTTCTTAAGTTTTTTACTGTATTGGCCCAACACATTTGTTTGTAATAGTACCACGGCCCAAATGTTTATGCTGTATAAATTTTAAAAACATTATTGCGATCTATGTTTTCAAATCTGTGAAATTTTTTTAGTCCTTAGTTTTGCATAAACGATAGCAGCATACATTTTCACATATATTTAAGAACTTCGCTAGCAAAGTAGTATGTATTATTATTAATTGTTCGCATGACATTACATAATAAACGAATTAATAAACATTCAAAGTGATATTTATTAAATACCTACTCGAATTTTTTTCTCGAAAGTGCGTAGGATTTCGGGGGTATGTCTATTCACCAAAAATGTTTCTAATTGACCCCCAGACCCGAAAATAATTTTTCCAGAAAGATTTGAAACTTTTCAATTTCGCCGAAAAATTTAGGCTCGTTCTCGAATTTTTTTCTCGAAAATGCGTAGGATTTCGAGGGTATGTGTATTCACCAAAAATGATTGCAATTGATCCCTGCAACCGAAAATAATTTTTTCAGAACTATTTGAAACTTTTCATTTTTGTCGAAATTTTCTGTACCCTGTCCTTACCATGGATTCAGTATCCGGTGGTAAGTATAATCCTAAAGTACGTGCATGTATGTCTTATTGTGTCTTATTTATCCGGAATGATCGATTGACATTTATTCTTTTATTTCCTAACTTTGATATACTCTCCTTCAAAGTGGAACAAAACGTATAAGGGGATCCTTGTAAGAAAGCTTTAATCCTCGACTTTGTGATGGTTTTAATGGGTCATTGGTTATTGGATGGTCAACAGTGGTTAGCTTATGGTCATCGATGGTAAAAAACGAAGTTGATTTCAAGGTCAGCGGTCCAGGGAAGGTTCAGAAATATCCAAGAGAAAGAACCAATCGAAATAGTTCTGTAGATCGGACGATCTTATCCGTTAACTGCGTCCTTGGCTGTGATTGACACTGAGTATCCCCACTCTTCCATCATGTTAGAAAGGGGTACAAGTAGCCTCGCTATCGAAGTTATCCTTGAGTCGCGTCGCGATTTTGGGAGCGTACACATGGGAAGGAGGCAACCCCCGATGGTTGCTGGTCGCTGCTGACCCTGGGTGACCACTGGTGACCTCTGCTGACCACTACTGACCAGAACTGACCACTACTGACCAGTTCTGGCTAGCGCTCCTGCCACTACTGACCACTACTGACCACTGCTGACCACTACTGACCAGTGCCGGACGGTGATGACCAACTGTAAGAACTGTTTAAAAATTCTCTCCCCTCTTCTATTCTATCGTTTGATACCAATTTCGCTCGAACGAACTGATTTTGCCTTGCTTGCCTAACTGCTGTTGCTATAATATGAATATTTTCTTACTTTACAGCTGGCCCAGTGGTAACTATCCTGTATACTGACAACAAGTAGTAAGTCCGCTCCACTTATTTATATGTTATTATTTTTATTTGTTTGTTCGATGTGAATTCAACTGTATTTATCTATCCGATTTTATTTGGTTATTATGAATGTTCCTTATCTATGTTTCTACTTTTACATCGTTCGTCGAATTTATGTGATTGCTTTGATGCGTATAGTATCGCAGGATATAATAATGTAGTATTGTTTTCGATCATATACTACATTCGTTTCTACACGATTTCATGAATTTTTATTTTCACCTTCTTGCTCGAATTCTCGTAATATTCTGCGGAGGTACTTTGTTCGATTCTTCCATTTCGTTTGATTATTCGGTGTTGATTCAATTTGGTGTCTCGATCCAAGTTTCCTATCGTTATTACGAATGGTCGTTTCGAGTTGTATCACATTGTGGTCGATGTATTATACTGCATTCGTTTTGACGATACTCATCATTAGAAGAATGTTCGTTTCGATACGTATAACATGGTGTCGATTGATATGCCATATTTGTTTCGACAACACTGATTGATAGAAGATTTCTATTTTTACGTTTAGCCCCTTTAGCTAGGTGATAGATTATTTTTAAGCGTTTATTAAATATCCTACCATGTCTAACTAATATAAATATTAGTTTTGATTTCAGTTTAAATTTGGATGAATCGCAAGGACACCGAGGGAGAACGCCAGAACCGCCGAGGGACTTTTAATTCCGGGTTGATTAGTCTTAAGCTTCGTCGCGAGTATTAAAATTAACGTCGAAGCCTTCTTTATTATACATACATACGTGTCTCCGCGTCCTACCAAGCAATTATTAAACAAGTAGCTTGTCTCTCGCTCGTTCCCTCGTTTCTTGCTTCGGTCACCGCTGTTTCATCGATCGAAACATGTGATCGGCCGTGTAGCTGGTCCGACAGATCTAACCGCCTTCCCTTGGTAGCTAGATCCAGGGAAAATGGTACTCAGCTGGAAGGTGTGGAGTATCCGTATCCTGCGGAAACGCATACCTTCCAGCGGAAGTCGACACTGAAACAGAGGTACTCTCTCTTTGTCAGACAACTTGAGTCGGGTCCTTCGGGCTCCCGGCGGGTTGCGTTGGAGCAATGGAGACCTTAGATTCGGAGTCGCAGCCGTCCATTATCCCATAGAGATCTAGTTAGCAAGGGCAGTAGGTTCGATCCTCGGATCCGCTGCACGGTTCAGCGTCGCGTCGCCTCGCGTCTCGTGTCCCTCAAATTAGCTTCGTCCCTCTTTTTAACCAAATAATTGCTTGGTACAACTAAGTCAGAACATCCAAGAATGTTCGTTTCCTTCTATCGTCCGAATTTTAGTTTCAACTTGACCAGACTCGAGCTTCGACGTTAATTTTAAGTCCCTATCGTACGCGTCTCCCAATATTGCCAAGTAATTATTTAACAAGTAGCTTCTCTCGACTCGTTCTCCGGTTCCTAGCTTCGACCACCGCTGTTTCATCGATCGAAACATGTGATCGACCGTCCAGTTTGTCCGAAAGATCTAGTCGCCTACCCATGATAGATCGATTGCTAGAAATAGGAATCAATCTACCAAGGGCAGTGTTGATTCGATCCGAAGATCTGCTGCACGGTTCAGCATCGCGTCGCGTATCCCATCATTTAGCTTCATCCCTTTTTAAACGAAATAATTACTTGGTAGCTAAGCTTAGCTAAAAGGGAGATCGATGGAACTTTGATTCCATCTATCTCCCTTCGGGTCTCCACTCGCAGCAACCTCCACGTGGTGAGACCTGGTAATCGGTGTTACTCACGAGAAGAACTTCTTCTTCGTGTGTAGCACCGAGCTAATGGCTGCGAATTTAAAATTGTTAAAAAGAAAATTATTCTTCGTTCAGCAATATGGAAGGCTGCCAAAGAAGAACATTTCAGGTTGCTTCTACTTGTACTTAATCAATCTTATAATGTAATGTACGTGATAAAATAAACAATCTGAATTGCCACTGAGATTTCTCAACGTAATCCGTGCAATCTCGTTTTATTAATATCCAGGAATCCTATGGTCGTTTAAAATGCTTTCTCGTGTTCGAAAGTAGAACAAATTCGAATAACGATTAAAAACTTTAATACCCCACGCGAGAAAGGGGTGGGGGGGAATGAACTGGGTCAGCAGTTAACCACTATTTCCCGGGAATTCGGTCACTCATAATACTTCGGAAGAATTTAGAAGAATGCATAAACAGTTTTGCACGTTTCTATTTTTCTTTCACTTTGTTTCGTTAGATGTAAGAGAGTATAACACGATGGACAGTGAATTTAACCCTTTGCACTCCGAATTATATTTCAATTTTTTTACCAGCAGCTCCCGACCTTTTTGCCTTTAAGTGTTTTATTTTACCTGTTAAGATATCTGTTTTATTTACACCGTTGTTGCATTTTGTAACTTTCAAGTATACGGATATCTCTTTGGTTTGGGCTCGAAAAAGAGGGAGCTCCCGAGATAAAAATTGGTGTCGAATCACACTCGACGTAGGAGTGCAAAGGGTTGAAGGTGTTGTTCGATATTGATCTGCCTTTTTTTTGATCGTGCAGCCTTTAATTTTCAAACTTGTGTTTTTTGCGAGCAAAGGGGTGGAAACAGGCAAGGGACGGTGAAGTTTGTCGATCAAAGGAGAAGAATTGCGTAAACATCTTTTTGCCCCTGACTCGGTAGCTCAGTTTTAGGAGGGTCTGAGGACCTCGAACATTCGTGACCGAGCCACGTTTCACCTCCTACCCTTGCTCGTCTATTCGACCTGGAACTCCCTTTGAGATACTTGGCTGTCCCCGATATCGTACCCCCTCCCCAGGGACGTAGTTAGACTCCTACACGCTCCCCTACATCCTTGGTGCATCCAACATTCAATTTCTTCAAATAGTTTCTTACTTACATCGGTACAAATAATTTTCATTACATTTTAAAAATGTAGTTTTTAATTAAAAGTATTAATTTTACTTTGTATAAATAATTTATGGATATTGGTTAAATTATTTCTTAAAAGGTTCGATAATTTTAACTTTGCAAAGTTACGAGCCCTTCCATTCGAGAATTAACCTTCAGAAAGTCTCGTTTTTTAATCGATTGCATTTACGTTTCCATTTGATCCAACTGTGACATTGTTTGCTATAATTAAATAGAATTTCAAACGCCTATTAAATTAATACTATTTGCAAAATTATTTAAATTTGCTTATATTTATATCGTTGAATTTAAACAAATTTTTATGCACTTAATAGAGCTTTTTGATGGTTCTGTGAGAATCTAATTTTTCATGAAATTAATCAGCCGCAGCTGTGGTTGTATTTATAGTACGAAAAGCCACTTTGCTCGGCACACACCATTGATGAGTAGCACATACGATATAGAACGCTAGCGTACGCATGCGTGGATGCGTTTGCCTAAGAGAGGGTAAGTATAAAACTTTCGATTGCAATCAGTCAGCGGCTGGCGGCGACCAAGTATTCTTCGTTGTCAAATGAATGCACAATTCCAATACTTTTACTAATATTACACGATTATCTGTACCCTAAAAATTTTAGTTTCCCTAATAGAAAGGTCGTTTCTAAAACTATAAAATAATAATCAGTCCCCTGCCTTTTGGTTCTATTATTCGAAGCATAGAAACTTTAATTTAAAATGCTCTGTACATGTATGATTAGAAGCATGCACAAAAATGATATAAATCGAAAATATAATAGAAATTATTATTATTACGAGTAAAGTGGTACTATTTAAAGCTAACCTTGACTGAAACTTGGACAGCGAGGAGAGGCTTTGTCATTGATTTTACGCGAAATGTTTATTTTCACGAATTCAAGTTTCGTTTCGCGCGTATAAATCTATTTTTTATTGTAGATTACGGAGATTTAAATCGGAAAGCTGTCGTTTCGCGTAGCTGGCTCTGAATGGGAGCTAATTTTAACCGAGACAATGGAGGACCGTTTGCTCGACGAAGGGCTCCCGAATCTATTGTCGCGGGTACCTACGTCCCTGTATTCCCCCTCCAGGTCGTCAAACATCCAGCTAAAGCCTGACAACGTTATTGATCCAGCTGGTGGCACACCACGTCTATGCAACGAGGCCATCCATTCCCGCGGATGGTGTATGCGCTCCCCGGTTCGAGAGTCTGCTGATAGCACGGAAGGTGCTAACCTCCTCTATTCGGACTCGGTTCTTACGCGTTTCTTAATCGCGTTAACTCTTGCCCACGCTTTCCTCAAACACCTCCATCTCTCACCCTTATTAACTGCCCCCGTCGACTTGCTTTCCTGGCAATTCGCTCGGTCGACCGCGAATATCGACTTTGGGGGTCAACCCGGCTAAATAAACGAGATTTTTTCCTCAGATTACACGAGGAAAAATAGTAGAGGGTAGAGACAAAACAGTAGAGGGTACATGTTCCAAAAAATTGGTCAAAATTACTCAAATGCAATTAAAAATAAATTAAAATGCAGATGTAATTCGTTAAACGACGAAACCTTGAATCTCACGCAAGATTTTTAAATTCACATTTTGGCCAACTATTCGGGGAAATCGAGTTCATCCAAATTACACGAAATTTGCAGTGGAATCGGTTTGCTCTATTCTAATTTCAATTTTCCACTTCTATTAAATTTTGTACGACTTTAAACGGTACTATGGGTCGAAATGAGCTTATTAAATTGCAAAGTTTTATAATTATGGAAGCATTTGAGGCATTTTTAAGGAAATATAGATCGAAAACCGTTTTTCAGGGCACAGTAGTTTCGTTTTCGAGATATCGACTTCTGGGCGCGCTGTTTAAATCCGAATCAGGTGCTCGCGCGTCGTCGCATCGCGCATGCGTTAACGACGCGTCTACCACTGATAACATTATTAGTTATTAGTTTTACTATCCTTGTTTTATCCACGTTTATCAAACGAAGAGGTTAACTAGACATATTACAAACGTTATGTCTGATAGAAACGATTAACGAAATTCTCTTCTCTATTTTACCATTTGGTCTTTTAGATTAACCATTGAAGATGACATTGACAATTGTTAAAGCATCGACGATGCTCGAAACGTCTGTTATACCAGCTTCTAATAATTTATTCACGCCAATGGGATAATTAATTCCGTTTCAATTTCAAGATTTCTCTTCTATGTATATTTCAAGAAAAATTGAGCAAATGTTGGGGGTTTGACTGGACACGCGTGCATTTGGAAATGCATGGCGCAGTAAACAAAATGGCAGTGCTTCTTTGGTATTTCGATTAACCGGAGGTAATTGGAACACGTAAACTGTATTCTATTAGGTTCGGGGCAATCAAATCTCGAAACTATTAGCGTCATCGAGAAACGCACACACACGTAGACGCGTGAGCTGGACACATGCGTGCGCAACTTGAGACGCCATAAGTGCATTAACAAGGCTGATAAGCTCTTTGGACGTGTGCGTGCACCGGTGCACGCAAATATGTATGCGTGTAGCGTGTGTACGTGTGCATAGTAAAAGTCGCGAAGAACAGTAGCGCAATTAAGTTGCCAGCTGGTAGCTAAAAAGAGCGTAATTTCATCCACCTCCTGCAACGTAGCCGATAATCGCGAAAAAAGTCTTCTATTCTCGGATCGACCTCCTCGAATCTAATAAATTAAGTATCGAACAGATATAATTCGCTCGATCTTCTCGAGCAATAGTGATATCGTATGTTTAGACGCTTTTTAGGACGTAAAAAGATATAATTATTTCTATCGAATGTTAACTTCTCTAAAAGACGAAATTTTAATTAGAGTTTAATTTATAAGTTTTTTAAGGTTTATTTTCTCTTTTGTGAAATTTTGTATCTGGAAAGGAATTAATCGATTTGCAAGTTCTTTAATTTGCTTTGCCATATGAACGGTTCAAGGGGAAACTCGTACTACCAAGGGCTATCCTTGAACTGAATACCTAAACACCTCGGGGACATATAGAGAAGCACTCAAAGGATGAATTTTTAAATGTTATTTACCATTTGAAAATCAAGTTCCTCGCATCACCTTGATAACTCCTATCGTTAATCCTTCGGTTGCAGTCATGGTCACTGTCGGAGCGATCATTTTTCTCAAATCATCCCCCGACACACTTAGGGTCGAATTTCGTTCGTTTAAGCAAAGTAACGATAGTAACAGGAATTTAATCTTAGTCATAAGGAGCCTATTATTATACAGGGTGTTCGGCCACCCCTGGGAAAAATTATAATAGGCGAGTCTAGAGGCCAAAATAAGACGAAAATCAAGAATACCAATTTGTCGATCGAGGCTTCGTTAAAAAGTTATTAACGTTTAAAATTCCGCCATTAATGAATTTTTTTCTCGAAAATGCGCAAGATTTCGCAGGTGTGTCTATTCACCAAAAATAATTGTAATTGACCCCCGCAACCGATAATAATTTTTTCACTATGATTTGGAATTTTTTAATTTCGACGAAAAATTTGTCCACTTACTGAATTTTTTTCTAGAAAGTGGATAGGATTTCGAAGGTATGTGTAATGACCAAAAATGATTGTAATTGACCCCTGCAACTGATAATAATTTTTCCAAAACGATTTGAAATTTTTTTTCCCCTCGAAAAATTTCACACCTTCTTGAATTTTTTTCTAGAAAGTGGATAGGATTTCGAGGGTATGTCTATTAACCAAAAATGATTGTAATTGACCCCCGCAACCGATAATAATTTTTTCATTATGATTTGGAATTTTTTAATTTCGCCGAAAAATTTGTCCACTTACTGAATTTTTTTCTCGAAAGTGGATAGGATTTCGAAGGTATCTGTAATGACCAAAAATGATTATAATTGACCCCTGCAACCGAGAATAATTTTTCCAGAACGATTCGAAATATTTGAATTTAATTGTTAATAACTTTTTAACGAAGCCTCAGTCAAGAAATTTGTATCCAGCAAAGTAACGATATTAACAGGAATTTAATGTTAGTATCGTATATGTATAATACTAATATTTGCTATTTTTATGTTCTGTATTTAAGAATCGAATAAAATATCGTTCGTGTTAAAATTGTAGGTGTAGATAGAGGAACCCCTGCGAGGGATAGAGCTGGTGATCCGGGCTCGGGTATTCAGGGTAATGGTGTCTGTTTTATGGTGCGAGTGCCGCCCCTGGTCGCACGCCTGCCTAGTAGCTTTCGTGCGAACGATCGCCAGTGTGGTATCGCCAGTCGAGCGATCCGGAGCGGGCTCGTGGCTTTTCCCCAATGACGGCTACAAAGTGACGACACCTCCACCCACCGTAAACTCGTCTAACAACACGTAAGTCCCCCCCACGTAAATCGTTCCTCACTCTTCGTAGGTGTGAAACTATCCCCATACGCGACAATCAGCTCAAAAATAAAAAAAAAAAGAACACGCAAAAGTGACACTGAACAATCGTGGCTCGGTCGTTGGTGCTACGTACACAGTTTCCTACTTCGTTTCCTAGCCCCGTGACGAAATTTCACGAACACGAACACGAACACGATCGATGAAAGTTACAATTTTCCCGACGAATAGTTCCTCAACGTGTACGGGTAAGGTGCGAAACGAATTGAAACGTAGGCAAACGATAGCAATGGCAACGTAGATACGTGGGTACGAGGGAAAAGGGAAGATCGGTCTAAGGGGCGAGTAGAACGTGACGATCGAACGATCTCTGATCAGACCTAACCGAGTCTGATCCAATACAGGCTCTAATTCCTTTCAAGTCTGATCATTCTTCGTTCCTGCGATAGTTTTCTAGTGACGTATGTACGACGGAGCAGACGTGGGCAAAATTTGTGTCCTGATCAACGCTAGAACTAACAACGATCACGGTGTACTTATTTAAAGCGATAGATACTCCAAGAAATTTATAATGGAAATAAATGTTCGTTCTCCTATAGAAAGCCACGGTAAAATAAAAATTTTTTACTATTTTTGTTAGAAATTACTAATCGTTTCGACTACGTTCAACAGTTCTAGCGTTGAATCTGGGAATGAAATTCGTGGCGTTTCACCAGTGAATCGTCGTGGATTATTTTTGGTTTTTTTTCGAGTGCAATTTAGCCCCGACAATGGCGACAGCGTATATCGCCGCTACGCGTACGCTCCAACATTTTAATATCCTCTTAAGCGTCCAAGAGCCGATTAGGTCGATGCAACGTCGCGTCTTCGAGGCCAGTTTCCGTTCCGTCGAGGCGGAAGATCGGAAACGTGGATTCGTCCGACACACAACACGCAAACCGAGCTGCTTTCGAGGTTCCCGTTCGCATCTCGATCGGGGAAACCTGACGATAACGTCGTGAAAAGGGTGTATAGGGTGTCATTGACTGTACCTCGGATCGATACCGACGAATTTAACGCAATTACGTCCAATCAATGAAATCTTCCCCGGTGACAGACGGATTGACGTTCCTGGAAGGTGTCTCTTGGGAAATCGCTCGCCTTTACGATTTTTCACAAATCGAAATCGTAAAGAGAGAGAAAAACAACGTTCAATTCGAGTTCTGGGCTAGGAACGAGGCTCGATGAACGCGTTAAACTTGAAATCGACGTCCTTCGGTACAGCGTTCTACGTTTATCGCGAAACCGACCGGAAACGGGACGTTCCGCGTCGGAGGAAACAACGTTTTGACTCTTATATATCGACAGAGTTGGACAAATTTACGATCTGAATCAAAATTTTCCGTAAAAGATTTTCGTTTCAACCTGTGTTACGTTTATAATTTGGTGAATTTTCTTTTAACGTTCTGGAATTAATTCGCAGGCGAAAATCTCCCAAAAAGACTCGTTGGAATGGAATATTTGTTTAAATTAACGAAAGATAAACAACTTTCGCGAATTATAAAAGGCAAATTTCAATTATAAAACTTTAGAACGTTAAACTTGTGTTTCCTCCGTTCCAATAATTCACGTTTCCGTTTCTTTATTTAAAACTACGTTTCACGATTGAAGGATCAGAAGAAGCATAAGTCAAGATAACAAATAACCGATAAAATGAACCTACAACAAAATCTAGAACTGTATTATTATTAAAATCGTTGTCTAGAATTTCGGGGCTGGAAGAAACGTTGAGAATAAATCTATGGCGTTTCCAGAGATTCGTAGCACGAGGGAAATTTTCCAAAGGGGAACTCGTAAGGGGATCGAAACTATTGGGGGAGACGGAAAAATCGTGGGAAGGTTTTTCGGGGTAAATACGGGCGCGAGATTCCGCGCAAACGCGTATTTCCAACGATGACATACATATTTTAAGCGGTTCTCATCGATCACGAATTTTCGTGTTGGGCCACTCGATTCTCGCGAAACGTTCTGTAAAGTTACGATCGAGTATTTAAAGTCGTCGGGAACCAAATATATTTTTTTTTACACCATGACACTGCACGATCCAACGTCATAAAAAGATAAGAGTAATATTTGATTAAATTCTGGAGTTTTAACAATTTTATCGACGATACAGAAATGTGCTAAAAGCTTTCTGGAGTTTTTATTTTTTAGAACGACGACGGGGGCTAATGCCGGAGAAATATTATTCCGAGTTAATCAGAATCAGGATCAGAATTAGCTGAAATTCTGCGTAGTACTTGAACCTTTTTGCGAATCCGGATAACTCGATATAGGTCACGAGGCTCGAGAAATCAATGAGAAACGTGCTCCAAGCTTCTTTTACACACGAATCTACTATTAATTAATCGTTTCTTTAACCGACCAACATCGTTTTTTCCCCTCATTTCATATCAAATATGCAATCCAACTCTCTCAACTATCTCGAATTCTCTCTACTCAATTTTCAAGTATTTGAAAATATATTAAAAAAATATAGAAATATATAAACCCGATTACCTTCACGAGGGTTAATAAATTATATAATTTATTTATAATATTTAACATTTATTTATAATATTTAACATTTATTTAATTATATAATTTATTTCGGTAAAATTTTAAATTAATTTAATTGTTTCTATTCACGAAGCCTTGATCAAGTTTTTTAAATTTACTAAAACAATTATTTTAGTCTGACTAGGAGCGTTAAGGGGTTGATTCGGAATAAAAGTTTGTTTGTCGCTAGATGTGGAAGACTAACCGGAGAATGATACAACCATGATTCGATTGGGAAACGATCCTGATAGAAGGCCGTCGGCTCAGGTGACCCGTACACACTGTACAAAACGGTGACAGAGCTCTAAATTACAGCCATGGACACGCAAAAGAAGTATCTGTGCCCCCGCTTGGTGGACTATCTCGCCATTGTGGGGGCCAGATTGCCCTCAGCCTCTAGGCAGCCTGTGCAGGTATTTTTAAACGCATCGAAAATACCATTCTCCCCAAATAACCACGAGAAAACGAGCAATTGTTCTACCCTACCATTTATACATTTAAGGCATCTATTTACTTCCAATATTGTCACAATTACTGCTCTCAATATGGGCCATATAGTGATCCAGAGACAATGGAAGGTGTATAATACAATTTTTAGACTGTAGAGATGCAATTAATCGGAAGAAGGGTACATTAATCGCGTTGATCGCCACGGTGGTCACCGGTGACCGACACCTTCAACTTCCAACGTGTTTCAATATTGTTTACAAATGGAAGTGGTGAATAATCCTACTTAAATTTGGAATATCGTAAAGTAACAAATTCACCGTTATAGAATATTTAAAGAAACTTTGAGGCTCCTGACCCCCCATATGGCCCTTCTATCGTATCCAAGAGCATGATTTGCACAATCTGGATTGCAGGTTCCAGAATTGTTGCGGAGATACCCGGTGGAAGATCACAAAGATTTTCCACTGCCCCTGGACATGGTTTACTTCTGTCAACCGGAGGGTTGCACCAGCGTGGGCCCTAAACGAACAGCTCTGCGAGAAGCCACCTCCTTCACCTTCACTCTCACGGACAAAGACTCCGGTTAGAAATCGAATTCAACCAGAATTAAATAGCACGCGTTCGAAGTATAACTTTTAATCGAATCGTACGTCAACGAAATCGTATGTCAGCTTAGCTAAAATTGCGACGCCCCTTCGTTTTCGCAGCTCGTTAACATTTTTACTGTCCGCCAACGCGTTGAACACAGTTAACTCCCACACTTATTGATACCGTGATTGCAGGCAAGACTCGGTACGGGATTTGCGTGAACTTCTATCGGCCAATAGAAAGGGTAGGAGCGACGATCGGGGGTGGAGTCTCGGTCAGAAGAGACAAGTACAATACTACGTCGAGAAGGGAGAGCTGGAGGAAGAGCATGGAGAAGAGCACGGACTCTGCCTTTTCTAGGTGAACTATAACGCATCATCGTATCGTAGTATCAATCTATCGTAATTTAAGAGCTTCATTCTGTTCTATTCACACCTATCCCCGCACACGATTGTTCTCGTTTGCAACAATTATGAGACTGTATCTCTAGCTGTTCTTTATAGCGACTATAGGGGCAGTGCAGTTGGTCCTAGCGACTCTGAAAAAGAATGTCCAAGCAGCAGAAGGGACTCCGATACTCCCCATATACCCAGTGCCCCGAGATTAGGCATCACCGCGCCCAGTGGAGACAGTGAAAGCGGGGGCAGCCATTCTCCATCGCCGCGGGCTTCCCGCAGACGACAGGTCAAATTAACATATTCAATTAACCTGTACAACCCTCCTAGAAAACTCTTTTATTTGCGATAAATAGATACTTGATCTTTGATCGAGGGTCGAACTCAGAATTCAGGACTCAAAACTCAGATCTTATGCTTTGAACGGTCGACTATGTAATTTCAGAGGATACGAAACCATTCATTGACGTCGCTTTGCATCATTTCCCATCACCCGTTCTTCTCGATGTTCCGCGAATGCCTTTTCGTCTTGAAGAGGATCATCGACGCGTGCAACGAGAGTTTCTCGCCGCAAAAAGTGGGAGCTTCCAGGCAGACCAACAGGTAACCGTACTTAAACAAGTATCATTGTTTAACAAATCTTCGAAACGATGCGAAGAGTTTATCGATAAGCTTTTTCGTGTATTTGCGAGCAGAGACACGGTTTGGAGCGCTCTGACCGGGCAAGTGTTCGAGGGAACGCCGTCTATAGTCCTCCACGACGTGAGGGAGATCGAGACGTGGATATTACGTTTGCTGAGCAGCCCAGTGCCAGTCCCCACAAAGACCCGCGTCGAGGTTGAGATCGTGTCGCAAAGTATGCAGCCGCCACTCTGTTTTGCACTCCCAGACCACACTAGATTTTCTCTCGTTGATTTCCCTCTGCATCTACCCTTGGAACTTCTTGGCGTTGACATATGTTTGAAGGTCCTCACGTTGATTCTCTTGGAGCACAAGGTGAGTCTCTCGCGCTAAATACAGAAAACGTGTAACGTTACGGGAGTACCCACAAAGGTTTCAACCCTGGATACACGTTAAACGTTGACTCTTTGGTTTTATCGCTAATAAAAGTGGCTAAAATCCCAAGAGAGATGTATTTGGTGGTTTGTGAGATTAATAGCGTGTATTTGTTTTCAGATTGTGTTGCAATCCCGCGACTACAATGCCCTGTCGATGTCCGTAATGGCGTTCGTTACAATGATTTACCCTCTGGAGTACATGTTCCCCGCGATACCGTTGTTACCCACGTGCATGAGCTGCGCGGAACAGTTGTTGCTTGCACCTACACCATTTGTTATCGGAATACCCGCAACTTTTTTATTGTACAAAACGAACTTTAAAATGCCCGATGACATATGGCTAGTGGACCTAGACAGCAATAAGATTAACCCGCCGACTGGCCTGCGCGACCAGTTGCCCCCGTTGCCCGAGCCAGAAGGCAGCATACTAAAGAACCACTTGAGACAGGTAAATACAAACACGTCCCTCTTGGCTAAAACAACCCACCTTCATCCCCCTTCCTCCCCCACAGTGGTGCACCCAACAATCTTAACAAATGTCTCGTCACTTTGCCATGCTTATCAAACATTCGTTGGAGAACAGTTTAACAACCATAGGTTGTGTCTGGTCTCTTGATCAGTTTCAAGTGTATCGTGCAACAAGACGAACAATGTTTAGGATCTACGAGAGTCAAAGACGAGTGGGTGTGCCACTGATCGACTGTTTTCCACCTCCCGATCGGTCGCGAGGCTCGATAAATGTCTTTAATTAATCCCTTGCTCCTCCGTTCGGTTCTGCAGGCGATGCAACTGATGGACCAAGCCGGCTCTGGTGTAAATATTTCACTACCACTTTCTGCATGTAGCGTACAATAGCTGACGTCCTTGTGTTGTAGTTAGCGGCATGGAGAATTTTTTTTTATATCGTATACAGAGCCTCCCACACTTCTGGGAAAAGCTCTCTAAAACGATCGGAGATAGAAACATTTACAGCAAGAATAAACCTTTTTCTCTATCTCTGACCCAGTTTTAGAGAGATCGTCTTTCCCCCAGTTGCATGGGACGGTGTACTTCGAGTATTCGATAGAAATGTCTAGACCAAAAAAGGGAGAACTTGTGATAGATAGGATATGAATAGAAGTAGGACTGTGTAGGAAGCCTGGGCATAGAGTTAGACGAAATAGACATAGTTGCTTCAGTGATTACGCAGAGGACACTCGAGGACACTGTTGATCGTCTTGATCGTTACATCGATTATTTTTTCCAGGCAATGGCTAGCATGACTCCGCAACCCTTCTCGCAGGACAATCCCCCGCGATCGTCGCTTCAGGCTCCCAGCAGAAGGGAGAGCATTACGTCTCATCTGTCCGTTTTGAGGTACCTTTTCAATCGATATTCACTCTGTCTACTATTTCTAGCTCTTGGAGCTTCCTGTGCTCTTGTACCATTTATTTGGTAAAAGTGATTCTATGTTATTAGCGATGATACGTCCACAATGACACCAAGAGCATGGGGAGTTACATTGAAAACACGTCCAGTTTTTCCATGATAAACTTTACAGGGCATACCCTTTTGAACAGCTCCGTTGCCTTTTATGTCAACGATATTGCCAACTTTGTACTATCATGTATGTCGACAATGGTATTGTTTCATGTTTGCGTAATTTTCGGGAAAACGAATCCCTTGTTCCTCGGTCGATAACCCTTCGAATTCGTCATAAGAACCGAGTACAGCCACTTACGACGTTGAAAAAGAGCATTCTGTGTTATTAAAATCACCCGTCGAATGTGTCGTTAATGTGTTATACCGTTATAAATGTATCGGTATCCTTTATACAGCGTTTCGTCGATGAAGCACAGATCGAGCATCGACCACCACGCGCATCCTCAGAGCAGTCCACTGGGTTCCCCCAGCACGAACGTAACATCCGGTCCCCGTAGACCGTCCATTTCGCAATCGATCGGTTCGTCGTCGCCACAGAAGCCCGGCTCGCAAATAACGCCATCGTTCAACCCTTTCATCTACGCCAACGACGTGGATTCCGTGGACATCGCGACCAGGGTGGCGATGGTGCGTTTCTTCAACTCGCAGAACCTGCTGGCGAACTTCACCGAGCACACCAGGACCCTCAGGCTGTACCCGAGGCCCGTGGTGGCTTTCCAGATCAACTCGTTCCTTCGATCGAGGCCAAGAGCCAGCCATTTTCTGAGCAAATTCGCGCGGACCCAGGCGGTCGAGTTCCTGGCCGAGTGGTCCTTGACGCCAAGCAACGTGGCGTTTCTGAGGGTGCAGACCGGCGTGTTCGATCCGGCCCAGATCGGCGACAAGCCGAAATGGTACGCCTCCGACTTGAAGCCCATCTCTTTCCCTGTTTGGGACTCCGGTAGCTCGCTGGCGAACGCCCTCAAGGCGATGAGGGAGCACGAGAGTCAACCGACAGATGAGAGCGGATCAGACTCAGAAGGCGCGGAGAGCACTAGCTCTTCTTACTCCTCTTTGAGCGACTTTGTCTCCGAAATGGCCTCCTCCGACCTCTCGCCCAGTAAGTAATTCGATTTACTTCGTCTTCTGATAGCTTGAACTCTTTTTACAACGAGCATCGTCACTCGACTGTTGGGTCGTCTCATGAGTTCGTCCATTTATTAATATTTGAAACATACCTGCAAATGGAAGTAATTTTTTTAGAACGATTTGAAACTTTCTAATTTCGTCAAAAAATTTCACTACCTATTCCAATTTTTTTCTGCAAAATGGATAGGAATTCGGGGGTATGTCTATTCACCAAAAATGATTGTAATTGACTCCCGGAACTGAAAATAATTTTTTCAAAATGATTTGAAAGTTTTTAGTTTTGTTGAAAAATTTCACCATCTATTCGAATTTTTTTCTCGAAAATGGGTATGATTTCGAGGATATGTCTATTCACCAAAAGTGATTCTTATTAACCCCCGGAACTGAAAATAATTTTTTCAAAATGATTTGAAACTTTTTAATTTTGTTGAAAAATTTCACTATCTATTCGAATTTTTTTCTCGAAAATGGGTAAGATTTCGGGACTATGTCTATTCACCAAAAATGATTGTAATTGCCCCCCGGAACCAAAAATAATTTTTCCAAAACGATTTGAAACTCTTCAATTTCGACGAAAAATTTAGGCACCTACCCCCCTACGATTTTTCTTAAAAATTCGTTTTTAATTTTTAGTAATTTTGTTTGACGCCCTACAGAAAAGTTGTCTACTACTTTTTTGTAGGTACCCATGAGCCCTACTTCGGAAAAAAGTTTCATTGAAATATATTCACTATTGCAGGAGTTATGGCTTTTTGAAAATTTGACCATTTTTATGTGGTTTTTCTCATTTTACGGGGTCAAGGAACAACTTTTTCATTATTGTTATAATTTCTACATAATCTCCATTAAAATACGCGTCATTTGCCTCTTTAAACATTAAAATCCTTCAATCCGTTCAGAAGTTATGACGTTTTAAAGATACGCACGACATTTTGGGAATGCATTTCTGGCCTGAAATTATATTTTCGGTAAAGAATTTTTTTCTCGAAAATGCGTAGGATTTCGAAGGTATGTCTATTCACCAAAAATGATTGTAATTAATCCTTGCAACCAAAAATAATTTTTTCAGAACGATTTGAAACTTTTCAATTTCGCCGAAAAATTGCATAGATGCTCCAATTTTTTTTTCGAAAATGGATAGGATTTCGAGGGTATGTCTATTCACCAAAAATGATTGTAATTGACCCCTGCTATCGAAAATAATTTTTTCAAACCGATTTGAAACTTTTGAATTTCTCCGAAAATTTGCATAGCTGCTCCAATTTTTTTCTCGAAACTGCGTAGGATTTCGGGAGTATGTCTATTCACCAAAAATGATTGCAATTGACTCCCCTAACCAAAAATAATTTTTTCAGAATGATTTGAAATTTTTTAATTTAATTTTTTTAATAATTTTTTAACAAAACTAAATCTGTTGAACCATTTTGAATAAAGTGTTTCCAACTAAATGGTCACATTTTTAAACTCATTAAAAATGTCCATTTTCGCAGGTTACAATTGTTCGCAAGTAGCGCAGCCCCAACAAATGTCCCTACCGGTGGATCTAAAGGAGGTTTATAAACCACCGAGTACATTGCAATACCCAGGGGTGGAGGAGGAGTCAACGGTGAGGCCAGAGAGTCCACCCAGCACCTCATCGAGCCACAGCGATCTGAGCAGCCCCAGCTTCAACAGAGACTCGGAGTTCGAGTTGAACCCGAAAGCTCAAGAAGGCTCGCAATCGACCAACGTAAGCTATCGTTCCCTCCAAATTCCACTCTTCACGCAACATCTACTCGTCTCTATCTCGACCCGCTTACAAGTGAAATTTCTACGATGACCAAACTTGCTTTTTTGTTTCTATCGTCTGCGAAACACCGGGTTTTAAACGTTTCCACGCACCAGCAGCGTTTACGCGAATTGTTTAAAGTCTAGAGCAAGCAATCGCTAGCCTACTGTACGTAAATTAGGGTGTTTCGATGCTTGCAAGAGTGCCTAGAATATGCCAGACCCCTTTGATAATTTTTTGATAATTTAATTCCACGCAAATGGGGGACTGCTGTAACCAATAGACTTCCACGTCTCGATAAAGTAATTAAGTACGGTCACTTGAGTTTCCACAGATTCTCCATACATGTATCCCCGCTGTAACACCGTTAGTGGCATGTTCAACGCGTTAACCGACTACTTGACCATAGGATAAAGAGGAAGGTGGTAGCTTTGAGTCAGACTCTGCATCAACAGTAACACCACGTACAATCCTGAGCGCACAAAGTTCGGTAGGACAGTTCGGAATAGGCACGGGGTCGTTGGCCGCTCCTACGGTCATCAACAGTGAACGTCCTGCCACCTCCCACAGGATCTCACGTGTCAGTAGACTTGTCGTTCCTGCGAGCCATATCCTCCTCGCCACTTTCACTTTCTGCACTCTCTGTCGATTTACTTTTCTACTCGATGTACCGCGAACTTGCATGCTGTAAAAAGCGAACGGAACAATCTTTTCCACTCGATGCACACGGTGGCTCGAACCCCCCTAAAAATGGTCGAATCCTAACTGAAGTTCTTACAATACGATCGTTGTGCACCCATGTTAATTTTACAAGAGATGGTAATAAAAAATTGCTTGTTGAAAACCGATTATTTCTGTTTCGTACGTTGTTTCTCGTTTCTACTCTGCGTTAGATGCATGCGTTTCACTTTGCGCTGCTAGACTTTCGAAGGATCGATTTTAATGGCACTTTCTCGATGTTTGAAATGCACCGTCGGACATTTTTTTAGTTTCGAAAATCTGCATGGTCGACGACGAGTCGGGTTTCGATTATTATTGATTTATTACTCTCTGGATGTGTTTGTGTCCTGTGTCTGCCCGAATTCCAACAGTATACCCGACAACGCACGATCGTGAGTTAAAGAACATTCCAATCGAATCGATATATTGGTTACAAAAGTGGTCGCGATGATAAAATATTGTGTTGGTTGTACAGGACGTGTCATGCAATTTATAGAGGCTGGAGGAGAAAGTCAAATGTCGTGAAAAGAAAATTGTATTTTCTGGGATCCTCTAAAATCCTCAAGTTCCATTAAGCAAGTTAAAACAAAAAAATGAGGCCTTATTAATACGCCATTCGACTGTTTCCTTTACAGCCTTTTCCTATCGCGAACCGTACGAGAGATACGACCCGTACGAATTGCTTGACCCCGATACTGTACAGCTAACTTTACCACAATTACGTTAAAAAAACTATAAACACCCACATTACTATGACAATGAACATTGTAAATAATATTTCTCCGCGATAAGTTTCCATATCAGTCGGTGTAAGTAGTATCTAGATATCTTTGTTCAACTTTTTAAAACAGTGTTTTCCAAAATAGAGAGGATGGAAGGGTCTTTGAAACAAATAAACATTTACTTTACAAATTTTGGGGGAAATTTCTATTATTCTTGCCTCTCGAATAGTTTGGAAACCACTGCCTCAAAGTACTGACCGTAGCACCAAAAATTCGTCTCGTAGCAAACACCTAAACCCTTCTCTGACTTCGTAAAAATTGACCAAAGATTTCCGTAAGACTAAGACCGTAGTTTCCTCAAAATTTTAAGAAAAAACCAGAATCTCAGAAATCGATAAGTGTTGAAAAATTTTCCAAAAATTTTGAGAGCAAATCTTCCCCCAGGGATCTAGATCGCTTAATCGATTCCTAAACTGGACCGTTTCTCTTATTAAAAGATTCAGCCCGGCGGAGCAGTTCTCCAACGTCATCCGAGCGTGGGGAACGTTTTGGTGAGAGCGTCCAGTTTTGGGGCTGGAACCGGGCCAGCCTTGCCACGACAGACCAGCAGCAGCAGCAACGAGAACTCCGAGTCGTCCACGGTTTCTCGACAACTGTCGCTGGGTGGGACGCAATCCACGGAAGGTGGTCAAAGGCAGAGCATTCCGAACGCTACGGGGAACGGTGTTCTGCGACAGGGCTCTCAAGGATCCCTCTTCGAGCAGATCGCCACGCAAGCTAAGGACCTGGTTCGCGAAACGACCAGGCAGAGCAGTCAGGATGGACTACTTGCTCATATGGATAAGGCACGATTTTCATTCTCGTGTTACTTGAGAGACTATTTGGAATCAAACTAGTATAGATAGAGAGATTACTTGATGGCTAGGTACTTAGAAACTGAATAGTATAGTTGAAGGATCTCCATTTTCATGCTCCATGTATTTAGGGACTATTTGGAATCAAACTACTATGGGTAGTGAGGATTACTTGTTGGCTAGGCACCTACAAATTGAAACAGCATAGTAATAGGATCTCCATTTCCATTCTCCATGCATTTAGAGACTATTTGGAATCAAGCTATTATAGATAGAGAGATCACTTGGTGGCTAGGTACTTACAAATTGAACAGCATAGTTGGAGGATCTCCATTTTCATGCTCCACGCATTTAGAGACTATTTGGACCCAAACTACTATAGATAGAGAGGATAACTCGCTGGCTAGGTACCTACAAATTGAACAGTATAGTAATAGGATCTCCATTTTCTTGCTCCATGCATTTAAAGACTATTTGGAACCAAACTACTATAGATAGAGAGATCACTTGGTGGTTAGGTACTTACAAATTGACCAGCTTAATTGGAGGATCTCCATATCTACGAAAGATACATTTTTCTTCTGTTCATGGTTAACCCTTTGCACTGTTATGTCGAATGTGACTTGACGTCAGTTTTTATCTCAGCAGCTCCATTGTCGAGTCCAAACCAAAGAGATATCGTACACCTGAAAATTACAAAATACAATAGTGTAAGTAAAACGGATATTTCATTGAATTTGTTTAAATTTACCCTACTTTTTAGATTACGTAAATTTCAAATGAAACACTTGGAAGTGTTGGAAGCTGCTGGTAACAAAATTCAAACACAATTTGAAGTGCAAAGGGTTAATACTCTGAGCTTATGTTGTCCAACGATGGTTCTATCTTACTCTGTCTTGACACGTTTCATAATGGAATTATACTTAGCCATCAAGTCATGTATCTATGGTACATATTATACAGTGAACGAAATTTTTACAAGAAATTTTTAGTAACAATATCTAAGAAATAGTAGAAACTGGAGAACCAATGTATAGGATTAGAAACTTGAATCTAAGAATCTTATAACCAGACTGCGGATGTTTATGCATCTATAAGAAATTTTAATCCTCAAAAAATTACAGAATGCATTTGATATGCAAAAATATAAGAACTACTTAAAGTAAGATACGAATTATTATATTTACATTAATTCTATTAATAAAAATGTGAATTTGCATAAAGATCCGCAGTCTACTTATAACGTTACAAAAGTTCGTTTGCTCAACAGTTGAAACATCAGGCGAAGGAGAAGATCACGGAAGCCGGGGAGGAGAGTCTGTTCGCGCCACTGGAGCAGGCAAGTGTTTTGTTAGGATTAGGAGACACGTGGAGGGAAGTAGGGCTTTTGTAAAAATATAAATTTGCTTTTCAAACTGCGAATAGTTGACGCAACAAACGAAGAAAGCCATGGGGGAGGCGACCAAGTCTGTGCAAGAGGCGTCGAAAACTGCTTTGGAGGCGAGCAAAACCGCAGCGGGGGTCAGCAAAAACACGTTCGACGATTTAACGTACGTGGGCAAGAGCACTTTTGGCGATCTGACGAAAAGTGCCAAGGAAGTGGCCGTGAAAAAGGGCCTGATCAAAGTAAATAGTTTTCAGATCATTTCTGAGATATAAAAAGAGAAACTTTTTTCGTTTGCAGAATTACGTAGAAATAAGACGAGACAAAGTTTGGCAAGAAGAGATTTTTTATGTCAATATTGCAAAAGATTTGTGTTCATTACCTTTAGTGTACGTTTACGTAATAATGCAAAAGGAGAACACAATAGATCTATCGCAATAAGGAAGACAAAAATTAATATTGACCAGCACTATAATTTGAATTAAATTGTTTTAGGGTTTGGGGGACACGCAACAATCGCCCCCACCATCTCCAGGAATGTTGCAAAGAAGGGATTCGAGCAGCACGCAATTGGTATCTTCGGATAGTCGCGGGGGACGTAGGGAAATCGGACGTGATTTTTTCAGCAATATTAGTAGCGATTTAAATGGCATTGCCGCGCAAACGAGCAGCATGTTTAGCGATTTATTCGGTACGCGTTCTCCTATTTTCTCGATGCAATAAATGCAAATTACTCGTAAATTGCCCACTTTTTGGTGCAAACAAATTATATTTACGAGCAATTATCATCGAATAATACACTTTAACGAGCCCTTCTTTACAAATTTATACAGAATAAAAAAGTACTATTGACTTGACACACTGAAAAGATCTATTTCATCTATACGTGTATTGTATAATTGCAGAATGAAAGATGCCAACAGTAATTTGCATTTATAAATTAAAATTGGATGCTTGTTTACATTCCTATTGATTACAATTTTTTTTTTTTTATCGACAGGCAGTAAAAATAATTCGAATCGAAATACCGGTCTCCACCCTCAGTCGCAGAAATCTGAGAAGAAGACACCTATGCTCGGACCTTTCCCCAAAAGTAATACATCGCTACGTTCATTTTTAAACGTCTAATTAAACGAGTAGAATTTATTCGCGATACATTTTTAGCTGGAAAAACTGGACTGGCCGAACGATCGTCGTTAATAAAACACTCGAACAAGAGCAGCCAGGAGGACATTCAGAGGATGCAAAACGCAGAACGGTCCAGTACGAACAGCGACAACCAAGCTTTCCTCACGGACGTACGTGTATCGTAGAATCTCATTAGGTTGTTACGTATGAAACATTTCTTTAAACGATGATCTCTGAAACAAACTAAAAAGGTATATTTTGATGCTAAACTTTATCGATTTAATTATCATTCGTAACGCGAGGGTGAGGTTTTCTATTTTAATTTGGTAAGCTTCTGTATCGTTAGATATTTAGAAATTTAAAGTAAATTAGGAATCCAAGGAATCTTTAAATAAGAGTAATAATTAGACTGCGGATCTTTATGCAAACTCATATTTTTATTAATAAAATTAATGAAATTGGAGCTTTCTAAAGGGTTGTCTCAACTCCTAAATATAGTAATTCGTATCTTACTGTAAATATTTCTTATATTTTTGCATAACAAGTGCATTCTGTAGTTTTTTGAGACTTAAAATTTCTCATAAATGATAAAACATCCGCAGTCTAGTAATAATACTTCCACGATATAAAAGAAGAGAAAAATGATAGTTCACGCATCTACAGACATAAAAATATGAATTATATCACAAAAATCGGGACATTTCGTAGGTAACAACCTAATAACTTCGATAGTTCCTAATAAAATCTTGACTAAGATTGAAATTAAAGGTGGTGAATCAAGTATTGACCGGGGAAGGGGTTGGTTGGCTGAAGCTGAACAGACTGAAGAAGCTAATGGAGGACGAGAGCTATCGGGACCTGGTGGTGACGAAACTGAACAAAGGTTTGAACAAAAAAATCAGTCCCGACGATCACATCGACGACGTGGTGAGTTCCCTAAAAAATTAACCCTTTTCCAAACAAAATTCACCTAAAATTCGCGAGTGTTTACATTCTGGTCTATGTTAACAGTGCGTCACGCAGCCAGTTTACAAGGGAATGCTAAAGTGCCTTCAAGCAGTGTCCCACGGTCTCATACACACTTACACTAATTTCGGGCTGGGCGGAATGGCTTCCGTTTTCCAGCTAATGGAGATCGCGCACACCCACTACTGGAGCAAGGATATCACCGAAGGAACTGGTTTCGATAATTCTATGATGTCTCAAGTGAGTAACATTTTTACAAAATTTTTAAATCCATAAAAGATTCTTTTAATCTTTTCACTAGAACGTAACTAAGCTATTCTTAATTTACTTCACTTGCACATTCCTTCGATAATAATGATAATAATTGGGGATATAATACGTCTTTCGTATATATATTAACGCTAGAACTACCGACAATTATGATTGTTGAATAATTATTTGCTAAATAAATACAACCGAGTGTCGATCTAAGTATGTATTTAATTAAACGGAAATGCTGTTCTTAGCTTGACGGTGCAATAAACGAGTGTCCTCCTCAGGTAGTACTGACCTTTGCAAGGGAGGGGACCAATGCACCAATGGATACAAATTTCCATTATAAAAACTCATGCATGCAATGCTTATTCCCAACAACGATGTATATCATTTTACCAAAGAAATTACAAATGATTCTGACCATTTGAGGTAGTCCTAGCGTTAACAAACTCCCAAGGACCTATACATACGCTTTTCGTAGCCAAAGGGTTAATCTATTGCGTGGTATCGTTTAATTTTCTCCAGGCGTCCAGTCCATTCGGCAGCAGGGAGAACTTGAAGTCACCACAGTCCCCTTCGCAGCCAGAATTCACCGACGACCGACAGAAATCAGGTTCGAATTAACGATCGACGCGATTATCGCGCGTGAAACGTGATTTTTCTGATTGAAATTCTGTGACAGACCCGCCTCAAGTTTATTTGGAGATGCCTCACGGACACACGACGCCGGCTACCGAGGGCAATCAATCGACCACGGACATGTTCCTCGATATGTTCACCAAAAAGGGGAAGTTCCTCAGCAGGCTAACGTCGTTCGACTCCGAGGTAAAATGGCCGCGAGGCCCGACCAAAACGCCTCAACTTTACGTCTCGATGATACTCGCGATTTATACGATCCTTGGCAAAACGTATTTCACGCAACGAGTAAACGTTTACTACACATTATTCCACTGTTCCCAATTTCACGATGTTATTTCTCGAGGAGGGGTACGAAGACACGCTATTGGCTCGTTGAGCCTTTAGGGATCGTGAAAAGTAAACAGTGATCTGGAAAACTCGAGGAAAGGCAGGTACACTCGATAGAATTTATGGCAGGACGAGAGAGTCCTTGTCTCGATGTTTTGTAAACAAAATACACGGTTGAGAACTTTACCGATGAGCTCGCTAACAGCATAAAATAAAATATGTTTGTTCCTTTTCTCTCAACTTTAATTATCTGAAAGAAATACCGTTTGCCAGGGGTTTTATAACGCGACAAATCCATCGTAATACTTTACAGTCGATAGATTAATTTAAAAAAGAATAAAAGATGGGAAATAGAGACTAGCATCTCTCAAAGAACGATCTTTCGAGTCCAGTGGCTGTTGAGTGTACGCAAACTAACCGTATGTACACGATAAATGTTGCTACCGAGTAGATACCGTTTGTTGCACGAATTGTCGTTTACGAGGCGACACGTTGCCCGAGAAAACTGTACTAAATAAGGTCGAAAAGCTGTCGTAACGAATGAATTCAAGTGGATCGATACGCCGCCGCGTTTCACTTTTGTTTAACTGTGCTATATAGAAGCGTAATGTGTTTTTAGAGTGGGCGGGGAGGTGGAACAGGAAGCAGCGAAGCTTTGTCCACAGACGGAGGTAGCATTATCACTAATCCTGCTTTTCGGCAAGCGCACCAAGCTTCTTTCCGAAGCACTGTCTCTGATAGCGAGGTCGAGCAAGGCAATGTAAATTATCAACTGAATCAGTTCTTTTTTTCCCCCACCTTTTTATTAGACTAACTAGCTCTTAGATCGGTTAGAGTCGACCTTGATGGCGAGGCTAGCCGTTGGATAACATCGTCCAATCTTGGTCTGCAATGTCCACCCGGCTGACAAACTCGAATCTGGAACAGAAATTGCTCTGTCAACTTTGGTTTTCGAGAAACACGCATTTTTGGAAAAAGTAACGGTGTTTAGCCTTTCTAATCTGAGCAATTTATTTTTTAACTACGTAAAGTTCACAGCGGGAGATTTAAATTTGCAGAAGTTCCCAGTTGGTCCCCAAAAAATAGCGAAAAGTCTCTCGAATACGAGGTTTTTGATTTTTAAAAGTTTGAAACAATGTACTTTAAGATCAAAAACCTTTCCACTGTTTTTTGAAGAGTACTCGAAACTTCCTAGCGTTTTTAATTTAAAAAATTCCTGTTTCTCGAGGACCAAAAGCAATTCTGCTTCCAGATTCGTAGGAACGCCTGATGAATGTTGCAGAACAGAGGAAAGATTATAATTTGTTGGACGTTGTAATTAGTCGAACGATGCAGAGGAACAAAGAAGAGCTTGCGGAATAAGTGAGAAAATGGATAACCGAACGGATAACGATCGTCGTTCGATGATCATCGACCAGGGAAATAGCATGTCGCTACGATCACCGAATTAGCATTTGCACCTGACCGAATATCGATGAAAGCTTGCGTAACATTAAGTCTGAACACGTTTCATGCAAATTCTGCATAGTTTTTTTCACTCTGTTCTACGAGTAATTTGAATGTACGCGTGTAACCGATCGACGAAACAATTATGGTAACAGAAAATTTATTTCAACGTTTCTAGACATAAATCTTCTGTTATCGTAATTCGTATCGACAGTCGATTAATTACACATCTACATACGTTGCAAACGTTTCTTTCTTCGATGGTACGTATGTACACCGAGCACACGTATTTCTCCATTATTTACGAGAGGAAATAGGTGGTCACTCATGGATTTTTACGGACTTTTGCACGGTGAATCTTGAACAACGAGTATTAACATTGTTACAAGTATCGATAATTGGTTTAAGAACTGTCCTTTCAACTAAAATACTATAAAGATAATGCAAGGAACCCTAAGATTTATTGTGTGAAAGCCCGTGAGAATGTATGAGCGATCCAAGTCCTTCCCTTGCTAGTTTTTTGGCACCTTTACGGTGTATTTTCAGGAACGATACCAATTATATTAGCATCATTCAATGCTTGCAAGAAGCTTGTATGGAATTGCTTATCAACCTTGTATGATCGTTCGAAGCTTTCCATCGATCTTAGAGAAGAGTGATCGAGCTTACCGCTAGAACTTTAGATACCGTTAGAGCAGGATCGATCACGAATTATCGCGTGAAAACAACGGACGTCGAAGTGGTCGTGGGATCACTGAGACCGTTTCTACGATTTCAGTTCCCGCGTCAGCCGAAGCAACGCACAGGCAGCGTTTGGTCGAGCAAATCGTCGTTGAGCACCGGCTTCCGGTATCACGGAGGAAGCCTGGTGCCAACCACGACCGCCCCGAGTCCAGAGGCTGCTAGAACCTACTTGTTCGAAGGTACATAGACCGAATAACGCATCAAACATTGATAAATTATTGTAAAATTACGATAATGTCGCAGGCTTGCTGGGGAAAGAGAGGTTCTCGCTTTGGGACCAGATGCAGTTTTGGGAGGATGCGTTCCTGGACGCTGTGTCCCAAGAACGGGACATGATCGGTATGGATCAAGGCCCTGGAGAGATGATGGAAAGGTACGGATGAACCAGATCAATTTTATGTCGACCATTAACAAATGTATATGTATACGAAGAGCGTCAAAAATGAAACTAAGCCACGTTTCTGTGGAAAGGTACAAGAGTTTGAGCGAGAGCGAGAAGAAGCGGCTGGAGCACGACGAAGACAGACTGTTGTGCACTTTGCTGCACAACCTAACCGCGATTCTGGTTATGCTGAACGCCGATAAGACCGAGGTGAAACGCAAAGTGAGGAGACTGCTCGGGAAGAGCCACATAGGTCTGATCTACAGCCAAGAACTCAATCAACTTCTCGACCAAATACATAATCTTGTGAGTAGCAAAATCGTTGTCGATCGAGGCTTCGTTGCAGTTTCCATCGTTGGAGCTAAAGCTTATTCTTTGAGTGCCTCACCAACCACCGCCATATAAGGATTTCCAAAGAACACAAGACTTAAAATCAGAGTCTCCAAGCCCTCAGATGCAAACTGCAACGCCTCAAATCTCGTTTGCTCTTAGAAAAATACCCATAAATTTGAAACGATCGTACTCGAATCGCGATTGAGCGAAGTGGGGAGAGTCGTGAATGTTTCTGGAACGTTTCAGTTCGGGAACGACATAGACTTGAAGCCACTGACGTCACGACAAATGCACCGGCAGTCGTTCACCGTGCACGCCGGCATCGACGCGGAGGGCGACCTACGTTTTCTCGAAGTCCGCCATGACGGTTTGGTCCTTAGGTCCGTGAACGGCGTGATCGTCGAGCGATGGTGGTACGAACGTTTGGTCAACATGACCTACAGCCCGAAGAACAAAGTCTTGTGCCTTTGGAGACGGAACGGCGGGCAAACGCAGCTGCATAAGTATTACACCAAAAAGGTATGCCTTTGCAACCTGTTTCCGTAGAACTGAAACACAAAGTAAAATTCTCAAAATAGTTGATGATCGTTTAGAACGTAAATTCGTGATAGAAACGATCACCGGTTAAATCTGTTTAAACGTACCGACGATTCGTGTCAAATGACCTTTGTTTTTTTCTCGATGAAACTTCTTTGGGTGCGTAGAGTCACAGTAAATTTCAAAATAAACATAGAAGACAAAATAAATTATAAAAATTGTTACGTTCGTTGGATGGGGGATGAAATACCCTTTAAAATGAGCGTTTGTACGAGTCGATAGCTTTATTAGTTCCGGAGATGTGAGAATTTTAATTTCAAGCCGATGGGGTAGCTAGTTCCGGAGATAGAAGGGTTCGAAGCGTTTGTTTACGTCGCGAGGCCAATGAACTTTCACTACTGAGAGAGAGAGGAAGAGAGAAATCTGACGCGTCAGACGAAGACAGAGACACTCGAATTTAAAAAGTACCACTCTACATAAATTACGATATCTCCAAAACGAAAAGTCGAATCAACAAAAACCAAAAACCACTTTAAAGGGGAGACTTTGCCACCTCTAACTGTGGCTTAATTATCAATAAAACTGTAGTAGTTTAAAAATTCTGAACGAAATTAGAAAAAGGGTCATTTGACCGGTCGTTATACGTTCACCAAACTAATTTTCTTTAACGTATCACCTGGAGAATGAATTATTTAGCTCGCTGGCGCCATGGCGGTTAACAGTGGGAGCTGCGATGAGGGAGGATGTCGATAAGGTCGATGTTTAATCGTTCTGATGTGATGTATGTTCAGTGTAAGGAGCTGTATTATTGCATAAAGGATGCAATGGAGAAAGCGGCAGCCCGTGGCCGTGGGGCGAACATGGGGGTGGAGCTTGGCGGGGAATTCCCGGTGCAGGACATGCGCACAGGCGAGGGCGGACTTCTTCAGGTTTGCATGGAGGGCGTGGGTCTCCTCTTCGCGAATAGCAAGGTATGACTCGCGCCTAAAAGTGCACCCAACTATTTGCGTTATCTAACGATGCAAGAAGAATGGAAAACTTCGAAGTTTAACGGTTGTGCAAACGTTTACTTATTTTCTACATTTTGTCCAACTGTTCGTGTAATGTTGAAATCGCATCCGATTGTCCACCTTTGTTTTTTTGGGTACCAGCCGCCCCTGTTTAGTTTTACCGACTCGTTTACCGTTCTCACACTTACTGTCCTTTCGATTATACCATATTATACGGATCCGTGTCTTTATTTTGGCGATGTTTTATCTGCCTCCACTAATGTTGAATACCGTATAACGATGTATTTATTTCAGCGATCTGAACGATCACTCCGAAAAAACTTTATGTTGACGAATGAAGGGGGTTCGGCTGGAAATCGCCTCGGTTCGTTACCGCGTCACGATTTTTAATTTCGTTCATTTCACGTGTATCAGTGTTTAAATTGGCCTAATCAGTTCGCGAAAGATGCTTCTTTAGATTCGAACGCGTCGATTAATATAAAACGGAACCGAGGCAAGCAATCAGGGGAGCATTGTCCGCCGTTCCTCCATCTCTTTTATCGTTCATATTCTTTCGATTATTGAATCTTCTCTCTGTGTCTTTTCTTCTTACCCCTACTTTCGTTACTGCATTGATGCAAGGACCACTCAATATTATCTCCCATCGCTAGCCACCACGATCTGCTTAATTTGTATTTGTACGTATCTTACCAGTCTTATGTATGAGTTTGCGAGGCGTATTAACGAGGACAGGATCGCACACCAAACTAACCCAGTTCGAGGCTGGCGAGACCTTTGATCGTTGATTTCGTACCCCGGGACACCCATATGTACTCGCAACGGGAGTCGATTCACATTTCAGACTGTCTTCCACACGATCGATCATACACACGAGTACACAAAATAGCAAAAAACCAGCTACGAGAGGAACGAAGGGGAGGCGAGCCCACGAGTAAACAAAATCTAATTCACCCAGCTCCACCGGAAACGTCGTACAATTTTTTTGTATATGCACACACGATATACTTTGTGAACAACACGTATACCGTTACCGTCCATCACACGCTCATACACACCGTTTATGATCCACACGTGGACCAGAATTAGCCCTGACACGCTGGTTATTACATAATTCTATCTATCTCATTGGATATTTGTTTATTTACTTTAGTACTTTAACACTAAATGTGTGGTAATTGTATTTCATGTACCCGCAGGGTACTCTACGTATATATACTCTCTCTCTATATATATATATACATATACCTATTTTATATAAAATATATACCTATAGAAACCACGTACATGGCATAATATGTATATTATATCATGTTACGTGATATACGTATATATAATGGGTAATTTCGTTGGGTAATATTTTGTTGAAGCGTTAATCAGTGTTTTCTTGCATGGAGCTCGATGTGCAGCTGCAGTCTCTTTTTATCTGTATTATAATCATTACATATTTATCATTACATTCATAAGTGATAAGAGATAGGGAGAATACAGACTGCCCTTGACTGATACTACTACTACTACTACTTACTACTACTACTCTATATATCTATTATGATTTGTATTGAATGTTGGATGCTATTATATTTTTCTCTATGAGTCTAACAACTTTTTTCTATTTCGTTTGATTTATTATTTGTCGTGGTCATACGCGAGGAAAGTCTATTCGGAAACGAGAAAGAGGACCGGTCGTGACAGGGGTATTCGAGGCACTGGGATCGACGATCGATCAGTATATCGTTGATCGGTACATCGTAGACGCGTGTTCGCGAGTAAATCGATGTCGGTTCGATCGCGCGTGTCGGAAGCCAAACGAAAAAAAAAAAAAGAAGCCATCGTCGATAGACTTTTCTCAGCTTGGGGAACTTTTGAGATGGTCCTTGAACAATGAAATCTTTGCTATCTTTAATTGGCCATGACGATAGGTAATTAGCTGTATTATCATCGTACTGAGCCCTGTTATTTACTACTGAGTGGATATCAACCTGCTGCCAGAAATTTAATTTTCTGTTTTTCTGTTTTCTGTTTTCTTGTCCTGTCCGTCGACATTGCCCCTGGGCTGGGTAAACAGGATTTCGAGGTACTAAACAATTAAATCATTGTTTGTTATATGAACTCAGTATATTAATTATATAATCAATGTTGGCCGTGTTTACCGGAAATGCTTATTTATTTCACCATTACTTTTAGCCGTAATATTATTAACCATATATACTATACTCTACTATAATAACCACACTCTTAACAGTGCATTTAAATTAACTGATCTGCTCTGTCTACCTTACTGTTCTTCCTACCATCGATCGGTGTTAGTTGTGACACGTATACGTATAAAATACATACACGCGTACACGTGTATATGTATTATTATATATATACATTATATGTTCCCTTATGATACCATAATTATCGTAAAGCTGACTCAGGTACCAGTAATCCACATAATACGCGGAACAGTGTCTGCTGCATTTCACATAACGATACGAGAATATTGTCTTAGATGAGAGTATTTGTAAGTAGTGTTTAGTGCAACTTGTAGAGCAATGTTTCGGTGCACTCAATGCAACTATATATCTTTTTACCATAGCCTCTGTCATTCGTACACTTATTATATTACGATCCCGTACACAGTATTCATTATCCTCCTCGTGTTCATCACAGCTTTTTCTTTCTACGTCATTACACCGAGCGCGTTTCGGCAGTAGAGATTAGAGATCGCTCCTAACACGCGTGTTGGATCTCTGTCGATCGCTGATTCGGTTCGAATGCTGGTACTGGAGGTGGCAAATTTAAACGATCGCGACATATCCACGAGCCACGTGCTCGTTTATTGCTGTTTCACTGCGGTGCACACTGAACGATGCTTCTCGAATCGCGTCAAACGTTAAAAAACGACCACTTTTTTCTATTCTCCAGTTCCTTCTTAATGAAACTTTTACCACCGTATTTGTGAGTTTCTACAATTAGAAACCAAACACGCTATAATTTGGATCACGTTTACTCGTTTGATGATTTATTAAATACGGTGAAGAAAGTTTCGTTAAAAACGAATGAAAAATAGAAAAGTTTCATCGTTTATGTATTCCTTTGACGAGGAAGAGACAGTTACGTGGTAGATGGTTTCTTGCAGTTATCCGATTCGAGAAGCTCGTTCGGTGTCCAGCTTCCAGAAACCGTATCTAAGAACCTCTTCTATCGAATCGATTCGCGCGCAAAACCGGGTGACAGACATTACCGATCCACGAGGATCGTCGAAAGTAAACAAAGTTTGTAGCTCGAACGCGAACCGGTTACCTATTCTCACCAATAACGACGATAGAGATGAATGTTTATGTACGTCTCTAACGAAATTTGAATGCACTGCATGGATGAGTAGATCTCGATATTATATATATATATATGTATAATAGAAAGAAGTCGCCCGCTTTTGCAAACCCATCTATAAAACCGCTCTCACATTGCCAGTTATGTAGTAGAGCAATGGTTTCGTGCTATATAGTGATGTCTGAATTTTATGAATGAAACTCCCGAAACGTTGGTAACCGACCCCAGAACGAGGCCCGCGCCACCCCCTTTTCCGACTGTACATTTTCTATAGCAGTGTTTTGCAAACCATTTCTACCTTCAGTTGCTTGGTACAAGACTCACAAGCTCGAGTAATAAATTACAGACACTCGAGATTATTATAATCGCGTTTTTCAGACTTTGGTTATCAGACTACTCTCGTAATACAGAGAATTTTACTTATTTAAACGACTAATTACGGATGGTTTAAAAGTGTTCTCATCTCGATCGAGTTAAGAATTAGGCAATACTTGTCTTTGGACACTGAAATGCACACTGTGTTTGTTAATCAATAGCTAACATTTAACTATAAACGATAACAAAAAGAGTTTGAAGATTAGATTTCTTTCATGACTTTGTTGTAATTTCTAAAAGGAAACAACAAGGTGCAAATGTACCCAAAAAGTGGTGTCTTTGTATAAAATATGAATTTCTTATCATCTGTTACTCTCTCTGAGAGATTCTTAACTAGTCTGTGATTAATTTTTTATGGAAACAGGGATATTTCTTGGCCAATCTGAGAGCCAATCTCTAGAAAGTATCCTCGTTTTCGCGTGGAAGAATTGACGAAAAATTTTGAAGCGACATAGCGAATCGGTTTGAAAAACACTGTTCTATAGCATGACACACCGCTGTACACGATGTATCGATTCTCTTACCATCGATTACGACGTACGATCTTCCGCGACTCGACCACCGTAACCCCTCGATCGAATCACGACTGTGCATCATTTAGAGAGAAAAAAAAAAAAAGAAAAATAAAAAGAAAAGGGGGGGACTTTGACAGGTCCGCCGTCAGTATAGTTTTAGAACGCACATTTAGCAGAATTAAACCGACGCCGAGCAATCGATTGACATTTACATTTGACGAGTTTAGGCCATCTCCAGAGTTGCCTGCCTGCCGCTACTTTTATCGCTGCGATTAATTAAATGGCCGCCGCTCTCTATATATATATGTATCTCGCTTCCGGAGTTTACGTTTATTGAAACTCGCTTATCGACGATCGCACCAGGCGGCGAAAACAAAAGAGAAAAAGAAATAATAGACAAATTAGAGCTAGAATTTTTTGAATCGCTTGCGCCGCTTATATATCGATTATCGTCTGCTAATGGTTGACTTGACTTTAATTAGCGGAGAAAATGATGCATGGTGTATAATCGCGTGCCCCCGGGGGGATGTTTTGCATTTACGCTTCGGCCCTTATATCGTTCCTCTTAATTCCTGCATGGTCGTCGGTAATCGTTATCGAACACACGAGCCCTGCACAGAGAAAAAGAGAGAAATTTATATTTATAGCTTTTGAACGAGCTAAAAAGCTTTCGAAAATTGTCTACGGTTCTCCTCCGATCACCAAAGTTTAAGTGGGTTAAGATAGAGTAATTTTTCATTTGAATAGTAATGGCATTGTACGTGTTTCCTAACTCGACAATACATGGAATACAAATTTAGATCTCTCGTTTTCACAATGTCTCTGGGAGCTCGAGACTCGTGTGTGTTTTAACGTTTACCATTTACTCCACGTGCATGAATTTTAACATCGTTCCTTGATCTCGGTCACGCGTAGACTTTCCGAGAAGCACACTCGTGTTTAGAGAAAAGTTCGGTCACGGAGTATGCGCAACAACACTGTGTGAAACAAGCTTTTCTCTCGATATGTGTTCCCGTGCCGAAATTCAATTGAAAGAATCGAAAGCGAGTACCGATCTTCATCGTGACTATTGCGGGAGAAATGATTTCTAGAATCGTGGAACGATGAGCTTTGGTACTGGCGGCGAAGAAATATCTCCGAAAATTGAAACGAAATATCGTCGTAGGATCTTGGAGAAATTTCTTTGCCTGAGTAAAAAAAAAATGAAGCATAAAAAAAAGAGTAAAGAATGGTGCACTGTGATGCGTATTAGCCGATACGATAGTACGTGAGATCACGGAGACTCAGAGCTTTGATCCCGCCGGTCGATACGAGCATTTACGATCAAACTATCACGCCTTTCGAAATGATTGTCCGCACACACGGTTCACGTTGCCAGTGGCGTAAAAAGCCCGATAGAGGATAAATCACTCAAGTGTGCATGTACCAGTAGATCCCGCGCCGCCTTCTCTACGACACCCACTAATGCCAAACGATCGTATTATTTGCAGTTTTTTGTAAGACTCGATCATATCCGCAAGTGCTTTACTCAGAAGGATGGGATCTTTGTATTGGAAGAATTCAGTGAGTAACCCATTGTTTCTTCTAACGAACGAGTAAATATGTTTTCGAGAGAGATCGAAGCTAGAAAAATCTACGATCCTTTCTAACTCACGCAATTTTACGTTTCAGATCCTAAAACTAGACAAGTAATTCAACGTAAATATAAGTCTCAAATGGTGAGTACATCGATCGAAAAATTATAGCTTAGATAATATAATTAATCGATGTAACCAGTGTGTATGTGTGTGTGTGTGTGTTTTGTATTGAGTTTGAGATATTTTTGTTCACCAACCTGCAGATTAGTCAACTACGTTGTAAAGAGTAATAATTTTGAGTAATTTGTAATTATGTAATAAATGGACAGAAAATAGTAGCAAAAATATCACAACGTTTATGATTAATCAGCAGGTTCGAATTATTCTTTTTCTTATCGATGTGTTGTAATTTATAAATTCTGATTATCGAACACGTAAGTGACAGATTTGTGTGGTGTGTAACAGGCCAATGAACTGTGCCACTGCATGCACAGGGTATTCTCCGTTGCCTTTACGTTATCTGAACTCTCGTCTGAGATTCAAGCCAACTCTGAAAACGACGATGCATGAAGGTTTACTTATGATTTACGTTTATCCACCTTTTAACCGTAACTTTCGTTTCTCCAAAATAACTAACCAAAAGCTACATCATTCCCCAACAATAATTTAGATCTAGACTCTTTTCCCCAGATCGCCATTTTGCTTTTAAATTCTTCTGTTCCGTAATAAAAAAGAAACTATTGTTTCCTGAATCTGTCTAAAATGTGTCCACCGTTCTAAAATACACATTTTACAGACAAATGTTCAACGAACGCAATGGATATTTTTTATTACTGATTTACGTTTACATTTACGTTTACGTTCTTTAATTTATTTCGCCCGTGTATCGATCAAATATTCTACATCCTGCTGACCCTAATGACTGAATTACAGGCAGATCAAATCTGCTACTCGGTACTCTGTGTGTTCTCCTACTTGGCCGCTGGGGTGGAGCAACGGAAACAACAACCTAATCAGCAATCACAACCCCAGCAACAAACCCAGCACCAGCACCACCAGCAACAGCAACAGCAACAGCAACGACAACAACAACAACAACATCAATCACAACAACAACAACAACAACAGATTCAGCAACAGCAACGTCAACAGCAACAGCAGCAGCAACAGAAACAGTACCAACAACACCGACAATATCAACAACACCAACAACACCAGCAACATCAACAACACCAGCAACACCAGCAACACCAGCAACATCAGCAACAGCCTCAACAACGTCCTCAGTACCAAATGCAACAGCAACGTCAACAACACCAACAACACCAACAACACCAACAACACCAGCAACACCAGCAACACCAGCAACACCAGCAACACCAGCAACACCATCAACACCAGCAACACCAGCAACACCAACAACACCAACAACAGCAGCATCATTCAGGTAGCAACACGGTCCAGAATCCACAGGGCCAGAAAACCACGCATTTCGATCCCTTTCCACGACATCACTGACACAGAGGCAGACACTCGCTCCCATTTGTGCATAATTACAATAAGTGTGCCCCCTACGCTTGCCTACCCTGGGTGTAAGCATCGTTCCTAACTCTCTACCGCGAAACGAACGCTAAAAAACGAAAAAATGAAAAGGAAAAAAAAACCACCACGCGTTCGTTTCGCGTGACACAATTGCTCGCGGATACGGGAGCTGTTGCATGCGCGACCATGGCAATATCATCCTCGTACTATTTCAGAGAGTCAGCTCTAAAAATCTCTTTTAAATGTGACTAACCTATTCGCACGCTATTCGAGAAAGTATTCGACGAGGTTCGTGTAGAACGAGAAAGTTGCGAGCATTATATCATAGAAAACGCAGCGCGGGACGCGGCGCCATTTTGGTACGACCGAATGATCCTTAAAACGAACGCGATTACGTAAATTGAACACTTTTAAAACACCATCGTATTCGTGTAATTATTGTTCTGTACGAATATACCTGTGTAAAATGTTTTATCGGAATTTCTGATCCTTTTTTTTTCTTCTTTATGCAAATTCACATTTTTATTAATAGAATTAATAAAATCAGAGCTTTCTAGAGCTCTGTCTCAACCCCTAAATATAATAATTCGTATCTTGCTTTAAGTATCTCCTATATTTTTGCATATTAAGTGCATTCTGTAGTTTTCTGAGAATTCAAATTTCCTCTGAATGCATAAACATCCGCAGTCTGGTTATTAGTGACCACAATTGGGTTACCTAGTGGAACTGATCATACTTAGAGCACTTTAATGTCTTTTAATAAGTTTAAAACTTGTTTGCATCAGTCTATTTCTCGTAGGATCGATGGTGAATTTTGTAGCTAATGTTGATGGCTCGAAGAATACTTTTTAACCATAGAAGATCGATTACTTAATTTTTCATCATGATACGTCATGATAGATTAGAAATACGAAGTTTATATATCAATTAATAGATAATAAATATTATATATTCGTGGCAAAATTTCAATCGACGTATTTGATACATGTGTAGAGAGCAATAATTACCATCGTGTTCTATATATCAAATCGAGTATCTGTAAACAAACGTTCTCCGATCGTACCGCGAAGCCACGCCCCCGCAGCTGCGAACATTGGCAAGTTCGAGCAAAATTTGGGCCAAAAAAGGAAGAATAAATTCGAAAACGAAACTCGACACAATCGTGGTAATTATTTGCAAAAAGGGAGCCGTTACGTGTACAAACGAAGAAAAAAAAAACAAAAGGGAATCTGAATTAAAACACGTACTGCTTGTCGCGAGCAGAACGGGATATCGAGAATAATGGTAAAAAAAACACACACAAACGAAGATAATAATGGCAATGTAATAACTCGCAGAGGTGGACGGTGGTTATTGTATATTCAGAGACACGGACACGAATGGTGAAATAACAAATGCGTATCGAGAATTTAGGCGTTTCGATCTTCTGTCCGGAATTGTCGCGTGAATCCTCTAGAGATTTCATTCTTCGATGTGTCGATCGTGTGCACGTGTTAGAGACGTATTGTGAATCGTTTACTGTATTTTAACCAAAGTTGCTTTTTTTCTCGCGTATCGTTCACGGGGAGGAACCGAGACCCTTACGGTCGTGTCTATTCCAAAGTGTTTTCTATGAATAGCACGTTAAGCAATTCTGAGATACAATAATGAATATTCAATAATCGGAGGAACAATTTTGTATAAGTACATCGAAACAGACTGTAACTGTGATCATCTAATTTCAAGGAGAAGAAAGAAAGCTATTTAATTTTCTTATGGTCGCATGAAATAGCTGAACTATATCGAATAGGATTGTCGATGCAATAGTCGCCCCTCTCTATTTCTCTGTCCCTCTTTTTCATTTATCTTTTTCGTTTCTCGGTTACCAAACGTTACGATCATAGTTTCTTAAAGGTGTATTCGCAAGATAAATATCGTTTCTAGTCATTGAACAGTCAGCCTAGAACGGATTGCAAAGTTAAGGTCTTAATTAAATTCTTTTCACGTTATTTGGGTGAAGGAGTATCGCAACAAGATTGGATATTAATTTAAAAAAGAGACGTTTAGCCGTGTGCGTGAGTAAAATGGCGGGAAACCTTCGTGGCTGACTGTTCCTGGTAAATAATTAACCTCAGGACGATTAACGCGATGTAAAGTAATCGAGAGATAAGAGAAAAGAGTTGGCCGCGCAAACAGACACGTTGCAGCTACGAAGTCGTCGGATATATATTTTAGTATGGACAACTAACATGTAAAAGTCAATGTATATTTGTAACATCGAGCGTCGATTTATTTTTCTCGCCGAGCGCGCGCGTCGAGTCTTTGCGTTCCCCTCGATAAAACACTTGTACTAGCGAATTTTTCGATATATCGATGATAACTGTAGCGATTAGGGGAAATAACCGAGCGTTCGGGACTGTACGAGACGACCAATCGCTCGTATACCCAGATAAACTATCTTAAATCGATGACTTCTCGTCAGTTTCATTTTAGAGTCGCCACGCTCATGGATCGCAACTTCGAGACCGCTTGATTCTATTTTTCATCGAATATTATTTCATTTTTGCCATATGGATTCTTTCTTAAGGCTCCTTTCAAAATCTACATTCTTTTTTCTTAATTTGTAATGTTAATCATTACGTGTTCTTACGTATTATTCGTAGTATTTGTATTTTAAAAGTTATATTAGTACTGAGCCTTATTTCTAGTCTGTTGAGGAATTTACTGATAAGACTCGAAGCAATATTATACGCATTGATAAGTAAATTAATATTCGTGGGTCTCAAACTTGCGATTGGAGGCGTCCATTCATCGTACGCGTTGCTGTTCAAAAGTTAGGGTACGCAGCATCACGATGACAAGAACATTCAGAAATCAAGAAAAGGAAAATTCGTATTTTTCATTATTTTTAATTATTACTATCCGTGAATAGCTTTCTGTTTGTCATGGAATTCTTTTAATTATCCAATCGTGAAACCCTTTGAAATATCGTTTAAATTTTGATAAATCTTGCCATCGAAGATTTGAGCGTGCCCAAACTTTCCAGAGGTTACGATAAGTATTGTATTTCCTTTTCGAAGCAACCGAGGTTGCCTCTCCTAGTTTGCGTCTGTGATTGTACATTTATAAATTAGATTTCTAATTACGTTTAAGTTGAACATTTCCATACGTGGAAGAGAAGAAGCTTACGGATCGAATCACATTGTATGTACTTACGTATCGTAGATATCTCCCGCATCTTGTCCCCGGGCGAAACACTTACACCGGTGAAATCTATCAGTGTCCCCCCTGCAAAACAAATAAAAATAAAACTTCACATATCTCGTACGCGAGGGGAATCCCAGGAATGTTCTTTCTTAGCCTCTTCTATTTCTACTTTAAATTTCATTTAAATCGAACAACCCCGGAATGCCACGCGAATTTAACTATCCTATATTTGTTTGAAACGATGGTTTGAAAACTGTTTTTTGGGAGATGCACAGCGGGTCAAAGTTCTGAACGGTTTTAGATTTCTGTGAAATGTTTCGTTGTTAAGCGTGTCGTGAATCGAATCGACAGTGTCTCCATGCTTCCTACATTCCAAGACATCCGGTTGCATAAAGTTTCACGGGAAATGCGTTTTCCCGTGCTCGGAGTTTATTTTTATTTAACGAACAACGGATAAACCTGCGTTTATTCGCTGTTCGTTGTTAGACGTAGGATAAGAATTTTACCCATCTCTGGCCTTAGTCCATCTAAGCTTGTACAATAGAAAAAGAAAATAAAAGAAAAACGACCAGTAAACGACGAAATTGAGCAACGTTTGCGCTCGTTCACAGTGTAGTATGTATAGTTTTTCGATTCGGTCATTTTACTAGATTTACGAGCTACCGAAAGCAGAGTTTACACAGTTTCATATATGTATCCCTAAACATTAATTTTCACCCATAAAAATGTCTCACACAAGCTAAAACTAAACGTATGTGTATATGCATATTTACAACAGAATTTACTTTCCTTATAACGTGTTAATTCCAACAATAAATAATTATTTGTTCCAGTTCTTCACTGTACACCCGTGCCAATAATTTTATGTTTCTCAGAGATTTGGTAAAACGACCGGTTCGATCGAAAAAACCGTTGTGGACGAGCTGTTGACGGTTAAAGAATAAATCGTATATTTTCTCCGTGATTCCAATTGCATCGTGCCGCAGCGATTTATAACAGTTAGGATTTGTAAATAACTGTCGGTAACTATAGATAAAGGTGTTAACGATCTCTCTTATATTTGTAATAAAAACGGCAATCCGGCGTGTGACGTTTATGTCGAATGGGGCTGATTCTGTCACTCTACTATCGAAACTCTTCTACGCCTAAACCGCCATTGTTAGCAGTTCCTGTTAGTGCCACGCTTGGACGATGTTTTAGTTTGAATCATTGTCGTTCTAGCGGGACGCCAGACCGAAACCTCCAAAACCTAAGCAAACTGTTAGAGTTCTGCCCAAGCAGATCGAAATACATTCAAGTGTATAGTATTTAGCAATGTAGGCGCCTTATATCAAATAAATACTTGTAGATTTCAATCGTTCTACCCACGTTTACTATCAACCTTTAACTTTTTACTATCTTTCATTTTTTTTTCAACAAAGTATCTTCGTTTATATCTATTTAGAAATCTTATTAGTACTATGTCGCATTATATCTCGGTAAAGAATTTATTTTCTCGAAAATGGATAGGATTTCGGGGGTATGTCTATTCACCAATAATGATTGTAATTGACCCCTGCTATCGAAAATAATTTTTTCAAACCGATTTGAAACTTTTCAATTTCGCCGAAAAATTTAGGCTCATTCTCGAATTTTTTTCTCGATAATGCGTAGGATTTCGGGGGTATGTCTATTCACCAAAAATAATTGTAATTCACTCCCGCAACTGAAAATATTTTTTTTACTATGATTTGGAATTTTTTAATTTCGACGAAAAATTTGTCCACTTGCTGAATTTTTTTCTCGATAATGCGTAGGATTTCGGGGGTATGTCTATTCACCAAAAATGATTGTAATTGACCCCTGCAATTGAAAATAATTTTTTCAAACCGATTTGAAACTTTTCAATTTCGCCGAAAAGTTTAGGCTCATTCTCGAATTTTTTTCTCGAAAATGCGTAGGATTTCGGGGGTATGTCTATTCACCAAAAATGATTGTAATCGACCCCTGCAACTGAAAATAATTTTTCTAGGACGATTTGAAATATTTTTTTTTCGCCAATAAATGTCTGTACCTATTCAGTCGATTTTTCTTAAAAAGTTTTTGATTTTTAATAAACCCAATTATGGGTAATGTAGTAATACAATTTAAACTCGACTCTCTAATCGAACATTGCTCCAAAGGAAAGTCTGTGGGTTCTAAACGCAGAATCGTGTCGGTGTAGTATAATTGAATTATCGAAGCAGCGGAGAAACTAAGCTCAATTAGGGTTCTACGAGCAATCGCGGACAGTGTACCACGTTACAGTTGCAGTTCATCAAATAAGTGCACAGCGCGTACTTAAAAACGACGCTTGGTGCTCGTACGTTTCATTAGTTTTCGAATAAAGAGTTAAATTAAATCTAATTTACTTAGAAGAACAATTGAAAGATGTAGAGAATAAATCAACGTTCCTATCTAAGTGCAATTTCGACCAAAATAATTAATAAACAACTTATCAAGTAAATTGTTTTGATCGAATCTGTCCTCAGATACCAAGAAATATTGATTTATTCTTGCCAACCTTAACTCTGTTAATCTCGTGCGATAAAAGATATTTGACGCGTTTACAAAAACTATAGAACATTTCTAATTATCACGATACAATTTTAAAGAGTGTAAAACAAAATATTTTGTTTCTTTTTTTATCCTAAATCGTTGCAGCGAGCAAGTAGTTAGAAAAATTGATTGTAAATCGAAATAGATCGCAGACAGGATGTCAGAGATCTCGCAAACAACATTAATTGTCGAGGACGTATCAGAGTGAAGGCTAGGATATGGGTTTACCGCGAGACTATCGGGTTTCCGGTCCGACCAGTCCGACGATTTTTAACCGCCATTGCTTTTTACCGATCGGTTTCTAGACTTATAAGCGATCTTATTACCGGTGTTTCATCGAACAGTTGCTGATCGTACGCGACGTCGTAAGGATGGACCGTTGGGCAGGAAAGGTGGCTGTCGTGACAGGAGCAAGTGCAGGAATCGGGGCGGCCATCGTTAAACAATTGGTCCGCAATGGTAAGTAAATCTTCGCACTAAAAAAAAAATTTAGCATTAATACAATACCAACAATGGGGGACAAAATTTTAATGGGAGATTCTGGAGAGCAAAATAAGACGAAAATCAAGAATACCAATTTGTTGATCGAGGCTTCGTTCAAAAGTTATTATCGTTTAAAGTTACGACTGTGGAACGGGCACGCTATGGCGCATGCGCGCGCAGCTGTAAGCAGATTGCCGTTCTACAGGCGGAATTTTAAACGTTAATCCCTTCCTGTGCCATTTACTTTGACGAAATTCAGGCCCAAAATGGCGTCAACGCGCGGTGAACAGACCATACTGATACTAAACTGCTTTGCAACAGAGATTAGAAGAATCGTGACCAACTCTTGTGGCGTACTGATAGGAACTAAAACTCAATCACGAGCCTGGCTTGAACTTTCTGCTCGCGAGTTTGGTTCCTGATATTCTGTTTTTTAGGGGTTAATAACTTTATAACAAAGATCAACAAATTAGTCTCTCCTATAACAACTTGTGTATTCCTGTCGATAAGAGGAAAAAGTAACGAGAACATTGGCTCTCTGTCCAAGGAATGATGGTGGCTGGGCTTGCACGACGGGTGGACAAAGTCAAGGAGCTGGCGGAAAGCCTCGAAGATTGCTCGGGAAAGTTACACGCGGTCGAGTGCGACGTTTCCAAAGAGGAAAGCGTCGTTTCCGCTTTCGCGTGGGTGCAGGAGAATCTGGGGCCCGTAAACGTGTTGGTAAACAACGCTGGAATGACGAAGGAGTCCTCGCTGATAGGTACACGGGACAATTAATAATTTTACTTTATGTCTCTAAAGAATTATCCTATAGATTAAGTGATAGTGATAGACCTAGTTGAAACTCTTCTAACTTGAGGCAAAAAATAAATTCTCTTTTCTCCTGGCCTAAAGAATACACTGTCCTGTGATGCCTTTTGGTAAGAAGGCTGTGAATTGACTAAATATTTTTTAAGTTCCAACATCTCTCTATGGTCTCTCATTAACACTAGAACTACCAAACCAGTCAAAATGACCCATTCGTAATTCCTAATAAAACCTGTAAAAAATTTACCGTAATTTTCTATAAGGGAATGAATGAACACTTATTTCCATTGCATTATACATTTCTTCACTCACCTATCGTTTCAATTTCCATGGTACAAGTGAACACACTGTAATTGTCGGTAGTTCTAGCGTTAAGATTCCGAGTGTATGGAAGGGTAATTGATTTGTAGAGGGTAGCCTGGAGGATTGGCGCACCGTTTTCGACACGAACGTCCTCGGGCTATGTCTCTGCACTCGAGAGGCTGTTCGATCGATGCGAGAGACCGGAGAAGAAGGGATCGTGATAAACATAAACAGCCTGGCGGGCGAACGAGTGCCCTTCATACCTGGTTTCTCTGTCTATCCAGCCTCGAAGAGGGCTGTGGTTGCTCTGGCGCAAACGCTCAGACACGAGCTCACGGGAACACGGATACGCGTCACGGTACGCATTACATTCCGTCTAATTTGTCTTGTTATTTAAAATGCTCTAAAGATCCTAAAGTTCGATCTTTTGCTACAGGGTATCAGTCCAGGACTGGTTGCAACGGAGTTAATGGTCTCGTACAGCACGTATACGGAGGAGGCATTAGCTTCGTTGCCCACTCTGGACCCGGAAGACGTAGCTGCAGCGGCTGTATACATTTTATCGAATGGTCCTAATGTCGTTGTAAGTATTCTTCCTTGTTTCTAGCTATTAACGTGGGGATAGTTCCTGTACTCGCCGCCAGAGGGCCCGCTCTCTCGCAAACACTCGAGCTACCCTCGCGTTCTTATATCCATACGCTCCTCGATCCAATATCCTTTGTTTATTTTCTTTAGAGGTGTACAATATCGTACAATGTGTGGTGGATCTAAAAATAGATAATATTTGTAATTTTATTTTCAGAAGAAACCAAAGAGCAATAAAAATAATATTCTTTTCAAAAGCTATAATATAATTATCTTGGTCTTGACCCACAAAAGTAATAAACGCATTAATTAAGCAACGCGTCTGATAATACACTTGTAATTAGATTTCGTTATTTTTGTAACGGTTAATCGCGCTGAAAAATTATGTTTTTTTTTTTCAGGTTCAAGACATCGTTCTGCGGCCCCTAGGCGAATCTTGGTAATAAACTCGTTGATAGTACCTATCGAGTTGCACTTTTATTAGAATTACTATGCCAATTATTACACGATAAATGCAATAACAATTATGTTTATGTAAGCTTACGAAGACACTTTCACTCGTTATCGTTGTTTTCACGTGTTCAAATGTTTTTCTCGTTCGACTGCTCCGACAAGAACAAGTTAATCGTCAAATGACATAACGTATCGCGTGTTTTCATTCAACGCGAGTAAATTTATCACGGATCGTCAATTATGCCGAATATGGTCATCTCCGAAGATCGATTTTTTTCTCTTCATTGTTACCACGTAATTTGATGCACCGATTCCAAAGATTGGATGAATTTTTTTTTCTGGTTCCAAACTGTGATCTGTGGTCTTTTCAAAATAAACAACAAAATCGTAAACAGCATTAAAATTCACTTTGTATAATTCTAAACGATATTGCTTTCCATACTCAATAACGACGAATGTACTTTAAATTCAAATAAAGGTTTCCACGATACTTGACATATATAATTTGTTAATATATAATTTTCAAAGCAGCCACTTTTGGTCGTAAATAACAATTTACAGTAGTTCGTTGCCTCGCGTACAAAGAATATTAATAAATAGTCTATCGTTTTAAACAAAAATGTACTGATACAGACGTCCATCGAGAATCCATCAAAACTTTTCCACGCAGCCAATACTCGACTGATCGTTTCCGGTTTCGTCGGCGTCCCCTTGCTTTCCACGCCTCAATCTGTACAAAGAGCTCTTCACCGACGAGTAAGGGGGAACGTCCGTGATGAATTCGTACCCCCTGTTGACCAACTGTCCTACCTCTTCCTTGTAGATCTGCGCGATCGGTAACACCTCCTCCCGCGCCCTCTTCCTGGCTATAGCCACGTGCTTCTTAACTTCGCACTTGGCCAGGTCAGGCTTGCAAGTGTGCTCGACGAACCTCAGGATCTCACCGTTCCTGGTAGCCATGCGACCCTTGCACTTGGACGTCTTCTCGTTCAGACACAGCCACGTGATCACCTCCCTGTTGCTCCTATACCGACGAAACTGGTACCCCTTGTACAGTACGAGCGGTTTCCCTTTCGAGGTTTCCGCCAACTCCATGATACCGTGCCAAATCGGCCGAGGATTCGCGTGAATGTCGTGAAACAGAAGGACTCCGTTCCACGGAAGTGCTTCGACTGTCGATGAAATCCTGGGTTTAGTGCCTGACTAGGCACACACCTCGCGTCCGACCGCGTCTCGAATTCCATCTTGTTTTTAAAAATAAGCAGTATAAGCACCGACCACAAATCGCGCTAATTCCTCTACGACCGCAACCCGAACGGCCACAACTGCTACAACCGACAGAGCCCCGATCGTGGTCCATACGACCACGAACAACGGAAATAGGACAAGAAATATTCTTCGCCTACCAACTTCCGTTGATTCGAGTGCATGTCGGAACGATTTTGTCTCTAAACTCTGTCGAACAGCTATTTACTTTGTTATACCTATGTAAAAATGCTACAATTTCTCTAGAAAAAATGCGTCTTACATACTAAGAGCCATGTCGGTCACCGGTGACCGTTCCATTCCACGAAAAATTAATCATGTACAGATCGAATCTACCACTGATTATATATTACATACACGATACAGTTAGGCAAATTTTAGTCACAAATAACGAATAAAAATGTTAGATTCACTGGTATAGCAACTTCCGTTTACCCTTGTTCCGTAAATTCCACTAACGAATTTGTTAGACAGACAAAAGCTGATTAAACATATTAACACATTAATACTTGTATCATTATTTAACTTACCTAAACGATTCCAACAGTAGCATCGTAAAAGGACAGAGAAGACAGCAAAACGTCTACACTAAATGCACAACACACGGTTTCGAAAAAGAAGCATGTCCGCCATTACGAAAAAACCAGCTTCGATTCGCAACATTATCGAACGCAATATTGATCCGTTGGCGCCAATATTTAGGCGGCAAAATACAAATCGAGTGCTTGTTTTACAGACACAATTCGGCTATGACTAGATGTATGCTAAACAATAAACTCGGAATAGCTATGCGTGCCACTTATTTAAGTAAACTAACCAAATATTTCGCAAAATCGTACGTATTTTTGGACCTCGCGTTGGGAACGTTCCTGAAGTACTGACAAGGTGGGCGCGATTTCACTTACCGACTGCACGAAAAACTATCGATTGAACAGAACGAATAATCGATATCCTGAATGACCCTGAAAAATTAGCTACGCACGGACAATCAATGAATAAAATTAACCTACTCAAAAATCAATTTGAATTTAGGAAATTACCTTTTCGAATAAACATTATGTCGGGAGAATAGAGTAAATAATATCGCGAGATAGGAACCGACAGGTTAGGGTTAGGGTTAGGGTTCCTTCGTGAACCGTACGATACGGGTCTCTATCGATCCTTGTTTACTAATCGGTTCGAAGAAGATACTATTGACCGATTCACACTAAAATAAAACACTCTCGATCGCCGAAGATTCTGATGCAATATTCTTAACTAATTTCACTATGCGTTACACGTGTTATGATTTTATGATAATTGGAAGAAATTACGAATTTCATAGAAAAATATCTGCCTATACTACATAGTAATTATAGAAACTTAATTACTGTTTAGCGTACCCTTTCCTATATTTTTAAAATTTTACCTATTTATGTTATTAACATTTCACACTGAAATGGATATACTTGGGCATTTATTTTCATTAAAATTTTCTTTTGAATTTGTACACCGTTATAAATGTTTAGGAATGTCTCGTTATGTAATTTTTTTACGAGCGCCAAAAATAACGTAATTTATAGAGGGTTCGTTAATTAATGCAGATGATGTAAAAGTAAATATCTGACGCAATATTTGAAATACATTACTCTTTTAGAAGATATCTGTATCTCTTTTATCTTTGTTCTTTCGTGTAGTAAACATATAGCGCGTTATATTTTAAACATTTGCATAGGACTGAAACTTAAAAAAAAAATGTTAATTTCTAAATTTTAAATGCTAGCAAACACGCAAATATTTGTAACACTGAGAATAATAGAGGTCAATATTTTTACTTAAAGTTATACTAACAAATTATGCCTACAAGGATCATAGTTTTCATTTGTTCTTTGTTTGTTTTGCGACAAAGAATCGCTTCTCTTTTGTTTACATTACAATTGCTTGTACGTGCTATGTATATGCTTCGATTTACTGTAACACAATACATAGGAAATCGATGCACAATTATTTGTAAGAAAAAGAAAAATGGTTCGAACGATCGAGACAAACTTTAACCGAATGAAAGTGGGTCTCTCTCGTAGCAAAATACCATTCTATCTCAAGCCCATTTCCCAGCAGCCTGCAACAATTTATTTCCTGAAAATAATGCAATATCGTCGCGGATGTAAATACTTGCGAGACTGCAGCAAATCATAAGCATGGAAACACCGGTGAAATATCTTTAGTTTGAAGATTAACGCGACCTCGGTAATCTTGGTTCACTACTTCACTTCGGTATATAAACCGTCGGTGACGCACCCAAATGCAGACAAATTTTCGTGGTCGAGGTTCCACAGTTCTCGTGCACGTTCGTTAACCAGTCAGTAAAGCCCAGAAAACAGCCATGGACTCAAAACCCTGGACCGAGAAAGTTGTCCTCGTCACCGGTGCCAACTCCGGCATTGGCAAATGCTTGACGGAGTGCTTGGTTGGCAAGGGGATGACAGTGGTGGGCATAGCTCGTCGTATCGACAAAATCAAGGTAACATTTAACTCTCTGTTAACGCCTTTGGTCCATTCTGGACAAATATTGTACCTTGTACTATTACATTTGTTCTTCTTAAATGCTTTCATTTAAATTTAGCACTTTTAATCCGCTTGGAGCTTTGAAATTTTGTAGAGACGAGTATCCCAGAATTTAAGAAATAATATTCCTTCGTTCGGAGCTTGGTTCTTGAGAAAATCGAACTTGAAGAACGAGATTACTCCTTTATTATGTGCTCTGAACAGATGCTTGCAGATGAATTGAAATCGAAGCCAGGCAAGCTCGTCCCCGCTCAGTGCGATCTTACTAATCAGGCCGAGATCCAGCGCACGTTGGAATGGATCGAGAAGAATTTGGGTGCCGTGGACATCCTGATCAACAACGCCGCCGTTAACATAGACCTCAAGGTGCAATCCGGCGACATGGAAGACTGGAAGAAGACCTTCGACGTGAACTTGTTCGGATTAACTTGCATGACCAAAGAAACGTTAAACCTGATGAAGAGGAAGGGCAAGTGTCTTCATAATTTTATCCATTTCATTTGCGTACCCTGATCAATTGTTCACTGTACATCGCTGACTAAGCAACTGTTTCATTTACGCTCCAGCAGTTCATGATGAATTATTCCTCTTCGATCCCATCATACGCAAAGAATCTTCTTTCTTCGTCCCGACTTAAATTCATCTTGAAGACTCTGGTATCTCCAGAACGAAACTTGGCAAATTAATTCCTCAGCGTACGTTCTGCTACTACACATTCACCGACAATGTCACATATATTTTTCCTTTTCTTGAGTTACACAAAATTGCTAAATCCTCTAAAATAAGATAAGCAACTATAGATCGAAACAGTTTAGATTACAATGTAGTATTTATGCATTGCCCCTTCCCCCTTAATATTAATCCTTTAAGATACCTAATTGTACAAAAAATGAAACCCCTATAATGGCACAAGTCCACCTTTCAGTGACATGGATACGACTAAGAAATTTTACGATACAAAACTATTTGTTACATTGAAATCATTAAATAATACACGTAATCTATTATATTGTTCTTAGGAATCAACAACGGTATCATTGTAAATATCAATGATACGTGTGGTTGGAAGATTCCAGTCACTTGCAATCGCCCAGTATCTCCTGCTTACATCGCCAGCAAATTGGCATTATCAGCATTGACAGAGTGCCTTCGAATGGAATTGATGCAGGTCAAATCGAATATTAAAGTGATGGTGAGTTTGTACAGAGTGGGCCAAAAGTTCTGCTACAGATCTGTAGCTCGACTTGTCGAATGACACTTTAGATAATTGTTCCATAGCATAGAAGTTGACAAAATGTTTAAGCGACTGTAAATGTTAAAGTTACGACAGATTATACATTTGCAACAAAATTTACTGTCCAACCTGTAACATTATTATTATTACTCATTAATAATACATTACTGCTTCTTTTTTATCACAGTCCATAACTCCTGGCTTGGTGGAAACCGACATGACCGCACAATGGCTGAAGGAGAACCCATCTATGCCGTTGAAACCGAAAGACGTGGCCGATTGTATTCTCTTCGCGTTGCAGACTCCGGAAAATGTTCTGATTAAGGAGCTCGTGGTTACACCCATTCGCGACACAATGTAAAAATGAACAATCGATTTGTTCGTTCCTTCCTTACAGCTTCATATAAAACAGACCAATCAACTCAGTGTAAATAACAAATTAAAAACTTTAATCTTACGGAACGTTGCACAAAAATTTTAAAAATACTCCAAAAATATACACTCGTACGCGAAAGTATTCGAACGCTTATATTTATAACATTCAACTAATGAAATATATATGTTAAACTGTAACATTTGATATGATATGATACATACATGTACAAACTTCAAGGAGGAAGCCATTTATTAGCAAGAAAAATAAAATTATGAATAATACTATTCCACATGATTCAAGAAAGAAGTTGTTTCATTCCCATAACACACTATATGACAACGAATTAAAATAATAAGCTGAAGTTTCCAACAGTTTTTATGAGGAATAACTATTAGAAAATTCCAATGATAACCAAAACTCCTTTATTGACATACAAATTAGTTTGTTTAACTACAGAAGCTCATGAGACGAGTCGAGTATGTTCCATGTAATTTTAACAACTAGGTGAAACAGTAAAATGCTTACTTCGTTAACCAGTTACATATTCCACACCAGTGGAAACTTGTTCTTCTCTTTGTCCGATGAGTCACCCGAAGAGAACTACTACATATCAACAAAAGATTAATGAGATTACATTTTCATTTCTTACTTTTTGTTACTCACCTGATGAAACTGTTCAAATTTCAGGATCCCTGTTACTTCATTCGTAGAAACCCATTAATCTTCAGAGATTAGAGGCACATTTATAAATTAATATCCAGTGAACCAATACAGTAATTTAGTCTGATCGAAAAAATTTTATTGTACGCAGTTTATAAAAGGAAATCATTATTTTATCGTTAATAAATTAATCATCCAATGCAACGCAACAATATTTTTTTTTTTGTAATTTTGTTTAAAACATACAGTCCAAACTTATTCGAATTAAAATAAATAAAATAAGATTTCGTAAGAGAGGAAATATATATTCTAATAATTCCCTCCTGTTTATCAAATTGAAAAATATCATAGTCTAATACAAACATATGCATGTTTATGTAAGACTGCAATATTCTTAAATAGGATGTACATTCTACGAGTAAATTTCATCAAACATCGTGACAAACGCTCGAAGACAATATAATAATAGCGGTGTAACCATAAAAGAGATACTTTTGAATAATACACATTAGTTGAGGAAAGGAATTGAGGATATTCAAGAATTTACCAACGATAAAGAATTGCATATCTTTATTGCCTCTTCTTGAGTAGATAACGACGATTGGGAGCTTTGTAAAAATGTCTCTTATCGTCAATAGATATAAAACTAAAAAAGAAATTTAATGCCAAGACGTAACAATTAAATCATCTATTTGAAGGGAGACTGGATACTATCGTGGAAAGGTTAATACTACTACCGGGATGACAGAGATTCGATCTGCCAAAAAATATGAGAGACTTTCATAAGGATTCAAACGTGTTTAAGCTGAACGTAAAGAACATGAACGATTAATTCAAACACACTTAAACATCTTTCGAGCTGACGGGTATTGTTATATCTGTTATTTAAGTTAGTTTTTTTTTGCGGGCAGTGTTCGGGTGAAAAATCAAAATATGTGGACATTTATAGGACGTACATTTGTTTAGAAGAATGCATGCAGAAAATGTGTGTCGAAATGACGTCAGATATAAACTTGATCAAATACCTTAACAGCGAGCAATTCGCGTCCGTTTCGATCGGTGAAAAATGATATCCGACTATCCTGTTATTGATCCCGCTAAGTGCAAGTCCAAATTCCGTATCCGACCTAGGCGATAAATCCGTGAAACCTATTTTCTGAAGCATGAACAACGCCACGCTCTGTCCGATTGATCGACACCTCGATTAATCCAAATCCGCTTATCCTGCATGAATCCTGCGTATCGTATATTCTCCGGTTAAAAAATCCAAAGCGATCCTCTTAACACAATCCGATGAATATTTCCAGCCAATATATCCGTATCCAAAAATCCATCATGAACGCTAATTATATCCTGATCAGCATCCTAATCCCACCGTAATTGACGATATCCTGTTATTTTCGTTTTATTTTATTTATTTATTTTATTTTATTTTTTTTTTGTCCCGGGAGATCCTCTACTACTAGGGAGAGCCAGTCCTCGTTAAGATGAAGGATTCTGTTTACTTTGATTTTGTCAACCCCGAACAGTTATTTTATTCCTCTTGCGCGCGTTATTAGTCCCGACGACCGGTGGTACCAGTTCATACTACACCGCACATGTATATTATGGAACATACACACGCCCACGATTGATCAATGATACACAATTCCAAGATCGAAATAGCCGAGAGAAGAACATTCGGACGATTTGATTTCGAGTGGAAGTGTAAGCCCACGCTCTATTTACAACGCGAACAGAGTTTCCATGTAGGATCACTTTCCGTTCTCCTTGATCCTGAGGGGGGAGTTCTAAACGTGGAGCTTCCGATCGTATATCGCCTATACCAAACTTATCGCACGGATCGAACGAGAAACTAAGAAGATTGTTGAAAGAGCATAATCCTCTCCCCGTCGCGTTGAACCACAGTTCGTTCCATTTTCGTGTTCGCGAGTCATCGATCACTTTCTCCGATACAGATGAGAAGTCTGATACTTCCTTTAGCGAACTTCCTCGGACGAGAATCAGAATTATTGTTTCGGTAACGATAAAAAAAAAATTTTTTAAAATATCAGTGTTAACGTCCGATCATACGGAAACTGTAAGTACTTTCGAAAACAAAATGTACAATGTTGACATTCCATTACCAGTTCTGACGGTTCATGAACGTAAGAGAAAGATACGAGAGTCACTTCGTTGTGGCTTGAATCGCGAAAACAATGATGAATTACGAAAACACTTGAGTAATCGAGAAATCTGTACAAGCACGTGATACACGTCGAAACTCTTCGTTACGCGCATTTCGTTATGGTTATTCTCTTTCTTTAGTTCGTCAATATAAAGACACTGCTAACACGATTTGATATCGATACTATTATCTTTTCCCCGGTAATTTACGAAAGAAAACTATGGATAATCGTTTCGAATCCTTGTAATGGATTTGCCAACGTTTTTCTGATGAAAATCCAGCTAATTGAGAATCCTTGAATGAAATGCATTGTTTCTTTCATCCAATTCCTTTCCTGATCCTGAACTTCCTCTTGAAAGTATCCTTACTGTCTCATTATTTGTATTCGCATTTACGTATAATCCTTTTATAATATATGCTCCATACAAAATCCATCCAAAACGCATTCCATCTCATCCCACCGTCAAGCGAATGTGTATTATATCCATCCAAGAAGTAAGATCGTGTCGATTTCAGTTTTTCATTCATTGTGTTACAATCCAATCCAATATACAAAAGAAGAAAAAATACATTAGTCCCTTATACAATATGCATTAATGTTATATATAAAATTTATCACTGCAAATATAATCCTTATGACTTGCGATACTCAAATGTGTGATAATATGTCGTAAATTGAGCAAATATTGTACAAAGGAATACTCCCCGCTTGTTTAATATAAATTTAAAACCTTTTCTATATCGACGAATACACACAAATGTCGCGGAAAATAAGCGAAAATCACAGGATCAATTTGCAATAATAACATTCTCAAGAATACACGAAATAGTTGTTTTCCTTCAACATATCTGACGTATAATAGAATAAATTTGTCTGTATATTTTCAAAAGGAAAACGTTAAACGAGAAATGTGCAGCAGAACGTATTTTGTTAATAAATCATCCGGCCAATGAAAAAAAAAAACAAAAAAAACACACATTTCTCAAGGTAAGTCGTGTATAACTTAAAATATACTTCAATATGGACATTTCACAGATATCCATACAATTGTAATAGACACGTTATTATATTCTTAATAATAATTTTCAGTTGGATTTCTTTTTTTTCGTTCTGAAGTAGTACATAACACACAGTTTTTCGTCAAACCAGAAGAATGGCCAGATGATCGTCGTTAAGGAACACTTAAATAAATTGTGATGTACTTTAATTTGTTACTGTATCAAACGAACAATATATCAATACATGATAAATGATAGCTGTATGTGTTTTTCCCAAAGCAAATTGGTCATATGAATATTAATCATTTAGTAAAAAATAAATCTTTTTACCTATATTTATCAAATGTTATGCCCTATATGTACCATCGGTCGATGGTTATCGATGTATTACATTCTCTAGGTATTAAGTATTATATTTTCACCACAAAGAGTATGTTGTATTGTCATCATTATATAGGCAAAACAAAAAGTAATTAAATTTGTGTAATAACTTAAACGCCGTTGAGCCGTGTAAACAACCTTGATGTATGTATTTGTACACACGAATAATCTGTTTAAATTAATACTTAGCACGAGATGTAATTTTTTAATGGTGTTATATCGAAAAATGCCATAATGTTTTATGTTTGCAGTTTCTCCCCCGCGTGTAATTAAATCCAATGTCTTTGAGTCTAAATTCGTGAAGTGGTAAATACATCGTGAAAAAACAGCAGAACTTTGAGACCATCATTCTTTTTGTTATATCAAACTTCAATAATGATACGACGTTCTTGTAACAATTACAGCAAATGGAAATAAGTACTCATGCAAACAAAATAAAATTTCTGATCGTATGTCTAGTATAATCTATTAATTATTTGAAATATACTCTATTTTATCTTGCATGCTATATATGCACATTAAAAATATACACGTATATGTACTTCGTTATGGCATTACTTCTCTTCTTTCAAACATATGCGGTATAATTTTGTGCTGTTAATCGTAAAAAAAAAGAATGTTAGCTTTAGAAATGTTTACAATAAGCATTTTAGCATTAGAAGCTTGAAAGAGTTTTACATGTTAAATTTGCTTAAAAATGTGCTGTTTTCATCACGGCAAATGTGGATAAATATGTGTAAAAAAACACAATCACAGACTGCATTCACATAAAGTTAAATATTGCGGTATATTTACCAATCGTGGTACTGTGCAGTGCATCGAGAATGATCACGCTGAACGTAGGCAATATTGGTAACTATACAACAAAATGCTACTTATTAATGTGAATGCCGATTGAATAGCTGAAATAATATTAGTCGCTCCGGTTTAGGTTCTCATGTCGTAATACTTCAAAATTGTTACACATTTCAAATATCGATGTGTGGTGTTCAAAACAAATTGCAAAATATAAAGGAATGTATTTTTTAAACATAAATGTAACTCTAACCAGTATACCATCAACAATAATATGCGATTAATACGAGCACGATTCCTCTTTATTAAAACAACGGGAATATGACATTAAAAACTTTATGTCAGCGTTTACTCGTAAGAGAATCTAGTTGGCTAGTTGCTATTTCAGATGTATTCAAACGATTTATTCTAAATGCGTACCCATAAAATAAATGTTACACCCGCATTGATCCGTGACGAACATAATTTAAAAATTAATAAAGAAAAAAAAATGACGAAATCATCGAAAATATAATTTTGGTATATGTAAAATGAACCGTGCTCTAACTATACATTACGTACAATACAATTGTTAAATTCAAGCAACATGAATAGTAATAATTTTTTATAATTTGTACAAATTCGATTTGGATTGGAAGGTGTCTTTAAGTGAAATTCAAATCAGTAATAATGAAACATGGTAAAGCAAATATTGATAAGCCTTTACTTATATTACCATGTGAAACATATACGTACACACTAGTCGTATGAACGAGATCTGGAGCGAGATCTTGATCGCGAGTAATTACGCCGTAATGGTGAATAGGTTGGTGAACCACGACGTCGTGGACTATAGCTTCGTGAATGACTTCGACCCCTCTCTCTATCTTCGCTGCGACCTCTATCGCCACTGCTATGATCTTCTTTCACACGAATATAGGCTACTTCGCCCTAGAAAACGGAAATACAAAACCATTACTTCACACGCAAATGTAAAAATTTTGGGTCTTCGATTTGTATGTAAAATTATTTCAAATACTTCTCCCTGCTTCGCAGAAATAAAATCATATACATACTAGCACAGCTGCATTGAAAAGTGCTAATTGAATATCGACTTCTAATCGTCAACATATACATATAGTTTGTTGCATTCCACTAATTGGAAGTTAGATGTTGCCTAACTCGATATAACTTAAGATATTAATTTGTACCTCGTGAGACCTAAATCTTGAATCATCTAATTTCTTCACTGCATATTTCATGTCTTCGTATCGTAAGAATTCGACAACTCCAGTGCCGTCTTTATAAACATCGGCGAAGCAAACATCGCCAGCTTCGCGCATATGATCCTTCAGATCCTGCCAACTGCCAGACGGAGGTAAACCGGTAACAAGAACTCTGTATTGAGATCTTCTTGCAGGCGGTCCACGACCTCGAGAATTACTCATTTCACCCCGACCACCTCTTCCGCTGTCACCTGCTCCACGACCCCCACGAAAATTATTACTAGGGCCACCGCCTCTTGGAAATTCAACGCGTAATCTATAACCATCGTAATCGTATCCATCCCTCGCGTGTACCGCGTCCTCGGCGTCTCTGAAAATAGCACGATACTATATCACATATATTATGATAATAATTTAAAAAAAACCTATGTAACCTTGATCCGCTATGATAACACTTTTTATACGTTTAACGCGTTAACGAATTGAATATAAATTCTCCGAGTGCAAAAATACGGTTAATGAAACTGTTCTTTTATTTGATGATAAGAAGACGAGAAAAAAAGAGGGCAGTAGAATAATGGAGTACGATATTAGACGATGCACAGTATACCAAAAAATGAACAAATTTTTATGTAATTACGTCTGTCGAACATACCTTGGATCATCAAATTCGACAAAAGCGAACGGTGGGCCTCTACGGTTTTTTAAATCAACAAAGATAACTTTACCGAACTTGTAGAACAAATCTTGAATGTCTTTCGTTCTTATATCGGGCGGCAAATTGCCCACGTAAATTCTACATTCGTTTCTACCACCGTGGGACATATTCACGGCTTTTATTACTGTTCAACGTATACAAGACACAAATAGAAACACTTTAAACCAATTTTAATCGTCCCCAAGTCTTACACTCTCTTTATTGATGAAACAAACAAGATGGCGGTAGTACCGGTCGAGGAGAAGCGTGATCACAAAAGGCGCAGAAAGTCAAGAACGTTAAAAAAATCTGTCGAGCATGTTTTCACACAATTAACGACCAATTATGCATCGTATCGTGTATTATTCTTTTTCCTTCCACCAATCAAAAATTCATGTACAAAACATCTAATTTTTGCATCGTAATTTTAAATTTCCATAATTAATTAAACCATACTGTTCCTTTGCTAGATATATAAAAACGGATATTACGATGCGTACGATTAAAATTAAACAGTATCATACTATGCGTACATATTTTTGTAAACGGTTCTTTAGTTTGATTATATAATATAATATTTTTTCATAATCTATAATATATTTCATATCCGGTTTAAAATTTTTAATTTAAAAATGTATCGTTTGAAATGAGATATCTGTTCTTTAAAAAAGAAATGATTTTAAATGAAATAAAACAGATTCCCAGAATTCTATATAAAATAGTTATAACAATTTTACGGTATTCAAGTACTTGTTAGATCAACGATTCTTAATATTTTCATCAAATATTTTAATACGATTTTGATTGTTTGAAATTTTTCAAATTTATTTTTGAACGTCATGGGCAATGTATAAGCATAGACGATGTATAGAATAGAGGAACATGTCATATGATTTAAGGGTTTTAGAATAAATATTCGTATTGCAAATCATTTATAAAAACTATTAAATATTGTAAAGTAAATAATATAATTGATGATTTCAAAACGTATTCAATATTAATAACGAATTTATAAATGTATACATTTTGTATGAATCAAGGAGATTAAACAACAGTTTGAAGTTTAATACCGTTTGTTTGGCTTATAATTTAGGATCACGTAAAAGGAAAGAAAAAAAAAAATAATATTTAAATCTGCATATAAATAATTATGTAGGGGGCACTGAGTGTGTCGTATCACACCTGTTAAATCTTGTTTACGTTTATTATTCCATCCGATTACAACCTCAAAATGTATAAACACGGGAACTGTTTATCTAATTCAACGACTTCTTTTTGCAATAAAATTATTTTATTGTAAAGGAAATAATAATAATGTTAATTATAACACAACCATTGACTGCATTTTGTAATTTTATATTTCTAAATAATTAGTAGTTAAGACCACCGAAGCTTTAAATAATGTAAATACGTATAAGTAATCTTGTAAATACAATAATGGCATTTTCATTTCGTATTGGGACCAAATGGTGTCACGATTTCCCAAAATTGGCTAAAGAATCGGGATTTTATTTTAATACCCACAGGTCCAGAGTACGGATAGATTGGAATCGTATAAGTACGTAGTTCAATTATCTATGCTATGCTTCTTTAGCTGACTTTGTTCCATTATAACTGATTTAATATCTGATTTTTAGGTAATATAAATATTGATCAGATTATAAGGGAAAGAGATTTTCATTCCATTGATGATAATGTAAACAATGTAGTAGATTATTCGTTAGAAAGCGAATACGACGTTAAGATTCTGGATCCTAACTTTGTAAAGCTATTCAGACTTGCGCAATTAGCAGTGGAATATTTATTATATTGCAAGGAATACTTAGACCACAGTGTAATAATATTGAAAGACGAACTGAAACTAAAGATAGAAGAAAACGTTAAACTGAAAAAGGAAGTAGCTACTTTAGAAGAAGTAGTAAAGAATTTAAAAGAAAAAGCAAAGGATAGGAGTAAATTAATAGAGACTAAAATTGGAGATTCTAACGGTGAAATTTATAAAGTAATGAAATTATACATTTTATTCTATTATAATCAGAGTAATTATAGTATTGCATTCAAAATAAGTAAATATAAATCGTTTTTTCAGTGTCCCCATTGTCCAAAAACGTTTATATCTTCGATGTTTGCAAGCGCTCACATTTTACGCCGACACACATATGTGTCAGACTTATGCGTGACTTCTTCCCCTATACATGACCACTATCGTAGCGAAACAGAAAGATTGCATAACGAAATAAAAAGCTTAAAAGAACGATTGAATGAAACTGAGAGAGTAATAAGGAACGAATCTGAAAATGTTGCCAATAAAAATACAATAGATTACGAGAGAAAATTACCTGAAAATAAAGTTGAAAGTTTTAAATGCGATATCAATAAATCTGAAGAACATCAAGAGTACAAAGAATATCAGGAAGAAATAAAAAATTTGAAAACTATGCTTTTCGATGAAATACATGTAAGTATGAAATAAAAAATATTTCGAACGTATGATTTAAATGATAATTATTCTAACAGAACTTAAGGCAAAAAGAGAAGATGATGTACGAACGAACATCGGAAACAAATGTACAAACATTGATGAATCAACAAGAAAAAGAATTCCAGAAGTTAAGAAATCAGTTATTTGAAAAAGTAAGTAAAATGTTTGTTGTTTTTAAATGATAAATTTTTTAATGTCTTTTTTTATAGCTAACTCCGGATATAGAAAGCATGCATGCAAAATTATATGCGCAGGAAAATTATTGGAGATCCAAAATCGAACATTTAGAAAATCAGCATCAAAAAGATATAGAAACACTCACTACGGAACTGAAATTAACACAAAAAGCGGCCGAAAATATAAAAACGGAATATGAATCGAAAGTTAACGATTTAGAACGTCAAACAGCAAATCAGTCGAATATTTTAATTGAACAAAGTAAACAATTACATTCTTTGTCGCATGAAATAAATGTTTCACAGCTAAATGAAAAAAACACAAATTTTGAATACAATTTGCCAAAGAAAAGCGATCGATCTGTAATTTTTGAGCGGACCAATGAAACTGTAAAGAAACCGGATGAAAATGATTTACAACAAAAGGATCATGGAACTGCAAAAACAGAACAATTGACTGCTGGAAATATGGATAGTACTATAGTATTTCCATTGGCGTTGCAAAATAAATTTTCAAGAAATGTACATACTTTATATTCCGGAAACAAGCCTGCTATGTATGAGAATAAAGTAATTAGGAAACAGAAAAATATTAACAAAATAAAGAGTACAAGATTTGAGAATAAAAAAAACTTGGAGGATGATTTGAAAAATTGTAGTTCAAGTGATATATCGGAGTCACAAAGTTTGGGTCTTAAAAATAAAATTAATTATGAAACAAAGCATATAAATTATGGCTTACACGATCGATTAACCGCGAAAGTTGATTTGAATAAATCTGGTACAAATAAGTCAGAAAATACTATAAACAAAAGTATGCCTAAAAAAAACTTAACTAACGTGAAAAATAAGAAAAAGCCCGAAATCTTAGAAAATAATCTAACTTCCGAATCAAGCTCAGAGTCCATTTCTGATTTCCACACGCATTCTGAATCAGAAAGTATCACTGTAATTGATAATAATTTGAGTCTGCATGAACATAAAACACATCCATTACCTCCTTCGAAATTTAAGAAGACAATACAGTACGATTCATTCCACGAAGAATTACAGACCAATTTACAAGATATGTTTGACCAGAAATTAAGAGATTTAGGAATAGATCCAGAATGGCAAGGAATACCGGAAGCTACTTTCAAGCAAATCATGGAGATTTTAAAACATCATCAAAAACTATCTATGAAAGTAATAAAATTGCATATAAGATATCATTTTATTATGTAAAATTGTTTCATATAGCTTTTTAAATTTTTTAAATTGTTCTCAGAAATTGCCAAAGTATTCTCGGATTAAATCGAAAATAATTGAGGAGGTTCTCAAGAAAACGAGTAGAAAAGGAAAAGCAAAAAAAACTATAGAGCATGCAAAACAAATGCCTTTGCATAAATCAGCAACCAATTCTAAATTAACGACAACAAAAGCATTTAGCGATAAAAAAGATATTGGTAATCACTGTGTTTGATGTATTATTTCACTAATTAAAACAGTACTTGTTATTTAAAAGGTATTTCCTCTTTTTCAGGCAATTATGCTTCTGCGTTGCAAGTACAGAATACAAAGCCAAATAAATGGCACTCTACCCCAGAAAATTATCATGCTGCTAAAGATATAAACGAAAGCGAATTATCGCCAGTAAAATCCACAAAGATAACAAATTACAAAGACATAGAAAGTTTAATAAAACTTTCTCCAAATACGATAAAATCTTTGGAAAGCGCGTGGCATACAAATTCGCAAGGAATGTGTACAAAAGAAGATTCTTTGAATAAAATGAAAGCTTTATTTGACTCCGAACAAACTAAAATAAAAACAAACAGTAAGGAAGCATTAGACGTAAAATCCATTGAGACCAATAGTGATAGTAATTCGCATGCGCAATCAGAGCCACAGAATATTTTAATATCTCCCAAGTATAATAAAAGTGTTTTAAAATCTACGAGTGGTTCAACGAGTAGTTTAACGAAGAAGAAAGTTATTTTCGATTTAGCGGATGAAAAAGATAAAGAATCAATATTGGATTATGATATGGAAAAAGAAGAACCAAATGATAATTGGAATACTTCAAGGTACGTAAATTAATTTAAAAAAATTTTACATACAAGTTCTATATAATATTACATTTACTTAGCACTTTTGCTGAGAAGAAAGATTTATCAGAGAGAGAAAGTTACAAAAGTACAAGTAATATCATGCTAAAGACCACTCAAAGCGATAAAATTGCAGAAATATCAAAGAAACTCGAAGCACAGGTAATATAAAATGACGAGTATAGATGAGAGCATCATAAAAGTAAATATTTTATTCCAGTTAAGTATGGTGAGACAAAAGCCTGTGGGATCGGTTGAAACAATATTTTCTTCAAAGTATGTACAAGATAGAGAAAATCGTAGCAACGACAACGAACAAATGCGTACAACAAGTACAGGTTTTCGATTAGAAAGTCCATTTAAAGCATCGACATTTAATTCTAAAGCGTTAAACGATTCATTGCCACAACCAGCACCACGTAATTTAAAGAATAAAATGCCTGAAACTTTACATTCAGAATCGATATCAGAAAGTTCAGATCTAGATTCCGATATTGATAAACTCTTAAAATTAGAATAAGTATATCAACAAATTCTGTATGGTTCTTAGAAAGAAACATAGTGTACATATCAGGGAAAAATAAAGAAACAAAAAAATCACTTTTAAACACTGACCTTCGTATATGTAAGACTAATTACCGTTTGATATTTAACATTTGAACGATTAGTATTACTATTGAAACTTGTGTTACCGTCGTTAAAAGAGATACGCTTTCCTTATTTTTGGCAATTTTTAAACAGTGCGGTCACATTTGAAATAACTGAGTTCATCCTGTGCATCGACGGCGACACTAATAACGACGAATGTCCTTAGGCCACACTATTTTGAAACGATCTGGCACAGTGAAGCCAGAAAAGCACCGTCGGGTGCACACTCACGCATGCCAGATACGCGTACGTGAGCTCGTGGAGTTTCGGGAAGACGACAAAGGCAAACTGGCGCATGCCCTCTTTTTCGATTCTCCGAAGCTGCCCGAAGTAATTTCGGACCGCTTCGTGGGAGTCGAGAGAGAAAGGCTCACATTTGCCTTCTCGCTCCCACACAACTGAAATCCGATCTCCCGTCAACGACATACGATTTGGCTTCTCGACTGCCCAGGCATTTTTACTTTCCGACCTATGTAGGCGCACATAAGCAAAGTACCCATAATGAAAAAAAAATGTTGTAAAATTTATTTTACGGAAATACACGTTTTAAGACCTCCTGATCATATTTTAATTATTGAAAAAAAAGAAATTTTTTTTTATTCCCATGTATGAGCACACATATGTATATTATTAATACGATTTTTGAAAATAAATAAAGTAAAACTTATCTGATTGAAATTTTTTGTAGAAGTTGAGCTGATGAATACCTAGAAAAAAGTATTAGACAACATTTAATTTTGATTTCGATTAAAAATCAAATTTATATTGTTTTAAATTCGCAGCCATTAGCTCGGTGTTACCCATAATGAAGAAGTTGTTCTTCAAAGGTAACACCGATTACCAGGTCTCACCACGAGGAGGTTGCTGCGAGTGGAGACCCAAAGTGAGACCGATGGAACAAAGTTCGATCGACCTTCCTTTTTACACACTAGATTACGCAAAAAAAAAAAGATGCCAAGTAATTACTGTTCTAAAACAAAGGAGGAAGCTAAATTGTGGGAGACGCGACACGACGAAACGCGACACCAATACTGCACAGTGCAGTAGGAACATGAGGTGCGACACGTACCGAATAGCGGGTCAAAAGGGGCAGCTCGTTGCCTCTCAGCGAGTCCAATTGAAGGGGAGGAGAATCGACGCACCAGACACGGGTTCTCCATTTCTCCCACGCATCCTGCTGGGAGCCCACGGGACCCAACTCGGGATGGCTGACACAGGAGAGAGATCCTGAGTCCGGGCTACCGCAGACAGGAACAGGTCCCCTCTACGGCCGATGACTCTTTCCCTAGAATTGTCTCACCAGAGGACGGCAACCGACCCTTCGAACCATCTAAACGGCCGATCACTTGCTTTCTACATTAAAGCAGCGGTGACCGGAGAAACGAGACTGGAAAAGAAGCTATTAATGAATTCATTACTTGGCAATCTACGCAGTAAATAAAATAATATACAATGTAAATTGAAAATTAACGTCGTAGGTGGAATTAATGAGATTAAGGAATTGAAATAAACATAGGAATGAGAAAGAAAGGAAAAGAAATATTCGACGTTAATTTTTACACTCGCGCCGCGCCTTAAATTTAATGCCCTTACGTGCAGATGAATCCGAAGTCCTCCCTCTAAAAATTGATCTGAATAAAAACTAAAATAAAAATTAGTAGTTAAACAAACAAATTAGAATTAATTATACGAACAAATATAGGGGCAAATACAAATACAAATAAACAATCAACATAACCAAGAACAGAATAAGTCAAAAAATAACAACCCCACGATGAAAACAATGAGGAACAAAATGATTTGAAAAATCACAACCCAACGAAGTAAAGAATGAAGAAGAAAATAATTCGAAAAATAACAACCCATCGATGTCGAAAATAAAGAACAGAATAATTGGAAAAATTTCTACCCAACGATGTAATATATGTAGATAAAACCTGAAAGAAAAACGAATGAATTATTGGAGAGAGGAACAGAAACAACGAAATAATACATCCCTATATATAAATAAAAAACACAATAATGGTATTAGTTATATGGATATAAATATATGTATGTATTATACCAATCGGCGACACCAGTCATCATCGCAGAATCAGAGAATCTGAAACAGAAAATACGCGTGACAGTACCCCTGGCGGTTCCAGGAGTACTGAAAAGAGCCGACCAGCTGTGCCCGTTTTTATGCAGTCGGACAAAAGTAATCCCTAGCCAATCAGCAGCCAGTCCGCTGGGGGCGACACTCCGATAGGGCGATACTTGCTTCACCTAAGTTTATAAGAGACCCCCCTGAGACCCGCGCGGGGGAGTTATCTCCCAACCACCAAGCAAGACGGACCGTATCGAGATGAAGAATTTAATTGAAGACTTACATTCGATCAAAATCGAAGATGGCGGCCAAGAAGATGTTTCACGAGCAGCGGCCAAGGGACAAAACCGGTCTTTTTAAAGACCAAGAAAATCTCATTTGTGGGAACAACTTATGCAATGAACTGAACAACTTTTATATTTAACAACTCAGAGACACTTTACATCTCTGTTTTGTAACAACTTTTATATTTAACAATTCAGAGACACTTTACATCACTGTTTTGTAACAACTTTTATATTTAACAACTCAGAGACACTTTACATCTCTGTTTTGTAACAACTTTTATATTTAACAACTCAGAGACACTTTACATCTCTGTTTTGTAACAACTTTTATATTTAACAATTCAGAGACACTTTACATCTCTGTTTTGCAACAACTTTTATATTTAACAACTCAGAGACACTTTACATCTCTGTTATGGCACAAGTTATGCAATAAAACTGAACATGGTATATTTGCCTATATAGGCGAAAAATATACAAATACAAATTGAATTTATTGAATTGATATTAAATAAACATTCTTTGCTATAAGTTCAAAAAATTATTATTTGAAATAGTAGAACAATTAGAAAATAAATCGTTTGAAAATAATTTCGAAGGTCTTACTCGATAAACTATATTCAAACGATTTATTTACAAAGTATTGTTTTAAGTCAAACATGATCAGAGGGTCTTGAAACGTGTATTTACGTATCAATTTTTCATTCAATATGGGCTTTGCTTATATATTTGTGTCTATATAACTTGAATTTAAATTCAAATGGTAATGAAAAATCAATGACGCATGTTTGTACATTATTTTTTAATCCTGGACTCGTTAATGGTACTTCTCTAAGATTAGATAGGGACAGTAATGGGGAAGAAAATTTAGTGTCAGTGCCTTCTAGTTCGTAACATTTAAGCTTTTTATTACAGTCTCTCATCATGTATTTCATGAAACCTCTCCTTCTATTCATTCCTGATTACAGAAATGCATATATAACTCTAATAATTTTTAAACTTATTACATTGCTCAATGGATAGGAATAATCCTCTATTTGTACAGGACAAATATATAAACGTCGAACCAACAAGTCCATAAAATATGCAGGATAATTGCCCATAAGAAATTCATCTACAAACAAATTAGGTATATTAGCTAGTGCATTATTGGTAGCAGATTCTGACCCCTTTAAGCATGTCTAATATTTCAACTTCGTTTTCTTCCTCTTCTTCTTCTTCTTCGGCTGATTCAAAGTCTCCATTTTTATCAGTTTCTTCTATGTACATTAGACTATTAACATTCCCATCAAATTTAAAAATTCTGTTTATGGAATGTGTTGTGGCACGAGCTGCATATTCCTGTAAAAACCCCAATGGAACAAGTATTTCTGCAGATGCATTTGTATAGCCATTTATATTGATTTCTATTATGCTTAATATATTTTGTCTTACGGTTTTAGGTGATCTACATAGTATTCCAATGACTGCTCTGTCCAAGGTGTAAAACCTGCTCAACCATTGTAAAGTTGCTTCTATACAATACTGTCGATTACTATACCTTTTTCTTCTTATTCGTCGTAACTTTAAATAACGAAAGAAGTTTCTAAATGTACCACGTTTTACATAATCATTGCCTAGTAATATTGCAGCTAATGGCGGTGTAGATTGACTTAGACTTCTATAAGAATTTAATAAGTGTTCAACTTTATAAATTTTACAACGTTTCGTGTAACCATTTCCAGTTGAACTTTTCACCGTGTAATTGTCCAATGTATCAAATGGTATGTACAATGTCCCAAACACATAAAAATCTGAATCATAACTCAATACAGGACAATTCAATACCCTTGCTACAGTAGCTATAGCATTATCAGCTTCGAATAAGCATTGCACATGACGAACATTCTTCTTTCTCGTAACATCTTTGAAAACTTCCTAAATATGTAAAGGACAAAAATTTCATTTTCTGTTGACAGATCGGAGAAAAAGATGATGCTGTACGAACCTTTTCTCTAGTTCTAGATATAACTGTTTGCAGTTTCTTATCCTCGCAACCGCCATCGATCAAAACTAATGGTACTACATTGCACTTTAACAAATCGTCAAAAAAATCCGATACTCGTTGAGCGTATTTATCGTAATCACCGCCAAAAACACAATTGCACTTGTACGAATTATATATTTGACAGCTAAATAACTAAATACGTATCACGTAGCTCGAAATATTCCAAATAACGATCTGAACGATTGTTTATAAAAGTTGTTAAACCTGAAATACCCATTTTGAAACCTATTTATTAATTTACACTTTTCTTAATGTTTCATATCACAAACTAAGTTCGTTATGCGTATATCAATATTAGTTATTATGCATTTATACATAGGTTGCATGTAACAGGTACTTACTCTTGTGTCATTCGTTATTTTATTTGAATCAAAAGTTTGTTAAATATTATACTTTGACTACTTGGATAAATCAAAGAAATACAAGAGCTGTGCATAATGTTTTTGCATTGATCTTTACGATATTACAAACCGGTATAATAAAAAATAAAATTAGATAGTATACTGATCTTGCATAATTAAGTGCATTGACGGGCGACAATACTAACGACGAATTTCCTTCCTATACATATAGGCAAATATACCATGTTCAGTTTTATTGCATAACTTGTGCCATAACAGAGATGTAAAGTGTCTCTGAGTTGTTAAATATAAAAGTTGTTACAAAACAGAGATGTAAAGTGTCTCTGAGTTGTTAAACATAAAAGTTGTTGCAAAACAGAGATGTAAAGTGTCTCTGAATTGTTAAATATAAAAGTTGTTACAAAACAGAGATGTAAAGTGTCTCTGAGTTGTTAAATATAAAAGTTGTTACAAAACAGAGATGTAAAGTGTCTCTGAGTTGTTAAATATAAAAGTTGTTACAAAACAGTGATGTAAAGTGTCTCTGAATTGTTAAATATAAAAGTTGTTACAAAACAGAGATGTAAAGTGTCTCTGAGTTGTTAAATATAAAAGTTGTTCAGTTCATTGCATAAGTTGTTCCCACAAATGAGATTTTCTTGGTCTTTAAAAAGACCGGTTTTGTCCCTTGGCCGCTGCTCGTGAAACATCTTCTTGGCCGCCATCTTCGATTTTGATCGAATGTAAGTCTTCAATTAAATTCTTCATCTCGATGCGGTCCGTCTTGCTTGGTGGTTGGGAGATAACTCCCCCGCGCGGGTCTCAGGGGGGTCTCTTATAAACTTAGGTGAAGCAAGTATCGCCCTATCGGAGTGTCGCCCCCAGCGGACTGGCTGCTGATTGGCTAGGGATTACTTTTGTCCGACTGCATAAAAACGGGCACAGCTGGTCGGCTCTTTTCAGTACTCCTGGAACCGCCAGGGGTACTGTCACGCGTATTTTCTGTTTCAGATTCTCTGATTCTGCGATGATGACTGGTGTCGCCGATTGGTATAATACATACATATATTTATATCCATATAACTAATACCATTATTGTGTTTTTTATTTATATATAGGGATGTATTATTTCGTTGTTTCTGTTCCTCTCTCCAATAATTCATTCGTTTTTTCTTTCAGGTTTTATCTACATATATTACATCGTTGGGTAGAAATTTTTCCAATTATTCTGTTCTTTATTTTCGACATCGATGGGTTGTTATTTTTCGAATTATTTTCTTCTTCATTCTTTACTTCGTTGGGTTGTGATTTTTCAAATCATTTTGTTCCTCATTGTTTTCATCGTGGGGTTGTTATTTTTTGACTTATTCTGTTCTTGGTTATGTTGATTGTTTATTTGTATTTGTATTTGCCCCTATATTTGTTCGTATAATTAATTCTAATTTGTTTGTTTAACTACTAATTTTTATTTTAGTTTTTATTCAGATCAATTTTTAGAGGGAGGACTTCGGATTCATCTGCACGTAAGGGCATTAAATTTAAGGCGCGGCGCGAGTGTAAAAATTAACGTCGAATATTTCTTTTTCCTTTCTTTCTCATTCCTATGTTTATTTCAATTCCTTAATCTCATTAATTCCACCTACGACGTTAATTTTCAATTTACATTGTATATTATTTTATTTACTGCGTAGATTGCCAAGTAATGAATTCATTAATAGCTTCTTTTCCAGTCTCGTTTCTCCGGTCACCGCTGCTTTAATGTAGAAAGCAAGTGATCGGCCGTTTAGATGGTTCGAAGGGTCGGTTGCCGTCCTCTGGTGAGACAATTCTAGGGAAAGAGTCATCGGCCGTAGAGGGGACCTGTTCCTGTCTGCGGTAGCCCGGACTCAGGATCTCTCTCCTGTGTCAGCCATCCCGAGTTGGGTCCCGTGGGCTCCCAGCAGGATGCGTGGGAGAAATGGAGAACCCGTGTCTGGTGCGTCGATTCTCCTCCCCTTCAATTGGACTCGCTGAGAGGCAACGAGCTGCCCCTTTTGACCCGCTATTCGGTACGTGTCGCACCTCATGTTCCTACTGCACTGTGCAGTATTGGTGTCGCGTTTCGTCGTGTCGCGTCTCCCACAATTTAGCTTCCTCCTTTGTTTTAGAACAGTAATTACTTGGCATCTTTTTTTTTTGCGTAATCTAGTGTGTAAAAAGGAAGGTCGATCGAACTTTGTTCCATCGGTCTCACTTTGGGTCTCCACTCGCAGCAACCTCCTCGTGGTGAGACCTGGTAATCGGTGTTACCTTTGAAGAACAACTTCTTCATTATGGGTAACACCGAGCTAATGGCTGCGAATTTAAAACAATATAAATTTGATTTTTAATCGAAATCAAAATTAAATGTTGTCTAATACTTTTTTCTAGGTATTCATCAGCTCAACTTCTACAAAAAATTTCAATCAGATAAGTTTTACTTTATTTATTTTCAAAAATCGTATTAATAATATACATATGTGTGCTCATACATGGGAATAAAAAAAAATTTCTTTTTTTTCAATAATTAAAATATGATCAGGAGGTCTTAAAACGTGTATTTCCGTAAAATAAATTTTACAACATTTTTTTTTCATTATGGGTACTTTGCTTATGTGCGCCTACATAGGTCGGAAAGTAAAAATGCCTGGGCAGTCGAGAAGCCAAATCGTATGTCGTTGACGGGAGATCGGATTTCAGTTGTGTGGGAGCAAGAAGGCAAATGTGAGCCTTTCTCTCTCGACTTCCACGACGGTGCTTTTCTGGCATCACTGATCTGGCAACCGAAACATGCAAGCATGTGAAACTTAATAAAAACATTTATATTTACGATGAAAACCATAAAGTTAAAAATTAATTATATATTACAGTTTTTTTATAAATTTTAAACAAACCACGATACGAAATGTAAAATGAAGTTTTTTTACATGTGCTGTTTGGATTTCCGGTAAATACAAGCATTGACAATTGTAAGAAATTGTATCCAATGATTCGTGATATATTTAAATATAAAAAGGAAACTGTGGTGCACGTATTATTATATATTTGCTACTTTTATGGTACAAACGATTGCTTCGAAATTACCAAATGCGAAAGATCATTATAGATATGTTATGTTGTCACATGAAGTAGAGGTTACGTTTGAGATGCATTTTCAAAAACTAATTTATGATTATCAAATAAGACGGTCACGTTTGTGCTTGTTATTTGTTATAAAGTAATATCATAAGTCATTGATGGAGAAATAAGTTATCGATTCGAAATTTCTATGACATATTGACGATACTGCGATACGATGCCAATGTCCAATTTATGCTGCGTGGTATGTAACATAAATCTCGATGTTTCGTCCTACGTGAATATATTTTGCACATCCTTACCTCGGAACGGAGAATCGTTAGCAAATTTTTTATCGAAAGTGCTTCACATACCTGTTCCTGAATCAAACGATTCTTATATCTGTTTACAATGTTACAATCTGTTCCAAATGTTGGAACAAGCACAGAAGACTGTTTTAAACATACGTTGTGAAATTTTGAAGATATATCGTACTACGGAAAGGAGAAAAAATATAAAGCAATCGGTGAATAACAATGTGAACTTGAATTTAAGCACAAGCATAGTCTTAGAAGAAAGCAAGTTAGATGTAAATAATGACGAAGAACGCATAAAAGGAGGCACAAATTCGCAACCCTTTCAAATCAACGAAACGACAAAACAACAATGTATTCAAGACAAAGTAAACAGGCAAATAATAAATCTTCGGAACATAGATCGCGATGTTAGTACAAAGTCCAGTGCAAATCCAAAGAAGGAATTAAAAAAGAAAATTACAGACTGCGCTGAAATAGATAATATAAACTCGTTTGATTGTAGTAAAAATGAGATTTTAAGACACGATACGTTTCCTAATCCGATTGCATTAACCGATAAGAACAATGTGTATAGTATTAGTTCTTTGCAAAGTAATATGTTTAATTTTAAGTGGAAGGAATTAGACGAAAATGTTACAGAAGTAGAGGTGAATACAGAAAGTACAACAGGTAATAAAAATTCTATCTGTTAATTAATCGAATTTCAAACGGTACATTTTTAATTATGTAAATGTTTATGTGTATGTAGCATCAAAAATTGATCAGCCGAATGTTCCCATAAAATCAGGGAAAGTATCAAAATGTAATTTAAAACCATTGAAATATTCTTGTTCCACTTGTGGTAAAAGATGGAAGACGTCGGCTGAACTAAAAACGCATATAAAAACTCACTCTACGTTGAGACCGTATATGTGTGAAAAATGCGGGCAAGCGTACAAACATAAACATGCATTAGAGATACACGTGGGAATGCATAATGGAATAAATCCATTTCAATGCAATTTCTGTAATAAGTGTTTCACGCAGAAAGGAGCGCTTATGAGACACTTGCCGATGCATACTGGTGAAATGCCTTACCAATGCGAATTATGCGGTAAACGATTTATACATCATACGTCGTACAGCATGCACAGATTATCACATAGCGGAAAGAAATCTTACAAATGCCATGTGAGTAGTATTAGTGTATTTTGTAATTTTTTAAGTAGAAGAAACATTTCGAGTAATAAATTATATAAGATAAGGCTCTTAAAACAGGTCGTCCGAATGAATTTTGTAAGATTACTTAATACATTGCAGATGTGTGATATATCTTTGCTTTCAACGTCTCATTTGAAAAGACACATGCGAGTTCATACGGGCGAGAAACCATATAGTTGCACATTATGTGGGAAACGTTTCGCCGAACGATATAATTTGTTCGCGCATCAAAAAATTCACGATCCGTTTGAAAATAAAACGAAGAATATCAACGAAACGCAATACCAGTAAGTATAGGTATTGACAAGATACTTCACCCAGCTATTAATTGTTATATTTATATTCTAATTAGTTTTATTTTAGATGTAATCGTTGTAACTTGGTGTTCGAACAAAAGCAAACTTTGAGCGACCATTTAAAATATCACACTGATACAGGAACCGAGTTTGATCTAAAAAAATCATATTCGGTCTTTCCGGTTCAGTCGGAAATTAAAGAATCACCAAAAAAAATGAATTCTGAACATGGTGTGCTGCCGCAAACGTGGATTGAAACGAATCATTCGAAATTAGATATCATCGATAATCAAACGAAATTTGTGCTCCTACAGAATCCTTTACCTGAGATCAATGAGAGCTCCTTTGCGGTCACGTTCAACGAACAAAAACTATCTGTGGAAAGTACAAATTATAATACGAGTTTACAGGTAATTATAGAATCATCAGATACGTCACTTTTAAACAGTAATCTTCCTTCCATCGATAAAACGCACATGTGATCGAGCAATAAAATATAATGAAAATGTTAATATAAAAAAAAAATAATGTTAAGCGATCAATTTTAGCGTTTAAAGAGTAATATATAATTCGTTTCTTCGATGCGTCTAACAAGATAGTTTTGTTCAACTAAATGTATTAACTTACGTGTTTCGTATTTTTTCTTCGTTTCGTATATAGTTTTCTCAATATGCATTACATCCACAAAGATGTATAAACTAATATAACTAAGTAGAACAATAATAAGTACGTATTTTTAGAAGTTCGTGTTATAATTGAGAGTTCCTTACGCAAAAGTATTTTTGACAAAATGTGTTCATTCTACATATAATTAATTGCTATGTACCAACGAAACTGTTATTAATAAAATACAGTAAAATGATCAAACGTATAACGAATTGAACTAATTTTACGTTAGACACATTTACACGTTCATTATTTATTTATTCTACGACAGGAATGAAAAGTACAGAATGATTAACGATAATATAAAGAACAAAGATCATAGTTAATTTTATATCATCTGACTAGGCATTAAATCTTTCCACGAAGTAACACCATAGGCTCTCAATAAAGTTTTCCGTTGCATTATTGGTGTCGATAATGACCTATAAATTTATCAAAATAAAGAATTGTAACAATTAGTAAGCAAAAGCCGATAACTTACTGTCTTATTTCATCAACAACGGTGTTAATCATTGCGGGAACAGTAACTTGCGACAAATGCTCGATTTCAGTAAAAGACTTGGGCTTTTCGGTCGAGTGGTTTGTATGCACTTTATAAATAAAATTAATCAATGCATTAAATGCTTTAGGATAGTCATCGGTTAGCAGCTGTAAAATAATTACAATTTAAAAATCGTACACGTAAAAATTAAAAAAAAAACTAAGAATTATTACCACCAAATAGAAAAATCCTGGCTTGGTCGCATGATGATTCAAATACATTTCCCTCGTTTTTATCACAAGCTCGGTGTACAATTCTTTCAAGTGTTCTGGTTTTTTTGTTTCCGAAAACTGTCGAGTTGAATCAGCAAATAATATTATTTTGTATAGACAATTTTATTCACAATATATTTTCGAATAGATACTTGATCTACGTCCGTCTCTTCGCTAGTTATCGATTCGCTATGATCTTCCGTGGCAAAGTATTCTGCATCAGATAGTAATGTACTTCGACGATGTATCATTCTTTCCTGACGTCTTCTACGTTTTAGTTCTTCATCCTCGACTATGAGATTCGAACTTTCGTCTAAAATTACCTATTCGAGGATGCAGTAATTGTTATACATTCAAATAATAGCAAGTAAATTCTTACTCTTAATTCTGTCTGGTTATCAAATTTAATTTCAAAATTTGAATTGAAAAGTTCTCTATTCGAAGTTTCTATCTCGTGAAATTTTATATATTTTTTTTCCCCCGTTTCTGTTTCGTTCGTTGTTATCTCATTATGTGTGATTGAATTATTTTTTAGCATATCGGATGTTGTTACATCGTTGTCCGGTTCTTTCATAGATATATTGTTCGAAGATATTGGAAGCCCATCTACAGTCTATAAATGAAACTGATTAGAATCGTAATTATCTTATTATTAGAAAAATATAGGAATATTGACAAGATTGTTTGCAGTGTTCGTAGATTCCGTAGTATTTTCTTCCGTATTTTTGGTTTCATTTTCAGCCAGTGAATCTTCTGTGCTATTCTTATCGCATATATAAACGTCAAACTTCTCTTGTATCCAATTACGATGTACTTGTTCGGTTTTCGTCAATACGAGAATTGGTTTAATATTAAAATATCGCTTACTCATTTGTAAGGTCGCGTGTAAATCCATTTGCGTGATACCAATTTTATTCTCCAATATCAACGAAACAATTTGATTATGATCTACGTAAATATACGATACAATCACAATTGGTAATCAAGTATACATAAATTGTCGTATATAAAAATACTTGAAACGAACGAAACCCATAACTATTCCCTAATTGTTCCTGGATCGCTAAAAATTCACCACGACGAGACATATCGTTGAAGTCTTCTCTGTTTGTAAATATATAGGACCGATGTAAAGTCTCACTGTCCTCTGGCTCTTTTGTAGTATACCACTGACAGTGTTTTATCTGAGGTAAAAAATTCATTTTTTATAAAGTGATTAAAAATGAATTACAAATTAACTTGAATATTACTTTGTTTGGCAGCGTTTGAGCAATGTGAATAGCTAAGGATGTTTTCTTCACTGCGGATGGACCTGTTAGTATTATCAAAGGCGGGCTTGCTTCGTCGTACGGTTTCACGTGTAAATCAATTTTGGGCATGCTTAATTGTTCCAACAAAGTTAATTTTGTGACTGTACGGGCAGCTATTAAATTCACTGGTGGAGCAAACAGGGTCGCAGCAGCAATCTACTCAAATTAATTTTTCATATTACATTAGAAATTATACACCATTAGTTTTTCATTACATACTTTTTCCGAGATTGTTACAACATCGCCATCGATTATCTGTATGCTCGGTACAGAAAATAAAAGCACACCTTTATAATTAGGCCACATTGTACAGCCGTTGCCCCTAAGGTCTATTTCATCTATGAAACCTTTAAAATTTGATAATTCTAATAAATCGGCAATCCTATTGAATTTCAAATCTATTACGCGCAAATTGTATCCATCCTAAATATTCAAACAATGATTAGGAATTATAATTTACTTGTGACCGATTAAAAATTATTACTTTGAAGAATTCCAAATTAGATATCTTGTTGTATCCTAAATATATCGCTCGCAAATGGGGTATCGTGTTTATGTTGTTACCAGGCACAGCAGATTTAAACGATGTGATACAATTACCTTCCAAGTTAAGTTCTTGAATATTCAATTTATCTAAATTCTCGATACACTCGATTAAATTATACGACAAATTTAAATACTTTAAATACCTACGAAAATAATACGTAACATGGAAAGAATATCTATTTTTTCGACGCACGGAAAAATGCACTAACTTTAAATTTTGCAGACCAGAAATTACTTCGATTGCATTATGCGATAAGTCCAGGTGTACGATGCTCCAAAAGTTGCTGATATCGCGCATTTCTGATATGTAATTATATGATAAATTCACATAAGTCAAATACCAAGGAGGCGTGAAATTTAAAATAGTTTTGATTCTATTATGCGTTAGATTTAGATGCATTAAATAGGGAACTCCCCCCAAAGGAGACAAATTAGAAATATAATTGTATGCTAGATCGATGTACCGTAAATAACGGTGACAATACAACATCGTAATGTTCGTAAGCGACTGTAAAAAAATTATTTAAAAATTACTTTTCTTCTTTCCAAGCATAAGACTCTATCGATAAAAGTAATAAAGAAATACCATATTTCTCATGATACATTTATTCAAAACGTATAGACCGTTTTCGGGTGATTTGACTAAAAACGATGATCCAATTCCTATTAACCTGTCCGTTAAGAAGCCACAAAATTCTAAATCGTCAAGCAATAATTCTTTAAGGTGCCTCAATTTTACAATATGTGCTTTATCGTCGTCCCATGAATCAGCATCCAAAGCATAACTAGCCCAATCGCTTTCGTTCGCACAGTGTATCGCGTCTACATTTATTGGTATTGGCATATAATCAAGCTTGGCCGAAGAACTAGACTTTAAAAATAAAAGAATTGTGAATTTTATTATGCTACGAAGCGGAACGAACTTTTTATCGAATGGTAGTTACGCTGGTGGTGGAAGAAGCAGTTGAAGAAGCAGTTGAAGCAGTTGAAGCAGTTGAAGCAGTATCATCGGATAAAATTTCAAACGGTACGTATCTATCTTCCAAGGATCCCCAACTGAGATTACTATGGGATAATATATCGGAATCAACTTCATAAACGTCTTCGACATAATTCTTAGATGATTTTTCTTTTTTAGGAAGAATTGTGTTGATTGCATTCGGTTCGAATAAAGATGGTACGGAGGAAAAAAGGTACGGAAGCTGCAATTACAAAAAATTTATAGTAATCCATAGAATTCGTAGTAAAGTACAATATTACCTGTTTATTGCTCATTTCTGTGTGCAAATTATTAACAATTCTTCTCTAAAATAATTTCTTCCGGTAAAACTTTCAAGTAATCTTCATATATTAATAAATAACATTTTCTATTTCAGTTGTTTTGTAACAGTTGAATATTCTGATAATATACACGGTATATTAAAAATCTTCCACATATTATAAGAATAATTTTACCAATACATTAATAATAATTATTATAGATTAGTTACTAAGGTTTTTAAAGCTGTATCCGATAAACGATAGTGATGCCATCCTTCTTCTATCGTTAAATCAATCGCCCCTTTGTTTTTATAAAAATGTTGAGCAGGATTCCATTTAAGAACCGAGAAATCTAATCTGCAACACTTGTTGTCCGTTGCTTCCTTTACAAATAATTCAAAGTGCATTGATGAATATCATAAGTTCAAATAATCTTTTATAATTCAAGATACAAACCTTAGCAACGGCTTTCAAAAGTTTACTGCCAATATGCTTCCCTCGGTAATCAAAAGTTACGTAAATATCTTCCAAATACATGGCTTTCCCACACCATGTTGAATATGTGTAATATGAAATTGTATATCCGACTATATTGCCATTTACTTCCGCCACATAACATACGTACAACGGATGTTCTGTGTCAAATCCATCTTTTTCTAGTGCTAAAATCATCATTTACAGTAAACAAACTATTGCAAATGGCTTAATGTGTAACTTTTAAATAAAAAATGTTTAGTATTGAATCCTTACTCGTGTGATCAATTTTTGGTCCATCAGGCATTTTCTCAAAATTAGCTAATTCCTAAAAGAATCAAAAATTTCAAATAACATGTTCATAATTTATATTCACGCACTAAATAATTACATTACGTTTACCTGTATCAAATTTCTAATTGAAACGCAATCATCACGCTTTGCTTTACGTATTATAACTTCCATGTTTGTCAACAAAATAAATGTGTTATTATGGAAGAATTAACCCAATATATCGTGTGCATTTTAACAGAAAAAAAGTCAAATCTTCATCAAGGCCGTCAAGGGTCAAGTAACACACTAATACTCTAATATAGGTACACATTCGTATTTGTAAAAATTTTTAAAAACATTCTAAACAAATTTGAAAAAGAATTGAATTTTGTGTAAGATAATTAAATAAACTGTTTTTCTATTTTCTTTAATAGAAACATAATTGAACGAGATCTTATTCGTTGCATAGTTAAACCTGTTTAAACCATAACAATAACAACGTGCACGTGAAATAAATGTAAATGAAGTCAAAATCAAATTGGACTATTTATTAATTGAAAGACATAATTTATTCAACAAACAATTACATAAACATTGTTAAATCGTTTTATACGATTTGAAATTTTCGCGGTACGTAGTATCGAATTCTTGTAGCGAATGGAGACTTATTTCCGGTTATATATGACGATCCTTCCTGCACCGAATCGCATCATTTCAACCGTTTGTATATTCACTCGCGTTCGGTACGTCGTGTGATGTTATTGTGCGCGGTCTGTGGTGACGTTCGAAAATTAATTCGGATTATTAAATCGCGATCCTCGTGTACTTTACATTGAAAGAGATACAGAGAAACAAAGAAAAAATGTCAGAGATTGACGCGAAAGTGAACATGTCGCTCGGTAAGTGGCCAGAGTCTCGAAAATCTAGCGGTTTCGCTGATAATCCCGGGTGAGCGTACGGCTACTGTTTCTTCTTTTGCACAAATTCAATATGGCGACGAATATCATACAGCGTAGATATCCACAATTTATTTTCATTCGTTTACGCTCGACGATAGATTTCGGAAAAATATAGAAATAAAAAGTACGTCCCAGCAACGAGCCAATTTTAACAGGATCGTTCGTCTCCCTAATTAACTCTTAAACAAAAGCTGTCGCATATTAATCGATGTTTACGGGGAAGATGGTGGGACTTTTTCGATCGCTGGAAGAGAAGAACGTTCTCGCAAATTTACGATGTGTTCAGCAACGTGTATAACGATGTACGCATTCCTTTAAAAAAAAAATTTTAATAAAAAGAACAGAACCATTTAGTTCGACCGTGTTCTTGCACAAAGTTAGATACGTTTCTACTATTCAGCGAAAGATCGTGAAAAAGAAGAAAAGTAACAGCCGCCACGATGGATTACGAGTTTTATGGGAGAGAGTACAGCGGTTCACATAGAATCGATCGAACGATTTGTCTTATTGAATGGAAAATTGACGAACATGAACCGGGACACTTTTGGACGCTGCCGCAAGCAAGTTGTGACTCACGCTTCACAAAAAGAAGTCAACTTTCTCGTTGCGTGGGATATACGTTTGCGTAACTTTAGTTATATTTTTATCTCTGCTATCATGTTCCTCGAGTTTCTCTTCCTTCGTGTAATGGATTTGAAGTGCTACACCGTACGTGAGACAGAACAAAAATGCTGAATTGTTCAAATGAATTTTCTTTTACCTTCAGCACGTAATGTTCTTTACGGCATGCAGTATTTGCGAAAGATCACACTCACCATTGAATCAAACTGTTTAATTCCTTTAAGAACAAAAGCATTAGTACGTACACGGTGAGCATGCGTAGCTCAGGAAAATTAATTTTCACGGTCGAACATGTTTTCTTCGCCATGCAAAAAACATGTATCAAAGACGATAAGATTTCTGACAAAAATTGAATTATTTCTGAAGATCCAAAGAAATATTTTCTGTCAACAAAAAAAAGACTAATTAAAAACATTCAACCAACTCTATGCATTTAAACAATAAGCATAGATAAATTTGTAATTAAGCCCTGCCTGCAAACAAATAATATTTCTTAGTAAAAATAAAAGTTAAACACAAAGTCAGTATTGATTTTTCATAACCAGGATCAAGATTCGCAAGATACATGTTCAAGCAAATGAAAAGTCTATAAAATTTTGCCCAATGGCAACACAACTATGGAAAAGTTGTAGATAATTACAGCTGCTTTTATCTATGCGATGAGTTTTATGGGTAAAAAATTCAGAAATAGAAAAAGATAATTATATTCCAAGATGTATGATGTTTGTCAGAAAACTAATATTATTCCTGCATAGTTGCTCGATTACAACATTTTTATGATAAATCGTTAAATTGATTATATATCGCACAAACATCGATATAATCATTTTGATCACTTTATGATAAAAGAAGATAAGATGTCGGGAGTAGAGAAAGAAAATAAAAAGGTTGACGAGTCAGGAATCAAATAAAACATATATGAACGAAAATATAGAATGTACAATTGGAAATGTGTTTGGTCGTTGCAACACTGGATATTGAACAAGCATTGATATAAGTGTAAGAAGAACTTCTAATACGCAAGGAGACAATGTGTGTATAAAGTGTTTAAGATACTTATAAATTAAGACTGTTGGAAGAACAAAGAAAAACCAAGTACAAACCGAGATGAGAAACCCTTAAAAGGAAATCTGCGAAACACAAAGGTTCATAAACTCGAACAAAGAAGAACAAGAAAAAGCTCGATGTGAATGAAGATTTATTACAGATCATACATTTTCTAACGAAATAAATTGTTTTTGCTTACTGTTGGCTGCAATACGAACTGAAAGTACATTTCTTGTATAATCAGTGGCGACACATTGTGGAAAAGTATATGAAAATGCTGTTGGTTTAAAGAAACTTATACGCTCATACCTATATGTATTCAGTTTACGTGAAACAGTAGTATTTTAAAACATTAATTGCTTATTATTTATGGGATTAGATTGATAAACGAATTTGTAATTTTTAAGTTAGAGTAGTATATACTTGATTTTTATCATTGCCGTTAATATTATTATTTATTTTTATATTATCATTAAAGAATTAATAGTATATTTTGAACCATTCTTAAGGGGTTGAGAAAATCTACTAAGGCACAAGTAATAGACATTGAGAGTCCCAAGTTAATGTTTTGATATATTAAATTTAAATGTGTCGATATATATATAACTAAAAAAAACCATATCCAGTGAGATTATTTTAAATATACATACGTATTGGAAGAAAATCAGGGAAATGGCTAATGAAAACAAAACCAATTTCCTTAATGAAAATAGAAACAGAGTTTGTTGTCTTAAGTTATCCTTCAGTGTCGTCCATACAGGAGGAAATTTTTCACACATTCCAGATTAAAGCTTAACCACAAATTAACTTTCTACGCTAAGACCGTACGCTCACTAAACATTGTGAATTTTCTTCCTTTTAAGATGAAATCATAAAGATGGAGAAAAAGGAGAAAAAGAAAAAGGCTGGGACTGCCACTGGAAAAACTGGCGCTAAACGCACTCGAGGTAGTGCACGAGGACGGAGTGGAGGACTTAGGGGTAGAGGTGCAAGAGTAAAGCGTAATGTTGGAACTAATAAAAAAGAGCAAACATGGCCAGCTGGACAAAACAATAATAACAATGTGCACGGTGGTTTTGTAAGGAAACGATATAAGAAAAATAACGGTCTCGTTAGATCACGAAGCAACTTGGTTTTGAATCAGAAATCGAACACACGAGGAGCATTTAATATTCGTCGTGGTCGAGGCAATAGATTTGGTTTGACGCGTAGTAGAAGTCGCACAAACTGGACTTTTACTCAAGGCGGACTCTTCACAAATAATAAAACAACGTTGAAGAGAACAAACAGTCTGCCAAATTTGCGCGACCCAACTTCGGTTCATAATCGATTAGGATATCAGAGTCCTGCCCAAATTGCTTATCGAAATCGTGTTAAAAGAGCAAAACAATTATTATTGCAAAGACAGAATCAGAGATTATCTCTACAAAACCAATTCAGAGTAAGTATTAATGGCGTAAGGGAGAATGTTGTAAAGTCGTTGTAGGTCGAACAGAAATTAGAGTAATTCTTTTGTTTCAGGTACCACCAGCTGGAAAATCTTTGTTGTCGCTTCAACAAAGAAGTGCTATGGACAGAAGACAACAAATTTTAACATCCCAACGCCGCTTTACTACCGGCGGATTACGTTCAGATCAAATTGCCCGTGCACAGAGACGCGTACAATATGAACAGAAATTGATGAGAATGAAGTATGATTGAAACCCCTTTTTTAGAATATACAATTACAAATTATTTATAAAGCAATTTATGAGCAATATGATATATGTTAGGGTAGCAGACGTTTCTTTACTTTCAGAAAAACGTTCTTGAATGTCTTATTTTCCTATTTCATATTTATATAATATAATTGTCGATGTTACAATGTGTTATTACTTAATAATCGAACCAATGAACCTTATTTTTATTAATTTATACAAACAATGTTGTAGTTCTCCACGATTAAATACTAATTCAAATGTGAACTTCATGTGTACGTTGGGGAATGAATATAACCCTAGCACGCATCAACGCCCACTTACTCTTGCACCGAGTCGAAATGGAAATGCTGTGAACAGTTTGCGCCAGCTACCAAGAGGACGTTCACCTTTCAGACAAAATGTACAAAGTTTAAATATGGTATGATATTATTGATCGAATTTTCTATTTACACATGGACTAATTTAGAAAAATAACATTTGTATTTATAGATTGCCATATTTCAATATTTGGTTCCACCATTATGTTTTATAGTCGATCGTGGATTTTAATTCTGTATTTTGTTTTGTAATGAATTATTTTTCTAAATAAATTTTTCGTTTTAGGTTGGTCGAGTGCCGCTATTTGGTCAGCAACGTTCAAGGTCAAGGTCACGTTCCCGTTCTCGCACACGTAACACTCCTTCGTCAGATGCAAGAGCCGACGTCGACGATCGTATTTTCAGCGAGGTCATGTACAGCTTACCTGGAAATCTTGGTGTCACAGGAAGAACGCTGAACGATAGATTTACATTTTGAATTTAAAAAAAAGAAGATTTGTTTTGTATTTAGAATATAAGATTGTTGAGGCCAGAAGTGAAATTTTATGCTTAAAACATAGGTACAAGAAGCAATTCTGTTCTACAAATTATATTAATATTTAAGTTGTGTCACGCGAAGAAAGAAAAACAAAACTCCGTTTCCTCGAACCTGTTCGATCTTATTTTGTATTTCATATTTTAAACGGTATGAAAATTATTTTTAAATCATAGAGCGTAGATCAGCTATGTTTTGAATATATATTTCAAAGTATTAAATGCATCGAATTTTTAATAAATTCAATACTTGCATTATCTTTTATTTCTAACAATACTTTGACGTTTTACTAAGATTTTATGTGCTAAAATTGTTCTCTGTTTCTTCCCATATTTTTGTTTCCGTTTAATAACAAAATTGTATTTGCGTTTATGTAATGAAATAGTGAGATACTTTTTTTTTTTTTTTTTTTTAATTTATTTTGAATATTTGAAAATATTAATTTTTCGGTTAACGTATACGGTAATATTATTTAATTTTGTACAAAATTTGATTGTAACTAGATTATTTCGGAATTACGGCGGCTATAATATCTTTAATGAAATTTTAATAGTTTATGGAAAAATGTGGCCTCAATAACATTTTTTTGGTCCATAAAGTCAAATTTACATCCCAGGCGCGAAGTATAATAAAGAGTAATTAAAAGGAATGAAACGCTCTAACTGCCTACGAATTATCAGACTCTTAGGAATCTCGTTGAGGACATAGTTCCTAAGATAAGCGTACGTCTGACTTCCGTAAGAAAATAATTGTTATCTTACCAAGTGGTATTAACGCAAGAGTGACTCACATTTGGAGCATATTGAGTTATTATATTATATCCGAACGTGATACCAATGAACTATAAATAATACATATAATGTAGCAATTTTCATTTCTGTTATAATTATTTGGTAACTATAAGCGCTTGTAAGGAAATCATTGTAATCGGATTATACATATATGTACAATGTAAATTGACTTTTTATGTTTTACTATATTAACATAATTTAATACATGTATCTTCTACGCATATAAAGAGAATAGAAAGATCGCACGTTTACTACAATAATACAAAAGTTGAATTTAATGAGTGGAATTACTTTCCCGTTTATTAAATTTCATTATTTTTTTTCAGCGAGTTCGTTATAATTTGCAAACCTCACGTATCGAGTAATAATGCATTCAAAATTTGTAACGTGACGTTTTTACCAAACTAGACAACTTTTGTGAAATTTGTACGAGCTGCGTCGTTTTATTAGTTAAATATAATCATTTATACATAGCTTGGTATTATCTGTACAAAGCGGTATCGATTACTCGTAAATATGTGCACTTATCACTGTATTAAAACAAAGGGGCACACATATTCAGCGTTCATTGCCTACTTAATCGACTTCACGGTTGCATATACATAGTGAAATTTTTCTTAAATATGCACGCTGAAAGTTTTATATAATGGATGCGCAAACAGGATTCTTTGTAAGATTAATAAAAGACGAAGCGTTACTTCATACATTTTCACGAAAGCAAATTTTCTACGCGAACGAATTGAACACAATATTGCGTAAATAAAATTGTTTAAAATTGATTATCGAAATGTCAAACAAAATATCGTCGTTGATATCATGTTGTGGTCAGACAATAAAGAGACAGGTAGATATTTACATATTTTAAGTAGCTAAACAATTATTGGTTTTTATCAATAAGTCAAGACAACGTTACTTTAATTATTGATAGTTTGAAAAATTTGTTTCAGTTATTAGCTCGTACGTCTATTTTTACTCAACAAACTCGACACATGGAAGTTCACGAACACGTTGCGTACACTTTATTGAAAAAAGCTGGAATCCCAACTCCGCCTTACGGGGTAGCTAAAACGCCAGACGAAGCTGCTAAAATAGCCAAAGATCTCAATACGAAAGACATTGTTTTAAAAGCACAAGTTCTTGCCGGAGGTCGTGGAGTGGGACACTTTAAAGGCACCGACGTCAGCGGTGTTGTTATGTGCGAAACGTGAGTTTTATGAATCAAAATTAATACTACTACTCTCATTTTTAAAAGAGCGTTCCGTTTCAAATGTATTACAAAATTTCAATCTTATCTATAGCCTTTAATATTTTTAGTCCAGAACAAGCAAAGACTCTCGCCAGTAATATGATAGGCAAACTGTTAATAACTAAACAGACTGGAGAGGCTGGAAGAATTTGTAATTCGGTAATGGTAACGACCCGTATGTTCCCTCGCAAAGAATATTACCTTTCGGTCATGTTGGAGACCAGTTACGACGTGAGTTTATTGACCATATTTACCTGAAACTTATTGTCTTTACCACAATCATTGAATTTATTACATTAATTCAGGGTCCTGTTATAATTGTATCGAAACAAGGCGGCGTGAATATCGAGGACATCGCCGCCTCGAATCCTGAAGCCATAACGTATATACCAGTTAACGTCATGAAGGGTTTAACGGCCGAACAAGCGGATCTTGTCCCGGATAAATTAGGCATAGAGGGGGAGGAGAAAGATATAGTCTCGATAATTGCTTGCAATCTGTACGAATTATTTATCGAGACGGATGCTTTGTTACTTGAAATAAATCCATTCGCATTGGACATTTGCGGGGAATGTACGTCCATAAAGTATAATTAACTTTCGTCCAATGGGGGAACTCACGTTTAATATGATACGTGTCGTTTATTTCCAGATCATGCCTTGGATTGTAAATGTTCCTTCGACGATAGCTCGGAATTCAGACAAAAAGAATTATTTGCTCTACAGGACTTGACGCAACTCGATCCTAGGGAGGTGCAGGCGAACAAATTTAATTTAAGTTACATAGGTCTAACCGGGAATATAGGCTGTATGGTAAATGGAGCTGGATTGGCAATGGCTACCATGGATATCATAAAACTGTACGGCGGTATGCCGGCGAACTTTCTAGACGTGGGTGGTACTGCCACAGCAGAAACTGTGAAAGAGGCTTTCCAAATAATAATCGCCGATCCAAAGGTGTTTGAAACATGTAGATAGTAAATATTACGTTTGTTAATTTTTTTCTAAAGATATACATATATATGAATTCATTACTATCGTTTAATTGTTATCATGATATAACATTATCATCTCATGTTCAAGTATGATAAGAAAAGATAAACTTTGATATATTTGATAAAATAATAATATAAGTATGTTTTATGACAAGGTTTAAACTGAACATAAGCATTGGCACGCTTAAAGTACTATGCTTAAAGTGGTTTTGACAAGAATGTCTCTGTATCAATACTTATGTTTACCACTGTATGTATGAAATTTATTTTGCTAATTTTCAGGTAGAAGCTATCTTCGTTAATATATTTGGTGGAATTATGAGATGTGACATAATCGCGCAAGGAATCATCTCTGCAACCAAGGACTTGAAGATGTCTGTTCCAATAGTCGTAAGACTGCAGGTAATTTATTAACGGTGTCATAAAAAGTGTCATAAAAAATGACAAATTTTGTTTTATTGTTTTTTTTTTTACTTCCTGCTTAGGGGACCAACGTGGAAGAAGGGAAAACGTTGATACGCGACGCGCAGTTAAAAGTTATTTCTGTGGACGATTTTTCCCAGGCAGGTGAAGCAGCCGTAAAGTTGGCATTAATGGTGAACGTATCAAATTCTTTAAATTTAGACATTTCTTTCACGAGTAGAGAAAAATCTGACAAGAAATCGAAAAGCTCGAAATAGGCCCTAATTCTTTTCTATACTCGCGTATTTTCTATCCATCATTTTTAAACATATAATCCCTGTACGCTCATTTTCATATTTTTAATTCTTTTTTTTTTACTCGTACGAGCAACGACGATTTTAAAATCGAAATCAAGTATTTCTTACCTATTTTGCACCTTTTAACTTTTAAAAATTTATATAAATATAAATATATTTGTAAAAAATAAATACTTTTCTTTGAATTCATAGCGTAATAATTTATTCCGTTTTTTGGAGTTAGTTTTGTACTTGGTCGTAAAATTCAAGTAAACGAAATTAACGTTTCGATCTCAATCTTTGCGAAATATCTAATCTCGTAGCGATTTTATGAACACTAAAATGAGCGAGAGAGAAAAATACTATTTTATTTGCAATATCTCGAAGACGAAGATATTATATTATTTGATATAAATGTACAGCTCAGTTTAGTGAAGTGAATGCAAATAAAATAATATTTTCAATTCGTAACAAACTGCAACTACATACTTAAAGTACTTGACGATTAAGAACAAAGTATGCTTATTCTGTTTTTTCGCCATTCGATCAAGACAATGTTATTTGAATTCCTAGATATGTATTGACTCGTTATCGTTAAAATACTATTTTCATTTCGTTCGCTTTGCATATCCATTTGAAATAATGCTTGAATTGTGCAGAAAAGTGGTGCCGCCACCGCGGCTCATCGTGCGCGAGTTTGCGTCATGTTTTTACAGGAAACGTCAAGAAAGGTGGGGACATGAAGGCGCAGCTTACACTTGGCAGTCCACTGCCACTGCTTTACTAAGATGGCTACCATGTTATCGCGGACTGTCTCACTCGTTGAAAATCTTGCCCGATTCAACGGGTCGAAGGTACGTGAAAAACAAGTTGTTCCTTATATGCCAATATTTAATTCGTTCGCCAATATTCCTCTGAAAATGTTCCCTTTAGTTTGCATATCTCGAAATTTAACGGTTCTCGCATCGATGATTTGTAAGAAGGGTGGCCACCATATTAGATCTGTAGTCTGCTAAATTGGGCGCCAGGGTCAGACGATTCGAAGCCAAGGATCTTGGCCTTCCACGAAACGTATCTTTTTTCACGAAATCTGTATTGACAATTACGCAATACGAAAGTGGGCATTTCCGTACTCGTTCGTTCATTCATCGGTCGATGACTCTGAAACGTTCGTTCATATTTGATTAACAGTTATCGAATTACGTCGGAACGAAGACAACTTGTCAAACTATCGGGAACTGTCATACTCCTTGGAAAATACGAAATTCGAACGATCGAAGAGTAGTTTCGTCGTCGATTGTTTTCACCTCTCTTCCCTTTTCGCTTGTAACCATTTCCGTTGTTTTTCTTCCCTTTTTTTTTTATGACTGTTCTTGTCAAAGTCTCTTCTATTTTTCATAATTGCGATGTCTCGTACGTTGCTTGTCCGTTTGTTTTCATACGCTATACAGTTATCAAAGACAAAACAATTTATAGATGACCAGGATTGAATGAAAAGTATGTGGGTCATTACCATTGATTGGTCTTTGAGTTCAGATTATTTTTAAATCTTGCAGGCCAAGGCCTCAAAGTTTCTGAACTGTCAATAATAGTGCATTAGATCACTTTAACTCCCCTCCTTTTCGCGCACGAATACCGTTTTATGTATTGCAAAGCTTATTTTAACGAACATTATATGTAAATATTTACGATAAAGGCATACTTTGATGTTACCTAATTACGTTTAGTAAGCTGTATACAAGAACTAATTATCTAATCTTATAATATACTGGCTTTTGTGCACGGCTTCGCTCGCGTGAATGTCGAATAAAGAAAATTCGTTCAAATTAATCGTACTTTACATTAGAGCGTAAATTTAAATTTATTTTCACTTTATTTTTTTCTTTCTATTATTACGAAATGTTCGATATAAAAATTCTTTAAGTTACGACGGAATAAACAAGACGAACAAAAATTCTAAAGATACGTCTTTAAATTTCGATATCACTAGCGCGCTCGAAAGAAATCGATTATTCAGGAAAATATCAAGTTACAAAAATGTCCTTGTGAGATTTATTTGTATCATAATCATCAATATAAGTTCAACTTCCGTGGCTATAAATAAATAGCTCATATCTATTATTCTCTCTCTCCCTCCCTCTATATATATATTGGTTTATATAATTGTTTATTTGCTGTTAATAAGTTGTTACACTATTATATTTAATTACTAGTTAATTTTTTTCTTTTACACAGATATTAGGATGCAAAACCAACTTAGTAAAGCAACCAGTAAGGAATTTAAATGTACACGAACACATCAGTTACAGCCTGCTAAATGAAGCTGGAGTGCCGACTCCTAAATTTGGAGTCGCCAAAACTCCAGACGAAGCTGCAAAGCTTGCTGCCGACTTGAAATCCAAAGACATCGTTTTGAAGGCACAGGTTTTAGCCGGTGGCAGAGGAAAGGGTCATTTTAAAGACAGCAACGTTAGTGGTGTAAAAATGTGTGAAACGTAAGTTCCATAGTACGCAAAAGTGTGATTGTACTGATAATAAGTACTATTTGTGTTTCGTTCGCAGGCCAGACGAAGCGAAGAAGTTAGCGAGTCAAATGTTAGGTAAATTGTTAATTACTAAACAAACTGGTGAAGCGGGTAGGATATGCAACGCGGTAATGGTAACACAGCGTATGTTCCCTCGCAAAGAATACTACCTTGCTGTCATGATGGAAAGAGCCTTTGGTGTATGTTACCAAATGAATATATCCAACGTACAAACAAGTAATCCATATGCCAAAATAATTCATAGTATAATTCCCATAATTTTCCCCAAACAGTGTAAAATTCTTGTTGTTCGACACAATACAAAATGAAGAAAAAATACTTCTTCGTACGAATTTAAATAACTGTTTCACGAATATGAAAAGATTAGTGGATCTCTTATTTGTACACTTGATAATCGAAATAATGAAATTGTAGTTTTTAACTTTCAATTATTCGATTCAAGGGTCCAGTCATAATAGCTTCGAGTCAAGGTGGTGTGAATATCGAAGAAGTTGCGGCAACAAATCCTAGCGCTATAATGTACGAACCCATTGATATCAACAAGGGAATTACGAAACAGCAAGCAGAGCGTATTGCTGTTTCACTTGGTCTACAAAATATGAAAGATTACATTTCAAATATAATTATGAATTTGTATAAACTGTTTTTAAAGAAAGATGCTCTTTTATTAGAAGTGAATCCTCTTGCGGAAGATATTAATGGAAACTGTAAGTGTAGCTGAAAACTGTGTAATTCGTTAATAACTTGTAATATGTATCACTGAAAGGAGAACTTAATTTAATGATGTTTAGATTTCGCATTGGACTGCAAGTGCAGATTTGACGATAATGCAGAATTTAGGCAAAAAGAATTATTCTCTTTGAGAGACTGGACCCAGGAAGATCCTAAAGAGGTCGAAGCTGCTAAATTTGATTTGAATTACATTGCACTCGATGGTAATATTGGTTGCATGGTCAACGGAGCGGGGTTAGCCATGGCTACCATGGATATTATAAAATTGCATGGAGGAGAACCAGCCAATTTCTTGGACGTTGGTGGTGGTGCGTCTACTTCCGCTGTAAAGGAAGCATTTAAAATAATTACATCCGATCCACGAGTAAGTGATCAGTATGTAATAAATTTAGAGGGATTTCGTTATTTAAATAAATATCGATATCTGTTTATACACAGGTTCATGCTCTTTTGGTTAACATATTTGGTGGAATCATGAGATGCGACGTTATCGCAGAAGGAATTATAGCAGCGACTAAAGAACTTGACTTAAAAATTCCTGTTGTTGTCCGATTGCAGGTACAATGTTCACGAATGCTTACAAGCAATTTTCTGTGAATAATAATTTATCCAAAAGAGTATTACATTCAATTATTATGTTGTTTCAGGGTACAAACGTAGATGAAGCGAAAGCTCTAATCGCGAACGCAGGTTTAAAAATTGTTCCGATCGATGATCTCGACGAAGCTGCCCGAGTCGCGGTTAAATTGTCAACGATCGTTAAGTTAGCACAATCTGAAAATCTTAGTGTTAACTTCGAAATACCTTCAATTTCATAGATTTAGTAAAAATTGTAACTTACGCATCAGGAAAATTATGAGAATGTATTCACGCATTGTTAAATAGCTGAAATAACATTTGAAAGTAATAACTAACATTCGTAAACTTCAAATGTCATTTCTGTGCTTATCTCTTTAGAGTATACATCTCAGTGTTTTAAACATTGCCGTGTCAAGTGAAATAGAAAAAGACATCGAATATTCTGGGCAAATTTATATTTACCAAAAGGATACACTTTGTTCTCAGTCTTGTAAATTTAAAATATTAGAAAGAAAATTATGAGGTAATTTGTTCGAATTTGGTGTTGCTTCCTCTCCAACGTAAGCACAAATTCTCTCCCGAGAAGTATATGCAAGCTTCTTGAAGGATATAATTTATTTGCTTACCCCTCGGCGGGTCTCTGTGATTCAGTATTAAAATTAAGTTATACAATACATATTTATCAACATAGCTATATTTTTTGCACGAAAGTGTATACAACATTCTTTCGAAGCTTATATACGTGCTAACAAAATACATAGTTACTGTCCAAAGTGGAATCTTTTGTATAATCATCCACAAAGAAAACAGTTATATTTGAGGTATGTGTCATCTGAAAGAAAATGGCCTGTAAATGTAACATAGAGACATATGTAGTTACATGTATACATATATATATAAATTATTTTACGTAATTTTTGTTTTTTATCGTTTTCATTAATTGAAAATAATGTCCACGTTTTTCTTTTCCCTGAAACACAATATGATTGCGAAATGATAAGATTACACCGTACCGTTAGCATTACAACATAACAGGTTCAGCGATGATGAAATAACTATGACGCGTCAAATGTTTATATTTACATTATACATACTATACATGCCATGTAAGATATAACGTAACGTTCGTAATTTGTTAAAAGTAAGATCATCTATAATCATTGAATGTAACATTATTTTAAGTACAGGGCTGAGCCATTTGGAATAAAACTTTTAAGTGTCCCTCTGACTGCCAAATCCATTGAAAGTATTTTTGCTTAAATAAAATTGTTTCAACGATGATAACACTCTTTTTGAATAAAATTATGCCATTATTACATCTATCATTTATAAACAAATAAAATTTAATTTGTTAAAATGTCGTTTAATCAATAATCGTATCGCTCTTAGCTGGGTCATGCAATTATTAATTAAAATCTAAATAATATTAGCAAATTGGCTGCGATTCGGTTTTAATTTTGATTCTCATTGATTTATCAAAGATTTAAAGTATTGTCAGAGACGAGTTATACGAGTAGATCTTTCATCAAATGAAATTTTTTCGGCCCATTTTTATGGGGTCTCGAAACCCTGTTACCATTTTCGTGTCATTCGCAACGTTACCAACAGATTCAGAAATAAATTTTAATCCCTTCCATAGTCAACTTACATGTATTTATGCACACACTATAGCTGCTGCTCATCAATACTAATTCAGTGAATAATTTCTCAACTGACCGCCATCCATGAGAAGAGTGCCTGACTGCCATACCGACCAGAAAATTCAGAGGTGATTTTAGCGGCCTCTTCTCATGGATGGCGGTCAGTTGAGAGACTCACTGAATTAGTGTGATAGGCAGCAGCTAGTGCATGTAAATGCGTATCAGTTGAAAAGTAGGAATTATTCGCGATTCCTTGACTAGTTAAAGGTGTAAATATTTTGTTAGAAATCAGTCTATCCGTGGTTTCTATCCGAGGCAACGCTCGGGTTCGTAATGCAAGCTTCGTGAGACATCGGAGCTGCCCCCACCCCGCCGCCTGACTCGCGAGCATTGCCGAGCACCGCGAGCGCGGCCATCATTCGTACTTGGACGTCGAGCGTAGCAGAGTTCCGCGACTGAGGTGCGTATTTCTAACCTGTTGATCTTTCCCCTATTACTTCTCGCGTTTTAATTACGATCTCTTGCAATACGGTTTCGATTTGATCATCGCTTAATTATAATAATCGTTTGTGTACTTTAATGCATCGTTATTTCGTTTCTGTTACAGTCTCTTATTGGAATTCGAGATCAAGAAATAATTAAACTTGTTGAAACCTGTCAAGACGTGTCGGTGTTTCACGACCAACGAAGTACGTATTTCTAACCTTTTGCTATTTCCTCGTTATAATCAATCATTGTTTAATTACGATTTAATTTGTATTTTATTTCTGTTGCAGTCTCCGATTGAAATTCGACGCCATGGAAAATTTTATTGCCGCGTAAAGGACACCATAACAGATGGCAGACAAGTCGACAAATTGTAGAGGGAATATTGGTAACATTTAAACAATTATAGCAAAAATTAACATTCATATTAATATTTATACATTTTTATTGTAGCTTCATTAAGTTATTTGTTGCAAGCATGATCTTAATTTTGTAGTCGGTCATTGTTAAGATAAAATATTAAAATCATTAACAAACTTTCTATCTACTTCGATACATATCGAAGTATACAGAAATGGCGTCGGTAGATATTAACGATACATTGGAATAATTTATATTTAACTGTATTCTGATCGCGACTGAATATTTTCGAGTGATATTTATTTAATTGATTGTTTATATTTCTTTCTTTATGAATCGTTGTAATTGCAATTTCCATATATATTTCGATGCAAGTTTCAAGAAACGTAGTAACTGCGTAGTTGGAATATGCTATTACAGCATAAATAACTAACGAACTTTAATTCTTGCAAATTTCGGAATATTTATAAAACTTACGGGATATTCTAACATTCGACAAAGTAAATATAATCATGCTTACAACTCTAATAATGAAACTTAGTGATATAATATTTCTAAATAATTATTTTCGTAGTTAATATTTTGTCGTTGAAATTCTCATTGATCGAGAATATTTCGCCTTCGTGGCATTGATCTTGTACGGGACAAACTATGTATACAACAGTACTAAGTAAAGCAGTGTTTTCGTTGACGAACTCTAGCAAGAAGAAAAACAAAACTCGATAGGCAAAGCACAGACGTGCTTGTTGTATTTCTTGTCTCCTGTCCCTTTCTTTTCAGGACTTTTCTTTCCAGGAAATTTGTTGGCCGAGCGCAATGCGGCCGGTAGAGTCAGTGATCGTGCGTAGCAAACAAGTTTGTTTTTCGGGGCAAAGTGACCCCAAGCTCGTTATCGTTCACGGTGTTAGAGAAACGCGAGAATAGAAGCAGTGTTTCTTACGCGGTATTAAATTACTTCCAGAGCATCGTGGCTCTCTGTTTTCTCAATCGCGATAGTAGAATCATTTGTTCGCCGATTTCAATCCTCGGTCGCGGTAATCTGATTTAATACTTTTCAATCAAATTAATTATTTTTTCAATTTGAAATTTAAACTCCTCGTTACCGGAATTAGAGTCAGTGCATCACCGAAGAGGATTATTTGGCGATGCTCCACGAGCAAACAATGTAAGTATAAATTTATACTTTGAAATTTTTAATTAAAAATCTCTACAGTTTTAACCATAGATTCTAATTGTTTTCTTACAGTTTCTGAACATGATCCTGGGAACCAGCAGCAGCACCCGGGGGGGTATCGGGCGGTGGACCACGAGCGAACAACGTAAGTATAAATTTATACTTTGAAATTTGTTAATTAAAAATCTCTGTAATTTTAACAATAGATTATAATTTCTTTCTTATTTTTTATAGCAGGACCATGCAGGGGGCTCTGATGACTTCCACTGGACAGCAGCAGCATCATTATGCAGTCATCCCAGAGGTTCAAGTTCATCACTCGTAAGTCGCATGCTATTTATGTTCCTCTGGTCCCCAACCATGTTGTAGGATGAAAGATCCGAATCAACACGGGTGACCAGTTGTATACTTAGTATTTTTGACGAGTTAAGTGACCCATGAATTGTATTTTTTTAGTGCAGGCTAGGGTCTTCTTGCACTCGCGTTTTTTAACGTTATCAAAGAATATTACACAATTTTGATACAATATACGAAATATATTTATTATCTTTATATGAATTAAATAATGGAGTAGAATATGAATTAATATAATGTGAAAACATTATATTAAACGTACGATCGAGTAAAATATCTTACATTATTAATATAATTATTAAATATTCGTTTTATCAATTGATACATCATACGATGTATTTTACGTGCAAGAAGGCGTTTCGCGACTGGTCGATTCTCAACTCAAAGGAACATGCATGTTGATTTTATTTGTTTAAAAATTTACTTTGACGACAGAATCGACCAGGGTTAATTGAATATTTTGAATAATAATTTAACAAATTTATTTCAATTTTCAAAGTAGATTACTTTATCACGAAATCTTTATTAAAGTCTTACATTTTACACAATTAAATTTCAGTCACTTTTTCTTGAATAATAATATCTTTCAATATTAACGTAGTCTGTTGTTGATATATTACACATAACGAGTCGAGTCATTTTAATTGAGAATAGATACCGTTTAGTTAATTACTAATAACCAATTTTTCTAGTCAGGATTTTCAGGATACTTTTCCGTGTTCGTTGCCTAAGTTCGTGCACATGCCCAAGTGTTATTTGCACGAGCGAAGGCAACGGGACACGATGACTTAGTTCGTAACATTTATAATAATAATCTATCCGTGCGACTGACAATGCTAGTGTATCGTGCACGATGTACTGTCCACATATGTGTGTTTGTGGTTAGGATGTGGAAGTGCATCGTTTCAAAAGTTCATTACAATTCAGATACAGAATTTTTTTACATTAGATTCATAACGATCACAATAGTAATATCAAACTTATAATTATTATTTACTTGGCAATTGTTCGTATTGCATACACGTCAATGATATTGCAAAATGCATAATGAATTAGCTTTTCAATCTTATATAGAGTATATTATAGAATATATTTTAATAAAGACTATATCAGATATATTAAAATGTTTTACATAAATAATAAAAGTACGCAATGGTCACTAGCTTTGTCAGTCCACTGCAAAAACTGGTACGTACACAATTAGAGTATGATTGAGGTCGTGTCCGGGTGTCGGAGGAACCCCGGGGAATCCTCTCTAGTTTAGGTCGCGCCCGGACATTCAGAATGAGAACCGTGGAGTGTTTGTTTGAGAGACTGAGTTTTGCAATTTTTTAAATATAGCGTTAGGTAGGTAGGTAACTTATTCTCTGGTGTGTGTGTTTAAACGTAAGTAGGTAGGGTCAGGGCAGGACTGTCCACATTAGTTATATGTAGATCGGGTAGGCGCGTTTTCGCGTGGCAGTTCTGTTCCTGTAGTTACGATTTCGAGAGTAGAAATGTTGCTGATTCAAACGGTGCACTTGTGCTGTTTGTTTCGGCTTTATTTTCGACTCCTCGAATCGCGCGACTCTTAAAGTCGCTCTCTCGCGATCGCGGTCGCGATCAGGTCCCTTTCGAAACGTTCGTCCCGCTCGAGATGACCACGTATGCTCTTTCAACAATTCGTACATTGTTGGAAGACTACGTATTGCACGAAATCTCGAGCCCGGTCTTTCGTAAGTTTCAGGCATCGGCAGGACCGCCGAAGAAAGAAAAGGCTCTATATGAGCTGAAGAGGCCCTGACAAACTGTCTCAAGAGCGGGCTACAACAAATGGCTTTTCATCCTTATCTTCTGATAAGAATGGAAAGTCATTCCTCTTACTACTATGTCACTTAACTCGTCCGTAGTTGTAGTTAGTTTATTTTTCTGGCTGGCTCACGTATGCATGTACCTGATGGTACATGATTGCACCATACATGCCAGCCATCCCTCCCAATAACTCGCGGTTATGATGTACATAGAGTTGCGAATATGCAATAATCGCGTTTGCTTATAGAGTTGCGAAT